CCAGGGCAGCTGGGACCCCTGACCCAGAAGCAGTGGCCCCGGGCACACAAGGTCTTGACCCCAGGCTGGGCCCGGCCTGACTCCCGGCCTGCCTAGGCTCCTGCTGGGGCGGGCAAGGGGCCGGTGCTGTCCTCTGACCTGTGCCTTTCCCCCAGCGCTCCCTCAACTGCAACAACACGTACAGCGAGGGGCCGGACATGCTGCGCACAGCGCTGGGCGAGTCCACTGCCTCGCTGGACAGCACCACCAGGTCAGCATCCCGTAGCTGTGGGGTGGGAGGAGGGGCCGGCCTTGGGGCAGCGGCCCCGGTAGGCTCCCTGGCTGTGGTCCCTGTGCCCCATGAGGCTCTGGGCCAGAACACGGGCAGTTTAGAGGAGTCTCGCAGCCCATGTGGCCATAAGGCTCAGTGTCTGCCCCTCTGACCACAGCCCTGAGCCTGCCCCTCTTTCCCCAGGGATGAAGGTGTGCAGAAGCTCAGCGTGTCCTCAGGGCCAGCACGCGGTGACCACAGGGAGCCGCCGGATCCATCTTATGTCCCCAGGGACTCCAAAAAGCCCCCCGGTACAGTGTTTGTGCTCCCATTTGCCCATGTGCACTGGGCCACATGAGGACACGTACCCCTGGGAAGTCTGGCCACACCCAGCCTGCGCCTGAGCCACTCGTCCTGCCCTCTCCTGCAGGCCCTGACTCGGACTCGGACAGCGAGATGTCGCTGGACGAGCACAGCAGCTCCTATGCGTCCTCACACTCATCTGACAGCGAGGATGACGTCAGGGATGCCGAGGACAAATGGGACTCAGCCCGGGGCCCTGTCCACAGCACCCCCAAAGGTGAGCAGCACACGGCCGGGGTGGGCTGTGGAACACAGGCTGGGACCTCTCCTCCAGGGATGGCCAGGGGAGCTCAGCACGAGGCCCCATACCATCAGCCAGGGGAGCCAGGAAACCTAGGGACCTCTGTGCTGGTCACTGCAAGAGACGGTGTGGCTTCTGGCCTTGGTGCTCTGGGACAGTGGACATTTCCCATTCTGGGCCTCAGTTTCCTCACCTTCTGGGGGTTGGGGCCACTTTTGGGGGCTACTAGGCGCAGCACGTTTTAGGGTACAGCTATCAGAGGGCCAGGCTGAGTGCTGCTCTCATGTCTCAGCCAACGCGCTGGCCAACCACACCCCGGCTGGCTGGCCTGAGGAGAGCCTGGCAGGCAGCGACAGCGAGGACCCAGGCCCTGAGCCGCCGCTGCGGGTGGAGACCAAGGTCAGCGTGGAGCTGCACCGGCAGGAGCAGGCCAACCACTGCAGCAGCTGCCCCTCGGACCCCGCCAAGCCTGCAGCAGCGCTGGGCACCCAGCTGCCCGAGCAGAGGAAAGGTGGGGGCAGCCCCGGGCCAGCGGGTGGGGCCCAGGCAGGGCGGAGGTAACCATGGACCCTGTCAACTGCCTCGCCCACCTGAGGCTGCTACCCCCACAAGTGTCCACCTGGCTGTGACCTGGGCCCTGTCTCCTCCAGGCATCTTGAAAAACAAGGTCACCTACCCGCCACCGCTGCCTGATCAGCCACTCAAGTGCCGGCTGCGGGAAAAGCTGGCCGACTGTGAGCAGAGCCCTGCGTCCTCGCGCACCTCTTCCCTGGGCTCTGGGGACGGCATCCATGCCCCCGACTGTGTCATCACCATCAAGACGGCCCGCAGGGAGCCAGGCCGAGAGCACCTCAATGGGGTGGCCATGAATGTGTGCGTGGGGAGCGCCCAGGCCGAGGGCTCCGACTCCGAGTGAGTAGCCAGGACTGCAGGCCGAGGGGTCAGGGTGGGGCCCCAGGGGTCCCTGTCCCCAAGTGGGAGGGCGCTGCCCATGTGATGTCGGTCTCCCCGCTGTGCCCCGCTGACCCTACCTGCCTGGCGGCTTCTTCCCATCGCAGAGGCAGTAACGAGACTTCAATTTGAACCATCAGGAAACCATGAGGCCAGCTGTCACCCGCACAGGCCACTGGGCCAGGGTCCTGGGACCGCAGAGCCTGAGGGGCCAGTGCCTGGAGAGCCCATCGGGGCACGAGGGCAGCTCCACAGCAGACACCCAGACACAGGGTGCATGGCTTCTCAGGGGACCAGAGCTGGCCAGCCCCGTGACAAGTGCCAAAGCCACAGGCGGTCTCAAGGGAGACACGGACTCCGGCCTGGCACAGTTGAGTGCTGACTACAGACGGAACCAAAGCCACACCTTGGCCTGGCCACGAGGGGCCTAGTGCGAGAGCTGGCCGAGCCTGGGCTGGCCTTGTGCAGGCAGGCAGGGCAGGAGAGCCAGTGTGTGTGGCGCTCAGCTCACCAGGGCTTAGAGATGTGGGACGCAGCCTGTGACCTGGCCACTCCTATGGCACCGGGCAGTGCCCGGCGCCTGGACAGCGTCTACAAAGGCGGAAGTGCCTCTGCATCCGCCCTGGACCCACGGAGGACGGAGCCTGTGCACACGCAGCCTGCATCTCCGGTGCCGACCCTGGCCCAGCAGATGTGCGGCACCCTCTCCTGCTGCTCTTTGTCCATACAGAAGACTGATTGCACGGCTGCACTTGGACCTGGGACGCATGGGCACAGCCTGTGCCCCAGAGGGGCAGAGGTGGGAAGGACTGTAACCTGGAGGTCAGAGCCCAGCCCTCAGAATCCCTGTGGCTCCCAGCCACTGAGCAGGGAGTGTGGGTGGCCCCACCCACCTCAGGGCTGGTCCAGCACACCGCCATCTGGGACTGGGCTGGTCCAGAGCCTGCTGAGGTCAGCGGGTCACTTCTGATGCTGTGCCACCCCCACCCACCCTGGCGCTGGACCCATGCCAGCCACAGTGGGGCCTACTGGAGCCCTGCCCGGTAGTTTAGTCCCACAGGTAGATGTTCCTTTGTCCCCGTCTGCTCCTGGGGGGACCTCAGAGCGTTCACACGTTCCCGATCCAGACGGAGCCACGAGGTCTTCCAGGATGTCACATTCCTTCCTGCCAATTTGCCAGCTCCTTTAGACTCCAGGCCTCTCTAAGCAGGCTGGGGTCCCCACCCCCAAAGTCTACTGATTACATCATTTCGCTTCAAACACCCAATTGTGTAGAGGGACAAAGCCACAGCCACACTGCTCAATGCTCATGAGACCATTTGGAAACTCAGGAGACCGTCAGTGGCAGTGGCACTGCACTGGCACAGCACGGCATGGCCTGAGGGCTGGGCAGCCGGAGTGATTCCAGCCTTGGCCTGTTCTTTACATCAGGCGCCCAAATAATCCGTGCTCCCACAGCTGCTCCCAAACCGGAGGCGGACTCGAGACCTGGAGGGCACGCACGCACGCACTCCCGTGCCGTAAATCTAGTCTGAGGAGGACGTGGGCACTGCCGAGACTGCCCAAGGCAGGGAAAGCAGAGGGGCCACAGGCTGCCCCGAGCAGGCCCGAGCGGACGGCCACGCGCCCACGGTGAGCAGCTCACGGCGGCGTCCGCTCCTGGGAGGCGCGTGTGTGGCCAGGGTCCTGGAGCACCCGCTCTCCTGTCACCTGTCTTCCGCGGCCAGTGTTCAGCCCCAGGGGTAGAGCTTTTTAAATGTGATTGGAACGGTTACCAAAAAAATGAAAAACAATCGTTTTAAGACGGGAAAAATGTAAACCTATTTTTATGACTGAAGACTTCTATGGGGGAAGATTAAACACTGGAGGTTTTTAACAAATGTGTATTTATTATGCGAAGAACACTGGAATGGCAACACAGATGAGCAAAGTCTACAATAAATTAAGATTTTGAATTTGTACCCCTGCTTGCTGTTTCTGCCTGATCCGCCCCCTCCTGGGGTGGCTGGGTGTGCAGGCCATTCCCGGGTGCGGGTGGCACCCCCCGAGCTGTCCCATGCCTCATCCTCTGGCTGCGGCTGGCAGACCTGTGCCAGGCGTCCTGCCACGCAGGGTTGGGCCTGTGGCATCTGGCAAGTTCAGCCAGCCTCAGGCCCTCCTGTCCCATGTCCGTCCTCACGGCACCCAGGACAGAGGCCGGCCTCCAGGGAACTGCCCCCTGTGCCCCCGTCCTCTCCGTGCAGACTGGGCCTTTCTGGTGAGCAGTCTTCACATTCGCACGTGCCCTTCTGTCATCTAAGGTCTGCTCCTAACGTGTCCAGTCTGAGTTCCAGTTTTAAAGCCTGAGTGGCTCTTACTGTGAGTTCCGCGGTGGGGCCCAGCAGCTGCCACTGTTCCCAGATCCCTCTGGGGTGTGGGGAGGCGGCTGCTCTGCCTTTGGTTATCAGAGCACCTGAGTCACTTTTGCTCAAAACCTGCCCAGTATCTCTGGGTGTCTTCCTCGTGCTTCTGCATGCAAGTGAGCCTAGGCCAGCTGAAAACCCTCATTCCCACCTCATTCTGTGTCAGCAGCATGTAACCGGATCAGGTTCTGACTCCTGATTCCGTCCACCCTGGGAGATGGTTTCACTGCCAAGGCCTCGGCCACCTCACCGGCCTTCCCTCCCCAGGGTCCCTGACTTCCGGGCTCCTGTTTCTTGGCTGTCTTGGTCAGCTTTCCTGTTACTGGGACAGACTACCTGATACCCACAGCTCGAGCAGTTTAATGTGGCTCACTATTCCAGGGGTTCAGTCCATGGCTGGCTCTAAGCTGGAGCATCATCATGAGCACCGTGAAAGACTCAGCTGCTCAGTTCGTGGTGGCCGGGAAGCAGGATAGGAAAGAACACCAAAGTGGAACCCCCATACAGAGTCCGGGAGCCACCTGGACACACCCAAAGGGGTACTGCCCAAATGCCTGGCTGGTGAAGATGGCAGGCAGGCCTCACAGCCCCACTGTCCGGACAGGGCTTCTCCCAGAACTCCAGCCACACTTCCATCCAACTGGAGCCGCCCTCGGGGAAGTGTGAGCAAAGGAAAAGCAGTGGCGGTCCCCTCACCACCCACCCAGCCGTCCGTACAGTCACAGTGTGGGCGACAGCTGAGGCCAAACGGCCTGGCCAGCCTGCCCTGGCCCTCAGACAGAGGTCAGACTCCTTGTCCCAGAGGAATTTTTATTTAACGCTGTCACATGGCCCACAAGGCCTCCTTGTGGCCGGTGGTATCCTTACTCAGGGGACCTTCCCTGGGGTGGGTATGAGAGAGGGACTCTGCGAACAGGTCCTGGGGACAGGGCCACCCAATGTGGAGAAGGCAGGGCCCTTTGTAGGGTGGCACTAGACCCACTGGCTGCTCTGGCTCAGGTGGCACCAAGCCCAGCATCACGGACTGCCTGGGGTGCCCAGTCCTAAGCTGGCTCTGCAGGCTTCTCCTAGCAGCTGCGTCCATCAGGGTGTGGGACTCAGGTCTGGGCTGTCACCTGGGTTGTCCCCAGAGCCCTTGGGGGCTGCTGTGGCTCTGCTCCTACCCTTCTGGAGCGTGTAGGCTGACGGCCCCAAGCGCAGGATTTTCCCACTGCCCAGGCACTCGTCCCCTTTGTAGAACACGGCGAACTGGAAAGGAGGGGCCCTGCTGTGGCTGAGGGTGCCTACAGAGCACGGGGCCTGACTGCTGATCACCAAGGGAACGCGGGAACAGGAGGGGACAGGAGCTTGGTGTGAGCTTCTGGCTGACTCCACCACAGCTGACCAGTGTCTGGGCACACAAGGACAGTGGCACTGAGCCCCCCACCCCAGGCCCCCACTCACCTGCCCCAGGGTGAGGCCCCGCACGGCCTTCACAGCTGTCACCCACACGGTACCGTCTTGATTGAGGGTCAGCACACAGGGTACTGGGTGGGCAGAGAGAGGGCCCTGGAGCACACACGGGCTGAGCCTCTGCCAGGGCAGGCAACAGCCGAGGGGGAGGGCCCGCCAGCGGGACACTGCAGGCAGCACATACCGTGTGCTGCCTGTCCCACACTGGACTCTCATCCTTAAGCCGGGCCCCAGTCCCTTCAGTGGCAGGTGCAGGCCAGGCCAGTTCTGAGAGTTACAGAATCTCAACAGCGGGAGCTCCTGCCCACGGCATCTCATCTGCCTGCACAGCTGCGCACCCGGCCCTCCTGGTTACCTAGCGCCATCTGGTGGCGGAAGCGGAAGTGGCACTCCATCATCTTGTCGCGCACCAGGATGGCAGGCGGCTCCTCTGCGATCCAGTGTACACGGTTGGTCCGCAGCAGGTCCCTGTACAGGGCTGGGTGGTCGGTTCGGGGGGCCTGGGAGAAGATGGAGGGTGATGATGGCTGGATCCATTGGGACCCCAAATCCTTCAGCACGTCTCATTAGTGACAGGGATCCCAACATCACACACTGCCTTCTGCAGGAGGGAGGACCTCACCATGGTCCAGTGAAAGAGCAGAGGCGGCCTGAGCCTGAGCCTGAGCCTGAGGACTCCTCTGGCTCCCGAGGACTCTGTCCTTCTCTGAGGGTCTGGTCCCGTTCCTAGGGCACAGGGCCAATGTCTCAGGAGGGCCAGGGATCCCACAGTACCAAGGGGCTCAGGAAAGCAGAGAGCTGAGCCAATGGCTGCTCAGTCACTGGGGGCTGGGCTCCTCTCCCTGGGCTCTGCACCTGGAACCGCAGCTCCACCCAGGACATGCTGGGCAGGATCAGAGCTAGATCCCGGCAAGGACCATCTAGGAGCCATGAGGGACAAGCCTCTAGGTCTTCACAGCAGACCACCCCTAGAAGGTCACACTGCGGGCACTGTTACCGCTGTGCATCACTCTCCTGGGAAGATGCTGCCTCTGATGGCAGAGGAGCTCTGGGGCCCCTGGCTGGTCTAACCATCAGTCCCCAGTACCTGGGACAGCGGGAGGCCGCAGCACGGGGCTGGGAGCAGGTTTCTCAAGCCTAGGCCTCCAGAGACCCGAGACTCAGGCTCCGCACATCTGCTGGGGAGGGTGTGGGCTGTCCAGCAGCATCCCTGCCCTCATCCACTGGGTGCCTGCTCCCCCAACCCCATCCAAGCTGTGACAACTGCAAGTGTCACCCCTGGCAGGGACAAGCTCACCCACTTGAAACTCTCCACTCAGGAGGCTGGGCATCGCCAGGGCCAGCATGGCTCGGGCCAGCATGGCAGCAGCCCACCCATCCAGTCCCCACCACCTATCTGGGCCTCCAAGGACATCCAGGGTGCCACTCTTAGCAGGCCTGACTGGCACCAGGGCCACGTCCTCTTGTAAACTCAAAGCCCAGTATTCAGAGGTGGTGGTGTGATTAGAGAGTGAATAGCGTATGACTGCGGCCCAACCAATGCCTCACGTGTGCCCGCCTGGAACCTTGGCTCCTATCAAGGCTATGAGATGTGCCCAGACCTCCCTCTCCTCGGAGCTCCATGTCCACTCACCACAAGCACGTCGCCTTTGGTGCTGTCCTTGTCCACCACAAACCAGGGCTCCCTGAGGCCGCTGATCTTTGCCCTCTGGCCCAGGGTGTACAGGAACCAACCTGTGGGAGGTTCTCTATGAAGCCAGGTGACAGCTCCACGTGGATGCCGCTGATCTGAGATGAGACAGAGGCAGCCAGGGGTACCCAGCCCAAGCGGCTTCCCATAGCACTACGGGTGCTGCAGGCTGCACAGGGCTCTGACCACACCGACACAGGCCACCCTCACTAGGCCTGGGCAGGACACGAGGAATGCAACAGTGACCAAGTCCGAACCAGTGTCCACAGCAGAGCCAGTACAAGGAGTCTAGGCAGAGGGATGGCTGGGGCCACCATCCTCGCTGCTCAGGCCTGGTATCTGCAGCCCACAAAGGGATCCAGTGCCCACCCTAAGCATATGCCTGCAGGGGCTGCTGAAGCACTACCTGGCACCTAGGTCTCTTAGACCATGCCCTGCCCATCCCCACCCCACACACAGGTGGCACCCCACATGCTGCTCTGCCCACCCTAATGCATGGATTAGGCACAGATGACCCGTGATATCCACTGTGCGCTGGGCACCAGGACAGGCACCTTGGGAACATCTGCTCTCAGGCACCTGGGCCCCTACTCAGCTGCCCCTCGATCTGGCTCTCAAAGGCTGATCTGCAAAGCACAATTCCCTGCAGGACCCATCTGAGCCCGCACAGTCCTCCCAGCTAGCCTGAGTCATGGCTCACAGGCCAAGACGTCCCAGAAGGCACCTCCACCAGCCCACACCCCGTCCCTATCCTGCCACCACAGCGTGGTCACAGTGCCCACCAAAAAATGACAGTGACTACATAAGCAGCACCCCCAGCGTTGCACCAAGGGACGCCTGTGTCTGATGTGCCCACATGGTTCTTGGTGTGGGCTGTGAGGCCAGTTCGGCACCTCTCACCACAGTGGGCTCCCTGCAGCCTCTTGGCGGCCATGCACGTGCTAGTGTTTCAAGGCACATGGCCCCAGTCAGGATGACCGCTGGCGGCCTGGGCCTTGCACACCCACCCAGCCTGCCCTGTGGCCTTCTGGGACTCCAAACCAGACTGGGGCCCAGTGCAGTCCCAACACAGAGACTCACCTTGGTGTGTTCCCAGAACAGTATTGTCCTCGATGGAAATAAACCTCCCGGGCCGAGGCTGCAAATACTAAAAGGCAAATGGCTGGTTAGCGCGGAGCTCCGGGTGTGGGGTGCAGGGCGGGCACCCACCTGCCGTGGGACACTCACCTGCAGGATGAAATGCTCAAAATTTCTTTTACCAATGAAACAAATGCCCATGCTCTGAAACGAGAAGAGGCCGGCAGGCAGGAGGTGAGAGGACGGCAGGGGACCCCTCAGGCTGCCCCCCAGGAGCCAGGGTCCCCACCTGCGCTGTGACGTGCACCCCGGCAGGGGCCTCAGGCACCCGATCCCAGGGGATGCCCGATGGGCCACTCGCCTACCTCCTTCTTCTGAAGCACGTGCTGGAGTCCGTTCTCAGCAGCTATTTTCTTTACGAAACCTTTCGTTAATCCCCCCAGAGGGAAGATGGTTCTTCGCAGGGCCTCCTGGGAAACCTGGCTGAGAAAGAAGGTCTGGTCTTTAAAGCTGTCAGCTGCTTGGAGAAGTTTTACCGCTGCCAAGAGTAAAGAACAAAAGACGTTGCAGAATAAACATAACGACATTCCGCCTTTAATACCGTCCTTGTGTTTACTTAGCGGGCCCGCCTGTCAGCTGACCTTAAGTAGCCGCCGCAGCACTGGCTGAGGAACACGCTCACCCCAAGTTTATTACGGAACACACGGGGGCCTGGACTCTGACACATAACTGTATTCCAGCTCATAACTCAGATCACAATGTACACTCTAAGATTTTCAGATAAAACGTCACATGACGAAATGTGAAAGAAGGGGGAAAAAGCTACCAACAGATTCAGCCACGCTTTGGAAACTGGACCAGACAGAGCCTAGCAGCACCCCCAGGGACTGGCGTCAGCTGTGCAGGGCACGCCGCCCGCGGGCTCAGGGCTCCGAGTGCCACACGGGCTCAGTGACGTGGGCCTGTCCAGACTCCGGGAGACTCGGCGGCTGCCCTGAGCTTCTCTACACTCTCCTCCCCGTGGGGGCCGAGCGAGGCGTGACTTTGCTTCTGAGATCACTTCCGTTCCAGAAACGGGATGTGCCAGATCCCCACAGCCATCAGAGGGCAGGGCCGACCAGAGGCGCCTCTGCACCTCCCGTACCTAGCACCAAGGGACACCTCGCAAGGGATGCACTCTGTGTCGCTGATGCAGCACAGCCTGCAGGACACTGTGTGCAGGGGACACGGGTGCGGTCACCTGCTCGGGCAGTGTGTGCTGCTGGGGACCCCCAAGTCCCTCGGAGCTGGACTTTCTGACGTGGGTGCACCCAGGAGTGTGGCAGAGGGGGGCAGCACCAGGGGAAAAGCTGCATGGCACAGGGGCGGGGGGGCAGGTCCCTCCCCCCTCCCTGCCTGACGGGAGCAGCGGCTTCTCATCCTGGCCCAGCACACCAGCCCCATCATCAGAACTGCCCGGTGTCGGAGGAGAATGTGGGAGAGCCAGGAGGCCTGGCTGTTCTGCTGGGCACCCAGGTCAATGACACGGCCCAAGCCGCAGTCGCCTCCCCAGGGAAACAGGGACAGCGACACGAGGCAGAAGGCACACGCACAAAGCCACCTATCCTGGGGAGACCTGTGCACCAGCTGGGTTCCAAACTCAATTCAAAACCCCAGTGACACTCAGAGACTGCCACCTTCACCACGCCGCAGCAGCGGAGAGAACTGACAGGCATTACGGAGCCCCACTTCCGGCCCGGCAGTTATGTGAATCCCCGTGTCTCCACACACATGCACCCACATGGTGAAGCCACGCTCCCTGACCTGCAGGAGCAGTGTGCACGCACGCCTCCACAGGGCACAGCCGCCCCCTCACGCCCACACTCCAGCCCTGGCAAGCTGGCACAGCACAAGGCCGTGGCTATGCCTGGTGCACCCCAGTGTTTCTGTCAAGTATGTCCCGAGCATTTTCACTATATTCAAATTATGAACATGCAGCGTCTAACACTAGACAGAAACCCCTAATGCCCCTGGCCCCCACCAAGGCTTGGCTGATTGCCCGATCACCAGCCTGGGACATCTCTCAAATGGGTGTCTCACGCAAAGCAGCCACGCAGGGCCCAGAGAGAGGTGGCCATGCACTCAGATGACTCCTGCCAGTTCCCAGTGACTCCACACACACAAAGGCGCCGACCTGGACACTGGAACTTACGATTTCTAACTTCGAATCGATTTTGGAAAAGCCCCTCCGGCCTCTTCACGTGCTTCTGCTGGAAGACCTCTTCGTCTTCCAGTGAGGTCCTCGCGTAGTGGCCCGTGGCAACGGCGTCTGCACCTATGTGGATTACAAGGACACAAGGAAATGACCCGAGGCTCACATTCGATGCCCGAGGCCCCGCTCACAGGCCTTAGGCCCCCCCGCCTCCCGACTGTGACATGGCCAAAAGCCCTCCGAAGGCAGTGCTGCTGCTCACCTGTTCAGCCCGAGTCACGGGACAGGCAGGCGGCCCTGTCCGAGCAGCCCACAGCGGCTTCCTACAACACTGAGGGGAAGCTGAAGCTGCCCACGGTGCCCACGGCTGCAGCACCCGCACTGCTGCCGAGCTGGCCCATGCTGCGGGGCGATGCTAGGGACGCCCACAGGAGTGGGGCGTGCGCTACGACCCTGCCAGTCCACAGACAGAAACCACGCATTCTGGGTTGGGTACTACAGATATGTGAATCCCTCTTTTCTCACTGTTCAGTAGTTTTACGGTGTAATAAATATGTAATATTTTACCGTGCTGAAGGACCTTTGTCTTGTGAAAATTTCAGATACTCAGTATTGGGGGGGAGCCAAACTGGTATGCTAAGTACTACACCAGACTACCTCAGTGTACGTACGACAAGACTCACCGCTGGGTATGAACTGGTTGAATGAGAGAGAGCCTTTGGGAACACGTCACATCTTGACTCATTCACTAACAGAAAGAACCACTTTAAGTGATTCCCCTGAAAATAGCGGCTCCCACTGTAAGCAGCACAGGACGCTTCTAGAAGCCCTGCGAGCTCAGGACCCAGATCCCACGCTGCACGTTCACGCGCTGTGCAGAAGCCCTCCCAGTGCATCCCACAGGCAGCCACGGAGCCCCCGGAAAGCAACGCTGACAGGGACCTCACCCCTCCAAAGGCAAGTACTTCCTGAAGAGCTGTGTGTGCCACTCCCGAAATCCTCCCGCAAGCCCAAACCTGGCACCATGTGTCACCCCAGAGACGTGGCACAACTGACCCCTGCCAGGAGGACTGTGATGGCTGAGACACTGTGTCGAGGTGAGAAGTGTGGGCCATCCTGAGCCTGTGCAGGAGGCGGCGGAGGGGGTGAGCGCTACAGCGGCCAACGGCGGCGACTGCTTACAGCATGAGGAAGGAAGGAGCCTGCCTGCTCTTGCCCTTCTGCGCTTGCTGTCGGAAGCCGTTCTCCAGTGTGAGGGGTGCTGAGTGTCACAGCCCCCGGGGTGGCAGCAGGGGCATGTGTGCGGTCTGCTCGTATCACCGAGGAGGAGGCTTGTGCTCTGCTTTTTGCTGTTGCTGTCTTCTGCCACCTTCAAGTGCTGTCCCTGCGCGATGTGCCACCCTGCCTGCAGATTATGGACTAGAACCTCCGCAAAGTGTGAGCTAAATAAACCTTTCCTTCCTCAGTTATGGGCATCGGACGTTTTGTCCCAGCAATAAGAGAAAAGTAAGACAAAATTTGGTCCCAGAGGAGTGGGGTCACTGCTGTGACTAGAGCTGACTGTGTGGTTCAAGAGCCTTTGGAAACGGCTTGTGGGAAGATGCCACCTGAAAGAGTAGTGCTGGAACACGACTAGTCCAGAGGGCACGCACAGACCACGGCCCACAGCAACCTCACAGTTCACCACGGGGCACACTTCCAGACGCCCTGGAAATCAAACACAGCCGTGCTCCCCATCTGCCATTTCCTCGGAATGAGAACCACAGCCAGCCACGGCGGACCAGGACTTAGCTCCCTTTCTGCACCAGCTCCCACTGCACAGAACTGTGATGACAAACACGGAAGCACTGGCTGTCACCCACAGGCCACCAGTCCTCAGAACTTCTGCACCCAGACACAACCATGCAGCCCCCACCAGTGTCTGCCAGAACCCCTCACTGGGCCTCGTCGGCAGAGCGCATCTACAGGTCAGCGCTGGCCCACGAGCAGACTCAAGACTGGAGTTTCTGCAGCTTTTTTTAAACTCCAAGCTCACCAGCCAGTTTCATCACCATCTCATCATTAGGTCACTCTCTCAAGGCGCCGGAGGTGCCACCTGGTCATCTCTGTTGGGCATGTGACCACATGGGGTGTGGCCACACAGGACAGCAGTGTGACCTTCACGGATAGTCCTGCATCAGGAACTGCAGCAGCTCATTCTGGTGACCCCAAAGGCAGGGGACAGGAATGGTTACTGACAGGAGGCTTCGGCAAGCCATGCAGCATCAGGGAGGTCAACGAGGAGGATGTGACGTCAAATATACAGATGGAATCAAGAAAGCAGAAACTTAAGAGTAGCCAACCTACGGGTTTGGTGGGCAGGCAAGTCATCTGCTGGCACAGGGCCTCGACCAGGAGTTGGGCTCTGGATCAGGCCATGAAGGCAGTGTGAGCTCCAGCACAGAATGCGGGGGCCGGCAGCCAGAATCAGGCAGACCAGAGACCGGTTCTCAGGACCGAGCAGAAACTCACTTTTGGAAGCAGTACACATAAACCTGCGCTTCTTGAGCTGGACCTCAGGCCCCTGAGCCTCCCCCTAAATACAACCCATCTGAACTGGAGCCCCTCCACCACAGCAGAACCTGTGCAGGGGGCCGGGGGCCGGCAGGAGCCAGGCAGGTCTGACAGGTCCCGGTTCGGTGCAATGTGGGGACAAACTCATCTCAAGGGCCCGGCATCCTTGGGCTTCCTGTGGGCCCAGCTCGCGATGGGGCTGCCTTGTCAGCGGTGCTGTCCCCAGGCCCTGGCTCCTGTGCCCCTCAAGCACCAGCCAGCCTCGGAAAGCCTGCGGCCTTTGGGTTCTCCCCAGCTCTATCTTCCTGCTACATGTAAGAGGTTCACCTACTTGTCTTCTTGTGATGGATTAAAAACTGGTGGTCAGCTTAACAGCAGCTGAACTGAATGGGCCTGGTGCTGAGTGTGGACAGCCCCCTGAGGACAGCCGCCAGCACAAAGCAGCTGTGGGGAGGAGGAACACAGTGTTGTGGGCTCTGCTAAGTGCTGCTGTTGGTTCTCGTCACGACGAGCTTTCCAGATGTGAATTCAGCCACTGTCATGGGAGGAGCTCCGGACCTCGTCACTGAGAGCGGGGCTCTCTTCACTTTGGGGGGGCTCTGGTCCTTACTTTGAGCATCGCTTCCCGGCTCTGGAGGGGAAGATGTGTGCTGTTTAATCTCCAGGAGAAGCTCGCCACACTGGCTTCCTAGTAGGAACTCTGCTGTTCTCATCGTGGGAGGAGCTCAGGACCTCACTGTTGTGGAGGATGGCCGTGGTACTTTTCAGGGGAGCCCTGGTCCTTATTTTGAGCACTGTTTCTTGGCTCCAGTGTAGAACCCTCAACATACTGGCACAGCTCCTTCACCCCGCTGGCACAGACTTTCTAGCTTCCACCGCTGACCTTTGGGTCTTCCCAGTGCAGATCCACAAAACAGACTTGCATGAGTCACTGTCGTGGGCTCTGGGTTTTCAGCTGGACTCCTGCAGGTCGCTGCTGGGGGATCCAGGCCCTCGGCTGGATTTTCTAGGTCTTTAGTGCTGTGGACAGATTTCCTGCACTTTCTTGTATTAAACTCTGAGTGACCATCATAAAATAATATGATAAATTCTGTGTCCTGTATGTGATTGTTCTCCTCACAGCCCCTGACGACAGCACCTTTTGTTCTCATTCATTCCCTCTCTCTCTCTCTCTCTCTCTCTCTCTCTCTCTCATTCTTTCTAATACCACATTAAGGGCACTGACATTTACTGTCTGAATCTCCTGTGTCAAATGCCTTCCTCCTGGGACACTGTCACCGTCTGCCTCTTCGGCAGCGACCCCACCACCTTTCTTGTGACACCTGAAGCCACCGCCAGACAGCACCCTCTCCTGCCATTTGCACTGCACTAGAAAGTGCTTAGGGAACGGGACTGGGTCCGCACTCGCTCCCCGGTCCGGAGCGGCCGGAGGAGGACGCCCCTTACCGAGGCTGCCCATGGCGTGACGGAGGAAGCAGCTGAACTTGATGTGCTTATTGCAGACTATGTCCGGGTTGGGAGTCCTGCCTTTCTCATACTCGCTCAGAAAGTCGCTGGAACAGAAGAAAAGGCCTTTGCAATTTCAAGTGTGCAACAGTCCCCGAAAACCCACTGGCTGAGTCACTTGTGTAACACAGCCCTTCTCACTGTCCTACCCAACTGTCATCGCCTGCAACACAGGCGAGCTCTCCTTTCAGGCCATTCTCTGCGCTGTCACCAGACATGCGCCCAGCGCCTCTGTACGCACCATCAGACTCTGTGATAACACTAAGCCTGGACAGGGGCAGGTGCTGGCCCCGCTGCTGGGCTTAGGCACCACCTAGCCTCACCCTGGGGTGACACTGAGCTCTGGCACAGGACGGCCCAGGGAAGGACAGAGCTCGCCCTTCCTAACACAGCAGCCACAGAACCATCAAGGCTCTGCAGGCCTTCTCAGTGCCGACCGGGGGACCTAGGTAACCAGGCACACAGAATGAGCCAACTCTTCTGATGTGACCGCCAGCCTCCAGGGGTGTACTGTGTAGGTGGCCATCCTGCCTCCATGGACTTCTGTCCAATGGATGGACTGGACATGGAGAAGGATGCTGCCACTTAGCAGGGCGGAGTAGAACCCCAGTGGCAGGGAGACACACCACGCCTGCCCCAGGGGTTTAACACTGGAGTTTAACACAGCGCTGGTCTTAGAGGCACGTGCCGGGACACCAGCTCCACTCTTTTAGCTGACGGAAGTTGTCCAGGGGTTCATTAAGCTGCAAACTACCTACCATCCACTCCCTCTCTTCCGCGTCTATGTCATGGACACATAAACTTCTACACAAGCATCAAGTAAAGGCTAGGTAACCAGTTCACAGGAAGAATGGCCTGCCTGCTCCTCTACGAGGACAGAGAGGCTGCTCCTGTGCTGAGTGAGGCAGACGGCGGCAGAACAGAACAGCGAGCTGGGCAGAGGTGAGTGCCTGTGATCCCAGCACTCTGGGAGGCTGAGCCAAGCGGGTCGCCTGGGCAACTTAGCAAGAGTCTGCCTCAAAATAAAACAGGTCAGGGGTGCAGCTCAATCCCCAGTACCAGAAAGTAAACTAATTAATTAGTTAACTAGCTAATAATGTCTGAGTGGGGCACAGTGGCACAGGCCTGTAACTCCAGCACCCTAAAAGGCCAAGGCAGGAGGACTGCAAGTTCAAGCCACAGAAGGACTGCCCCAAGGGGCACCATGTGGCCAGGAGTCCCACAGTCTCCATCACCCTCTACCCATCCTGCCATGGGTAGACATGATACACAGGAGGCTGAGCCTGCACGCACCTGAACACGTCGTTCCAGTACTCCTTGACGTAGGACACCTGATGGAAAGGAATGTCGAGGACTTGGCACACTCTGTAAGCGTCCTCGCAGTCTCTGTCGGCAGCGCACACGCCATGCTCGTCCAGTGCGTCCCAGTTCTTCATGAACACCCCTGTCACCTGGTAACCTGGGGAGGGAAGGGCGGGTAAGGTGGAGCCCACCATCTACCCGGGGTGAAGGAGCGATGCTTTCAGCCAGGCACGGTGGTACAGCCCGGAAACCCAGCATGTGGGAGGCGGAGGCAAGAGAATCATTTGCAAGTTCAAGACCAGCCTGGCAGCCTGAATTGCGTAGTGAGACCCTGTCTCAGAAGACACACACAAAGCAGTGCTTTCTAACACACACACACACACACACACACACACACACACACACGGCAGTGCCTGCTATGCTCGGAACAGCCCCTGTCACACCACCTGTCCCATGCCTCTGCACCTGGCAGCCCAAGCTTCCCATGAGGACTTCGGGGTTCAGGGCAACACCCTAGTGCTGACCTTCTAGGCACTCTTCCCTAGGTCCCTACTGGGCTCTGGAAAAGCCCTGCCACCAAAAGGCAGGAATTCTGCCTGAGTCCCCATCTCGGTGCACCTAAACCTCGAAGCAGCACCACACTGGGGGGGGGGGGGAGGCCAATATGCTCTGACCAGCTGAGAGGTCAGCGAAACTCCAGTTTTTCAATGCAAATAAAACCACCACTCAGTTATTAGAAAAGTAAACTCATTCAAACATTCGCAGTAACTAGTAAGACCTAGGAGTCTAGGGTATCAGGTGTGGAGACAATTAAAATGCTGCACACTTCATCCACCTGGGGTTGGAATTTAGTAACAAAGCCCTCACCTTGTACAGCTTAAGTTTCATCCCTGGCACCGAAAAGTAAAAACTGTGTTTATTTAAAGGGCTCCATCACGTATATATTTAATGGCTCACTTTTCCTCGTTTTTTCTGTGACAAATTATACGACCAAATACTGAAACATTGGCTTAGCAAACTACTCAGGCACCTGCTCTGAGTGAGAAATCTGTTTTTCTGTTAGGCTGAATTTAAGGAAAGCCCGCATTTTTGTTAAAGGAGACTTAAAACAATGCCCCAACCTTTGCCACGATGAAAAGGGGCCGCCCACTAGCAGGGGTGCAGCCTCCCACTTCTGTTTCAGACTCAGCCGGCAGCTCAGTTACCAGGCCTGATTCCCCTGCAACCCACCTCAGCAGGAGCAGGACCCCTGCGCCCCCAACACTTAGCACCATGCGCGTACAAAGTGGCAGCCAGAAAAGAACTTGCACAGTGAACAAACACAGGAGCCTTAAAACACACAGCTCCACAGCCGCCTCTGCCTGATCACTTTTCTCATTAGGAGATAATACCCGCGCATGGGCACACAGGCTCAGACGCAGCCGGTTGGATCCAAATTTTCCAACGTGCTCACGGCAGGACATATCCCCCACCCCAACACACACACACACACACTCCCCACAGCCCTCGGTGCCAAGGTGAGAGCGCTGTGCTTTTCTCCCCGCTAAATCCACTGGCTCTCTCCAAGGAGAAAAATCCAAGGACGCCTGGACTAGAAATCGTAGCTCCTGGAGCAGGAGTAAAAAAGACGAATCTGGAAGACCCGGCCAGCCTTTGCATCTCCCAAAACACCTAACTACGTCTCGTCAAAACCCTTCAAGGATTCTGAGCTGATCACCAACGTAGCTTCAAGTCCCTAACACCCGAACACTTCCAAGCTTGGGGGCTCACACCTCGCCTCCCGGCCAGCACTCGCACTCGCTTCTGCTGCCTCTTTGTCTCGGGTCTCCACGTTGCCGGGTGACATCCTAGTCTTCTGCAGGCTCAGCTCAACAAGCTTACAGCTCGCCTTCCCTTCGGCACCTTTACACCTCTCATGATGCATACAATAAACCACTACAGCTTCCCGAGTTTCTCATCCGAGCTGGGCACTGGGGCAAACCTTTTCACGTACAGTGCGTCATTAGGGTTAGGAGGGCGGTTCCGTCTCCCTTTACACAACTCGCCTGAGTTCAGCAACTGGGATCGCAACTCCGCAACCCCGGAGCCTGCACCGAAAACCGCCGTGTGCTTGAAGTCCGGCGATGAGACGGAGGACTTAGTTTAGGGGCAGGTAATCACTGCTGTGGAACCCTAAAACCGCGAATACCTGTGGGGTTCTGTTTAGGAAATAATGCAAGCGCTTCGTGTAAAAGTTTGAGATCCGGGGAACGGAGAAGACAGGCGTGACTCGGTGAGCATCACTGCGGCGTCGCGCGAGGAGGGGGAGAACAAGGACCTGCAGGAGCGCGGCCGCAGCGCAGAGGTCGGAGCGAACGCCCCGCGCCGGCCCCGCGAGCGCAGCGCGCAGCCCCGGGCCTCCCCTCCCGCCCCACGCCGAGTCCGCCCGCCATCGCGCGGAAGCTCCGGAAGGGCCGCTCGGGGCGGGCGGGGCCGCCTCACCTCTCCGCCTCAGCAGCAGCGCAGCCACGGCGCTGTCCACGCCGCCCGAAAGGGCGCACACGACGTGCCGCGCCGCCTGCATCCGCGCGCAGTCCCCCCACCATCTAGGTCGCCGCCGCGGGCGCCGCTTCCGCCTCGCGCCGGAAGTCCCGCCCCTCCATGGAGTTAGCGTTCATGCAGTCCAGCTCCTCGGCTGGGAACAGGCTCCCTGCTCCTCGCGTTCCGCCAGGATCCGAGGCTTCCGCGCTGCCCAGCTCTCTCCCTCCCAGCATCTCACCCAGCTGTAAGCCTGCTGGTGGAATCAGCCTGGTGTCACACGCCCATGCCCAGGTTCCCTTCCAAGGCCCCTCGGAGCGCCCGGATGGAAGCTCCTTCCCGCCTAAGGCTTTGAGCCTCGGTGCACTACAGCTACCCACAGAGCAGCCAGACTTTACACAGGCACGTGTCCTGTGACTTTTCGTTAAATGCGTGGTATTTTGACCAGGTGGTAGCTGCGAGGGTTCACTGTTAGTCACAGTGCACTGGCTTTAGCAAAGGTAGTGATAACCCAAGCTCCACCGGCCAACAGCAGTGTAAGGTGTGTGGATTTCAGAGCTGGAAAACAATTTGCTGCTCAGAAATGTGAAAAGCACGGGAAATTGCACCTCTGAAGGGTGATGGGGTTACACTCCGTTGGCAGCCAGGGTCCTTCATGGTGTGCTGAGATGATGACTTCAGCCTGCCCCGAGTGCCAGGGTACTTGCTTCTGACATCCCTGGGCTTCTCTGCGCCCTGAGTGGTCAGGCTGGAACTGGGTGCCAGGCAAGGAAAAAGCCTCAGGGAAGCTGTCAGCCTACCGAGGGGTACAGCAGATGGAGATGGACGACAGCGCAGGACGCAGGACTGCCCTGCTCAAGCCCTGCATCCAGAGAACCGCAGGACTGCTGTGCTACAGGCACGTGTACCCTGAACAGCACCCTTGGCTGCCGGAGCGAGGAGAGAGCGTGGAGGATCCGGGGCTGTGGGTGAGGACTGTGAGGGGAGGGTCTGAGTGGAGACAGCCAAGACACCATCAGGCTACCACGGGTTGATGTCTCTCCCCCACTCAACCTCAGGCCCCAAGGAGGGGGCTGCCATAACTTTGGGTGTCGGAAAAATGTAGCCTTGCTAGAGACTCTATCTGCTGAATGAATTCACTCCTAGCTTTCAGTTTTATTCCTCTGGGAAGTGAGGGACCAGAGCAGGGGCTCCCTGAGGCCCCGTGCGGCTAACACCCAGGACGCTACAATCTGCAGGAGGATCGGCGGCGGTTCTGCCACGGCCGCTGGCAGCGCCAAGGCAACCCCAGCTCAGTCCATCCCAGCACTTCCCTGCCTTCTGTCCAAAGCCTGTGGCTGCAGAGCCTGTTCCGCACCTTGGATGCCACAGCAACCGCGGCCACATTGACTGTGGGAGGTGAGAAGTCCAACCCAACTGTCTCTCCCCAGCTGGGGAAGGTGGAGGACCTGGCCTGAGGCAAGGACACTAGAGCGGGTCCTGCCTGTCTCACCTGCCAGCTGTGATGCCAGCAAACAAAGGCCAAGGACTCTTCGACTCGTAAAGACACGTGCACAAGTCAGGGACCTCCGGGACCCTGGACTTACAGGCAGGCACTGGTTCCTGGTGCCCCTAATCACATGATCCCCACCAGGTGACCCCCAGTGGTGGCCCTGCTGAGAGCACACTAAGCCTCTGTCCCGGCCAGCAGCGCGGCCTAAGCTTAACACGGCCTGTTACCCCACATCTCTCTCCCTCAGGACCCCAGATGCTGAGGGCAGCCTCCCCAAGGTGTGGTTCTCAGATGGTGCACCTGAACCAGCCAGACGCCTGACAAATGCAGGTTCCCAGGCCTACGACGAGGAGGGGACAACAGCAAGGGCTGCACTCTGGATTTACACCAAGTTTTACTCACACTCAATGTTCAAAAATCATTGATAAAAACACTAACGACCAGATAATTTGGGTCTCGCATAGCGATGGGTGAGATGGGAATATAGTTATATACATTTGAAAATCAAGGTAAGCTTCAAAACTATGTTTTGATACTTTTATTTTACAACTTAATTTAAATCTAGACTATTTAACATTTCATACAAATTTAACTTTAAAATTAGGTGCTGGCTATTTTACATACAGAAATCTTAAATTCTTCATTCAGAGTGCTGCGTCCCAGCCCAGAAATAGAAGGAGAGGAGCTAAGGCGGCAGAAGTGGCCCCAGCCGCCCTCCCCGGCACAGCAAACACGCAGAGCCTGTTAGAACACCGGGTTCCTGCACCGCATCTCTAAGAGGCCAGAGCCACTGCAGGGCCCGCCATTCCTTTCTCGCAGTGGGGCAGGCAGCCGGAGGACTCTCATCAGAACTTGATAAGGGGCGAGTCCAGGTTTTCTTTGTCAGCCTCGGGGCTCAGCTGGATGAGCGGGGAGCACAGGTCGATGAGCTGCTGAAGAACAAAGAGATGAGCCGGCTGCCGCCTGCACTGCCACCACGTGTCCCCCCACATACACACGACGCCACGGTGACCTGTGTGCCAGATCCACCCGGGCTCAGAGCTGGGAAATCGGCTTCGCACCCCAGGTTCAGAGATGAGGCCAGGAAACTGAGCATCACAGCCGAGATGCTGGGGGTACGGACACACAGTTGCCTTCTCGCAGGCACGGGCTACGGGGCTGGGGCCACCAACCCTGGACCCCAACAGTGCACTGGGGGGACACATCAATGGCAGCAATGACCTCCAAGGTGAGTCATGTGCTGGGACCTGAGCCCTTGGGGGTACAATGGGCAGCATGATGCGAGGTGCCCGGGACAAAGAGCACCCAGGCTGATGGCGGTACAGTCAGTCAGTCTCACCTGTCCCTCAGCCTGCACAGCTTTAGACCCGCCGTGTCTGCTCATGTCTGGGGTGTTGGCGGTGAGGTCGATCAGGGGTCTGCTTGCAGGCTCAGAGGGCACTCCAGGAGTGCCACCAAGGTCGATGAGCAGGAGCTCGGCTGCAGGTTGGTTCTCAGCCGGGGGAGAGATGGTGAGCTGGTCTAGCCCAATGTCCACGAGCAGGGGAGGACAGTCCAGCACTGCTGTGTTGGCCACCACCTTAGGCAATGCAGGCTCTGCTCACAGAGCTGCCCTGAGGACACACCCTACCCACCCTTCCTTCCAACCCCACTGTCCCCTTCACCAAACATGGGACAGACCCGGGCCACAGGGTACGGGGACTGAGCCATCCTCCAGGGCACTTAGCCTCTGAGAACCTCCAACGTGGGCCGGAACCTGCCTGCCTCTGCCTACCTCAACGGGGTGGGGGTCCTCCTCAGGCTTGGCCCCGTCCTGAGCTGGTTCTGCAGTGAGGCCTTCCAAAAGAGGATCGCTCTTCTCTGGAGAGAAGCAGAGAGCTTGGGGCACAGAGGGAGGAGGAGAGAAGCCCTCAGTGGGTGAGGGGGCCGCCTGCCAGCGCCCGGGCCCTCTGTTGCTGTCCCTCGCCGGCTCGGTGCTGTGGAGGGAAGCAAAGCCCTGGCAGCCACCTGTGGCAGAAGCATGCGGCCCTGCTGCCAGCTCCTTGGCAGACCAGCGCCTGGGGCGCTCAGTCCCCTTCCAGACCTTGAGTGCATCTGCTCTGCCTGACGGGCGGGCTGGTGGCTCCCAAGCTCCCTTCCCACTGGAATCTGGCTTGGTCCAGTTTCACCCCATGCCCATGCCAGTTCATCCCTTCCCTGGCAGCTGGGAAATACAAGCCCAGGAGCAGGGCTGCAGGGCAGAGCTTCTGGCTCCTGACGCAGCCTCATCAAGGGAGCTGGGCTCTGCTCATAAACATTTCCCGAGTGCCTACCATGTGCCTGTAGTCTCTGGGGAAAGACGAGGCAGAGTCCCAGCTTGGGGAGCTGTGAGCCTGGAGGAGCCTGAGAACCTAGGGGGACAGCCACAGCCTTTGGGGTGCATGTGGTGGATGGGGCCGGGGGGAGCAGAACGGGAGAAATGACGCTGTGTCAAAGGCTCACGGCCAAGGCAGCACAGGCCTTGTACACATGGGTGTGTGGGCACCACGAGGAGGGCACAGATGAGGGCAGGGAGGCAGGTGGGGACCAAGGACCATCACCCCGATGGGCACAGAGGGGCCTCTCAAGGGGCACCTACAGAACAGCAGCCAGTGAAGAGCCCGCAGAAGATGCTGAGCTCTGGCCACCTGGTCCTTGAGGCTCTGGTCCTACCTGGGTGGCCAGCTTCACCCTGCACCTGCCTGGTAAGAGCCACAGCGGGGGCAGAGAGCGCCCAGCCGGTCCTCGCTAACAGTGTGGGGTGGGCCGCCCCTGCACTTACCCCACCGTGGATCTCCTCCGAGGCTCGGAAGATAGCCGCCGGGCTGGGCCACACAGCGGGGACGCCAGGGCCCTGGGCACGGTTCTGGGGGTCACTAGCGGGAGGCCAGAGAGGCGCCGGCTAGCAGGTGTAGGCAACACGGACAGCCGTCTCACACTCGAGGGGGTCCTTACGCCACCAGCGGGGCTCTGTGAAGCTGGACCCGAAGAATGTCTCACGGGCGTGCTGTGAACCACAGCCCTGGAAAGACGAGGTCAGGGTGAGCAGAGCCGGCCTGGACAAAGCAAGACGCCTGCGAGCCAGCCCTCAGGAGGAGGGTTCCTGCCGGCAGGACGGAGTCCCACACGGGCACACCGGCCTGGGCCCGGGATGAGCTTGTCAGCTGCGGCCGCGCTGCCGGGCAGCAGCAAAACCCTCCCTGCGAGGCTCGGGAGCACTGAGTGTCTTCCGGGGGTGCCGTGGGAAGCTCCACGGGAAGCCCAGGCCTGTGGCCCTGGCAGTGCAGGCAAGGGATGTGCCAGTCTCCTATGTGCCCGCTTGGGCCACGGTGCGTGGCACAGGGGCCTTGGCGCAGGGTTCTCCCTGCCTCCCGTCCCTCCATCTTGCAGCCCTGCCTGGCTGTGCTGTGTTGCTGCTGCTGCTGAAGAAAGGCTGTGTCCACTGGTGATGGACTCAGGGTTGGTGGCCCTCCCCCGAATTCTTAGTGACCAGAGCGGCAAGGCTGGGGAGGTGAAGCGGCAGGGACCAGTGCTCTCCCAGGGAGCCCAGGGCTGGTCTGTGCCCTGTGGGTGAGGACCTGGCAGGAAGGCCGCCTGGGAATCGGGCAGGGCCCTGGCCAGGCCGAGCCTGCCTATCAGACGTCTGCCCGCCAGAGTACTAGCCTCTGCCATCAAACCACTGTACAGGCTGGGACAGTCCTGTACAGTGGCCGGAAAGTGTGCGAAAGTGTTAAGTAGCACCCCCTGAGGACAGACTCTTACAGCCTGTGAGAGGAAGTGCCACAGGTCAGTGCCTGCCCACCGACTGCTGCTCAAGCCCATGCTGCGGCTTCACCAGGGACTCCAGTGATAATAAATAAAATGCCACCCAGTGCCACCTCCACGTAGCTCTGGGGGCAGGAGCCACTCTTGCATTCTCCAGGGGGGAAACCGAGGGTTGAGCAGTGGGTAAGGTGGCCAGTGGCTGCCCGGCTCTAGGTTTTGCTCCTGTGTCCTTGGTGTGTGGAGGCCTCTCAGCTCGGCTCCCGCTGCTGGGAACAGGGTTTGACCGTGGAGTGTGGCAGCTCAAATTCACGAACACGAGGAAATCAAAGCCCGGGCTATCGAGGCTTCACTGAGAGACTCAGGCTGGTCCACAGGGAGAGAGCCGGGAGCATCCCTCTGGTGTCCCAGCCCAGTACTGCCGGGCCTCACCCACACCATCAGGTCCAGAGTGGAGACCCAGGCTGGCCACACCCTGGCGCCAGGTCTCCTGCCCTGAATGCTTCCCATTCCCCCACCCTGGACCACGGAGGAGACTTGAGATGTGAGGCCTCCTCTTCTGAACGAGAGCAGGTGGAGTTCAGGCAGCGGACCTCCACGAGGGACAGTAAAGGCAGCAACAGGAGGGATGCTAGGGACCAGAGAGCAGGCGGAAGTGGCGCGCCTGTGGCCAAGAGCCTGCTCGTAGGTGGCCGTGCTCTGGCCATGGGGAGGACCCCGTCCTGGAGGCAGCGCTCGGGAGGAGCTGGGGACAGAGCACCCTCTGACGTAAGAAAGGAAGCAACCGGACATGACTGACCTGCCAGCAGACGCCCACGACTGCAGCCTCTGTGCCCGAAGGAACTTCGGTGTCGTACCACTGGGGGACCCGCCTGGGACCGAGAGATGCACACGGTCAGATGGAGGTCTGGAGAGCCACACCAGGGACTTGCAGTCCTGGGCAGCACGTGGATGCACCCCAGGGAGTGACCTGAGCGCCTCGCTCTGCGGGAGCCGGACTTTCCCCTCCACCTGCTCATCAGTTACTCACCGGTAGAAAACTTGGGGATTTTAAATGGATTTGCAGGGACGGGCACGGCCTCTGTCCTGGAGTTTACACAGGAATCTCGCCATCCTAGGCTTCGAGTTTTGTTCAGTTCAGAAGATGCTGACAGAACAGAGCTGGTGCTCAGCCTTGGAACTCCACTTTCCGGGGTCCGGGGCTGGGTAGGGGGCGCCTTGGACGAGGTGGCAGCATCATTCCTTCTGGCCTGTCCACACGACACCCCTGCAGGGGCTGCGGGCAGAGCCTGGCACAGAGTGCCGGGTCCTGGACTGCCCGACTTGCCAGTGCTGGGCAGAGGCTGGGTGCCTGACTTGGCTGTAAGAGGACACAGGTGACAGCTGGATGTTTTTAAACTAAGACACCAATTAGCACCAGCACACCCATCCCCACATGACCCCAGATCATCATCACATGCACCATGGACTACCTGTGGCTCCGAGTGCCTTCTCACCCCCAGCGTAATTACCAAGATACCAAGATGTGGGGAAGTGTCCCCACAAGGTCAGACTCCCGCCTCAGCTCGGCGTGGTGGACAAGCGTGTAAGCTTAGTCCTCTGCAAGGCTGAGGCAGGAGGATCTAGTTCAAGCCCAGCCTGAGCAACTTGGTGGCTTAGGAAGATTCGATCTCAAAATTTAAAAGGTAACAGGTTTGAGGCTGGAGCTCAGTGCAGAGGCCCTGGATTCAATCCCAGCACCGGGATGGGGCCCTTCTCCATCACATGGGCAGCAGAATCTGCCCTAGCCACGCTGAGGGAAGTGACGGTGCAGACAGAGGGCCCCTCCTCCAGTAGGGGACAGTGCAGACAGAGGGTGCAGGGAAGAAGGGGAAATCATCACTAGTTGAGTGCTTCAAATTAGGAGGAGGCATAGTTACACTAATCACAAACACAATTTAAAACAGAATAATAGCCAGCACGGTGGTCCATGCCTATAAGCCCAGCACTTAGGAGGCTGAGGCAAGAAGACTGCTGTGAGCTCAAGGCCAGCCTGAACTGCATAGAGAAACGCTGTGTCAAAAAACAAAACAAATAAAACCAGAATAACAGGCGAACTAGGGTAACACACACTCAGCAGTATACCCAGTACATAAGTCAACATGGTCGACACTGTTCCTTTTTTTTGCGACAGGCTCTCACTATGTAGTTCAGGCTGGCCTCAAACTTGGCAATTCTCCTGCCTCAGCCTCCCAAGTGCTGGAATCACAGGTGTGTATATGGCACCAACACACCTGACCTGGTCAAGGGTTCTTACAATCTTGAACTAATGCCACAGCTGCTGGGTAGTAAGTAACAGCTGTGCAAGGTGCATGGCCACCCACATGGGTCTGCTGGGTGTGACGCTGAGAGAAATACACACCAGGCCCCACTCCATAGCTCTCTCAAAAGAAACAGTCACCAAAGTGGTCCAATGTCCTAGGCCAGCGCACAAGGTACCCAGAGCACCTCCCTCTGCTGCACACACCTGGTGTGCCACAGGAGGGCAAGGCATGGCAGGAGAGGCCCAGGACTCGAGGGAACCCTACAAGGACACGGTCACCTGGGGTGTAACGGTCAGGACACAGGCTCCTGACCACGAGTGGCAGTCAGGATTTCAGATCTGATTGGTCTCTACCACGAGGTGACACTTCCTGCATCTCGCAAAACCTCACTGCCCACCGCGCTGGACCTGGGCAGCCTACGCAGCAGACAGGACCGCAGAAGATCCAGTTCCTTCTGGAAGCCAGTGCCCCGCCTGCTAGGTGCCTGCTCAGCTACTGGGCCACGGGCCCCGCCCCAGCTGTGGCGCTGTTATGTGATCTTCTTTCTTTTTGGCAGTCCTGGGGATGCACCCAAGGGTGTGCTACCTCTTAGCCTCTTTCATGTTGAGATGGGTTTGCACCAAGTTGCCCCGGCAGGACTTGAACTTAAAATCCTCCTGCCGGAGGCTCCCTCAGTGCTGAGAGCTCCGTAGGTCATATGCCACTGCTGGGGCTCAGAATTCAGTCAAGAACAGATCAACTTTCATCTGCCACCAAGGGACCCCTCCCCTCACCACTAGATGGCAGCCTCAGCTCGGCAAGACAACCGGGTGCACAGGTGCGAAAGTGGGGAAGTGGTCCCCCCTAGGAGTCAGGGGATCTGGACAGTCACCCAGACACCTGATGATGTGAACACAAGGCAGGTGCCCACCTCCCGTGTCTCAGCACTGGGAACACACGTGTGCCCCCAACCAGAGGCAAAAGCATTAGAGTGTGGGGCTGGGAACAGTGTTACCCCGGCCGGTGTCCGCAGCACAGCGCTGGGCTGAAGGGCCCCGTACAAACTGTCTCGCCTGGCGCGCACGGCTCACCTTGGTCTGCCGCTGGGGACGGGTGCACGCTGGACGCTGAGCTAGAGGTAGACCCCGAGGAAGAGGAGGACTGTCTGGTGACGCTGCCAGCACACGCAGGGGCCCTTAACAGGCTCTTCGGCCTCAGCTGAGATGGGGGGCAAAACCAGAATCGCCATGAAGTCACTCCTGACCATACCCACTTCTGCACAAGTAGGGCCTCGGGACTTTTAAAAAACGGTACTGTAATAACTCGTCCTGAATTTAAAGGTAAGTAGGTAAGTGCGGGGGACCCTGGGCATCCACCTAGGTCAGACCCCGACGCTAGCAGCGTCCTCTGCACTCCCATTCCCTCACAGCGAAACGTAGATGCCGTGCAGACTCTCATTCCTCACCAGCTCAAGAGGACGGATAGGAAAAGTCTGTACATGTTCAGAACAGGGCCAACCTTATTTTTATGACTATTTTCCATCTGCAGTTGGTTGAACCCAAGGGTGTAGGGGCCGCTGTCAGGGTCACCCTGGGGAGCTGGCTGGGATGACTACTCTAGGTGCCAACTAGACCTCCTGAGTCCCCCGGTCTCGGCCCGGCTCCCGCAGCTTTAACAACGTCCACAGCACCTCTCACACAAGGCTCAGCTGGTACCGATGGGGGACAGTAGGTGGCACTGAGGGGGCAGTTGCCATGGCTGTGAGGAGCCATGGCGGCCCCATGGGAGAGCATGGCCACCACCACTTTTACAGGTGGCCCAGCTCCCACCTGGGGCACAGCTGGCCCACAGCACAGCGCCAGGCCTGACTTCCTCGCAGATTTTTCTCCAAGCTGCATCTGGTGGACTCCGCTTCCCACTGTCCCACCCCCATGGTCATCAGGGCACAGGCTGCCACCTCGCTCCCATTCACCCAGGTCACGGCCCTGTAGCCCCGATGGACTCACCTTGCTGGGGACAGGGAGTGATCGCTGGCTGCGGGCTCCCAGGCCTCCAGCACCAGGCAGGCCAGAGGTGTCCAGGGCCATTCGGGGTTTGTCCGGGCACCTAGCCCCACGGGCCTGCTTCTTGTTCACGACTCTCCCCTGGGGGGGACTCTCCGGGGCCTCTTTCCTGGGCTGCAGGTTTAACATGAGGTGTGAGGACTATCCAGAGCGCAGAAAAGACCCTCAAGCTTCCGTAAAGAGCCACCCTGGGCTCTGCTCCTCCTCCCGAACACTGCCTGGCTCTCTGCCCTTCAGTGTGGGCGAGGTGAGCAGGCTGGTCACCCCAGATAGCCAGGCATGAGCATGGGGATGGACCTGACCCCTCATGAACAGTGCAAAAAACCAGCATGGGGGCCCAGAAAGTTGTTGTTTCCAGGACGACCACAAGGGATCCAGTTCCAGCGACACACGCTGAAAACTGGGCACAGAGTGTCCCCTGGTCCTCAGCACCCCACACCACGTGAACAGCCTGACTGCAAGAAGCCCCGATGTCCTGCTGGAAGCCACTTCCTCTGACCCTTGAAGTCAAAGAGCATAAACCCTAACACACGTGAGGGCAGGGCTCCTGCGGAGCTGTGCCGCTTCCGTGGGAGCCCAAGTCCGGATGGCCTGCAGCAGCACTTTGCCTTACGGCCTCTAAAAGCTGAGATAAGCCCAGCCTGGGGGCCAAGCCGTGGGCTGTCATCCAGCATTCTGGAGGTGGAGGCAGGAGGGTTATAAATGGGGAATTGAGTAAAACATTGTCTTGAGAAACCAAAAAGGGCTGGGGCTGTAGCTCAGTGCAAAGGTCCTGGGTTCGTTCCCCAGTGCCAAGAAGCAACTACAAGAAGAGCCATGCTTCGCACAGCACTAAAGCCAGCGTGTGAAAGCAGACACTCAGTGGTTCTCAGGGCATCTGCTGTCTACACGACCATTGCCACAAGCTGAGAGGAACCTGTACTTGTCAGCAGTCACTCCTGTCCCCTGGCCGTGCCTGCCCTGGCAGCCACACAGCTGCCCACTGTCTGTCCAGTCTGCCCAGCATGGCCATGTCACAGAATGCAACTGCTTATTCCTCATGGAACACCCCACCTCCTGTGTCTGGCTTCTGTCACTGAGCACATTTTTAAGGCCACCCACGAGGGCCATGCACTGGTACTGCAGGGCTGTGTGGTGCACATGAGCTGCAGGCCCCTGGTCACTCATCGATTGGTCAGTGGCCACCTGGGTAGGCTGCAGGGTCTGGCAAAATGCCGCTGTGAACATGTGTGCCCCCCACCCCGTGTTCCACATACAGACCCTGTCCCATCCACATGTGCCACACACAATCCCGCCATGTTTATGCATGCTGCACCCACAAATGCCACGAGTAGACGCCAGGATCCCGTGCTGAGCACCCTGGGCTTGGAGCATCGTGGGTGGCCGAGAGAGGGATCTGTGGCTCAAGACTTCCCAGGCCTGTATGTGGTGTCCTGACACCCCAGAGCCAGTTCTTGAACTGCTGCCCAGGCAAGGGCGAAGCTGGCTCCCAGTTAGGTACCTGCTCAGCCACTGGGATGGCCTCCCCTCCCCTTGGTAGCAAACCTGGAAGCAAGTTGCAGTAGAGGCCTGACATGTCCCCTCCTGCCCCCTCTGCCTCTAGGACCCCAAGCTTCCCACAGGTGGCTGACTGTCCCCCAAAGGGACACCTGACAGCTGCCACATCCCAGGACAGCTGGTCCTCACAGAATGCTCGGGAGACAAGACATGGCTCTCCTAGGAGGAGCCCTCTCCCGAGGAAGGTGCCAGGAACTCAAGAGAACTAGGGGTGAAGCCCAGGCCTCACCTCCAGGCTTCTCCCCGAGTCCCCATGGTAGGGCCAGGACCAGGAGGTGGAGGCAGGGGTCTGGGTCCCCAGAAGTGCTCTCCTGTGGTCCTACCTTTTCCATGCCCAGGAGAAGGTGCCGGCTTCTCGCAGCCAGAGCACGAGGTGGCAGCAGCTTGCTGGGCGCCCTCTTCTGAGGCCCGGCCTGACGCGGAGGAGCGGTGACCCGAGAGTCCTTGGGCAAAGCCTGAGCTGGGGGCTGCAGCCTCTGCACCGGGCCAACGCCCCTGGGGGCAGGGCTGGCTGGGAGCAGGCACTCGGGCGAGCCAGGCTGGCCTTTGGAGAGTGGTGTCCCCGCCAAGGGGCTATCTGACAGGTAGAACGTTTCTCTTTTCAGTGACTTGGGGCTTTTCTCGGTTTCCTGTTCCTTCTCAAAAAGGCTCATTTTAAGCTTTGATTCCTGGACGAAACTTTCCACGCCCTGGCTGCAGGGGTTCTGGGGCTGGGCCTCCAGGGCCACCTGGGTGCGGCTCTGGCTCTCTATCTGTAGGGCCAGCAGATGCGCCTCTGTGTACACCTCCACGAACGTCTCTTCGCTGAGTGGGCTCCAGACCGAGGCCGAGGCTGGCTGTGTGGGGACCTGGTCACCCAACTCCAGGCTGGCAGCGATACACCGTTCTTTATGCCTCACAGGCCCAAAGAAGACCTCATCCTCTTCGTTTGCACTGTTGTTAAAGAGAAGGATGACTAATCCTAGTGAACACGTGTGCTCACGGGCAAGGGAGCACAGCGCACTCGCTTACCTTGAAGACGACAGTGACAGGTCGAAGTCAAATTTTTCATCGGCCAAAAGAACAACATCTGGGGGAGAAAAGGCCACTGTTATCTTAGGACTGAGGCAAAACAGAAGACGCTATTACCGCTCGCTGCAGCCACCAGAGCTGTTTCCAAACCTTACCCCAAAGTAGGAACTCGTATTATTTTAATTGTTATACATTATTCATAAAGAGCTCTAGATTACCTTAATTTTTCCATTTTCTTTTAAAAACTGCACCCAACATTCCAAGATTGCAGAGTCACCCCAAAAGCCCAGTGCCTTGTTTCTGTCATCTCACTGAATTGCCAGACGGACGACGTTTTCCAGAGCCGAGTCATCTCCAGGTAGAGAACATTTTCAGTCTACCAGCTACCTCAGTGTTCCTGGAGTTCACTGCCCCCCTCAGCTACAGAACACCTGCTCATTTCTCAGCAATGAATTCAAGCATTACTCAAATGCAGGGTGGGATCCCCATCCCCAGTGTGGCCTCCACTGTGCTGTCTGTCCATCTGTCCAGCTCCCTCTAACAGACCTCTAGCTCCGGTTTGATGGACCTCAGCTGGGACAACTGGGCTCTCTGCCAGACCTCATGCCAGGGCTCCCACACAGCTGGACTGTCCCCGCCGTCCTGTGTAGGTGCCTTTCAACTTGGTGGCCCCAGATGGGCTGAAAGTGCCTCTGAGATAACAAATATCTACTGCACCCTCCAGTGCCCAGCAAGGCCTGGACCCCCAAACACACAGTAATCAGTGCTGAATCGCAGTGAAACGGTACTTCAGCGCTGTAAGTTACACCCTATATCAGAGTCGGAGAATTCTGCTGAGTGTGGTGGCACATGCCTGAAAATAAGCATGCGTGGAGGCAGGGGGACCCCGAGGTCAAGCCAGGTGACCAGTTAACTGTGTCAACATAAAAAATAAGGCCAGGTGCAGTGGCACACACCTGTCACCTCAGTACTTGGGAGCTGAGGCAGGAGGCCTGTCATGAGCTGAAACCAGCTAAACTACAAGCAAGGTCTTAGCCTCCGGTACTGACATACCGTAGAAATTCAAAATACATCCTAGTTAGGTATCATCAGCTGTGGAGCTTTACTTAATCAAGGAAGAGCATACAAAGACTGGGGCGAGGCTAATGGCGGGGCTCATGCTTAGCACACAGGAGGCTACGGATTCCGGACCAAACACCAAAAAGGGGTCCTGCTAAAGAGTGCCAATACATACCAGGGAGGGGGCCGCCAGAAAGAAAAATAAAGGCTTCATAAGTGACTTTGCTCGGCTCCATGCACAGAAACCTACACAGATCTGGCTGAAATGGGCCACTTGCCAGGAAAATATTTAACTTTTCATTTAAATTTATTTATAAAGCTGATCCAGAAGACACAATAAGTTCTAATTGCTCGATTGTCATAAAGTAACAGGTGAAATACATTAATTAGCTCTCCTCTAAGAAAGTCTTACCTGGTTTCATAGGACAAATAACTACGAAACCTTTAAAGAATATGTAACTCCATATCATTCCTAGTGCTCCAGAAAACAGGAGAAAATAAACCTTCCGCTTCCTTCACAGTGACACCAAAATCCTAGAATTGTTTTTCAATAAAGGATGCTACAAGGGCCAGGGATTTAGCTCAGCGGCATAAGCACCTGCCTGGCAAGCAGGCAGTCGTGAGTTCGATCCCCATTACCGATAAAAAGAAAAAAGACAAAAAAAAAAAAAAAAAGAAAGGCTGGGATGTAGCTCAGAGCGAAGGGGGATGGGGGCAACATGGGACAGGACAGGATGGGACGGGACCGACGGGACATGACTACAAACCAGTCTTATTTATGTCAGGGAAAAACATTAGCTAGACTAACTATATTACAAAGATTAACTATAATTTTTTGGTCGGATATTTATTTATTTTTCAAATTTTAAGGAGAAGAAAGAGAAGAAAAAACTAAAACAATTTCAAAACACGTCAATCGGGGGGCAGCAATGGTGCATACATTGCACGGTGCCACCCCCAGATCAGTCACCCGGAGCACAGGACACCCGCATTCAATGGTCTGAACAACACCAGCACAAAGCTTTCTCTTCAGTGAGCTCAAAGGAATCGGTAGTGTAACTATCTTAACTAACTTTTTATATACATATACACCACATATATACATACAACATATATATATATATATATATATATATATATATATATATATATATATATGTTGTTTCTTTCAGCTGTTCCCACGGAAGAGCCAGCACCCCACGCCCACGTGTGTAAGGCTCGCAGTGCGCTGTGAACAGCCTGGCTTCGTCTCAGGACTAAAGAGCTAACTTAACACAGCCCAGCAGCACGACCCATTCACATGTTGAAGAGACACGTGGTGAAATAGAACGTATATTCTTGGTTTTAAAGGCTCTTAATAAAAAAAATAACGCATATATTTTATCCTAGAAAGAAGGACCCATCTCAGCTCAAAAGCCAAAATTAGGTTCAGGGGGAAAACCAGAAGCACTGCTTCTCAAGACAGAAGGCATCAGCGGGTCAGGGGACAAGCCCAAAGCCCCAGGGGCTAAAGCAGAAACCACCTAGTGCTCACGCTCCCAGGTCGCAGGCTGGCAGAGCCCCCCCAGGACCACTTCCGGTCTCCGCAGCAGGACGAGGCCAAGACTAACTCCAAGCAGTCTTGGAGACCCCGAACAGGAAGGCCCACAACACAACATCCCCGCGCCACAGCTACCTGCAAGTGAGGCGGGATATCATCTGTCACGTGTCTGGAAGGAAGAAAATCACAGAGCCACAAACAGACAAGATCAGTGACCACCACTTGTGCGTCAACTAGCTCAGGAGCTGGCACTGGGCTTCACGGAAAACTTCGAGAGCGACTCCACTAAAGCCAGGCACAGAGCGAGGTCAGCAGGCACCACGACCTCCACGCTGCCCTGGACACCTTAACCAGCACCACGGGGCCCGGCAAAGCCACAGTGTCGCAGCGCACACATGCTGTGGTTACAGACAGGGCAGCAGAGCCCACAGGGAGGAAACCGAGAAGGCCTAGCTGTGGCACCGCACTAGATGTCCCACGGTCAAACACTGATTTTCAGAAAGATGAAAGTTTGTAAAATCTGTACAGGGCAAAAGTCACAACAAGCTAACTTAAACAAAACTCAGGGAAAACAGCATTTGCAGCTGAGCACATACAAGGCTAATTTATGATGAGAAAACAATCACCTAATGGAAAGACAGAAAGTATAATGCAGATAACATCCACAGAAAATAAGACGTTCTTAGAAGCTCCATCTTGCTCAAAACTAAGTCACGAGGAGCAGACTTACCCCGAGATCTCACTTTTCATCTACCAGACTGACACAAATAAAATGACGAGCTGCAGGCAAGCCCTGGGGCGGGTCGGTGCCCCTTGAGGAGGGCACAGGCCTGGCGGCCTGGCCAGCCCACTTGTGTGCCCACGTCCGCCATCAGTCACAGACGGCTGCTGTGTGATGTGCACAGTAGGATTTATAACAGCCGGGCAGCGACGCCCAGCACCTAAAATGAGTCTGGTCCATCCCTACGCAGACCACCACGCGGACGATCGAGGAGGAACAATGCTCTTTCTATGTGCCACACAGTAACTGTCCTGATAGACTAGTCGTACAACACCAGAAGCAGCTGGGGATCGTGGCGCACGCCTGTAATCCCACTACTTAGGAAGCTGAGGCAGGAGGAGCACATGACTGTCAGAGTAGCCTGGGCTACACAGCAAGATCTTGTCTCCAAAAAATCAAATAGAATCGAATAGAATCCAGGAGGACAGGGTCCTATGTGCCGTAGAAGAGGGACGCAGTCAACACTGTACATACTGCTGGCATTCACACAAACTATGTCTGGAAGGATTCTCACAACAGCGATGGCTACACTGGCCCTTGGCGGGGCAAAGGAGCGACTGAGGGACAGATCCGAGACAACACTTAACTTTTCAGAATCTGAACCTGGGAAGCCAATCTGATCGATCACTTCCAGAAACTTCCAAATGGCTCTTATAGAAGGACAGAACCGTGAGGCAGAGGCAGGGAAGCAGTGTTCCGTGCCGGGTGCCGAGTCTGGCTCCCAGGGGCCTAGTGCTGGCTGACTCCACTACTCTGCAAACCTGCGAGCATTCACCAACAGGCTGCAGCCTTGACGTCCATGCCACCTGCCCTTTCGGGGGCACCAGGCTTGCACAACGCTAAGTGGAGGTGGGGGCACCTGTGAAAAAATAGCAAAGCACATCAGCAAGGACGCAGTGATAGCTCTTGAACTTGCAAATGTTCACATTGGGCAAAGTGAAACTAACAAACAGGCACAGGGAGTTACAACGGCTGAGAACAGGGCATCTGGACGGAGCTCAAAGACAGTAGGTGAACCCACGTGACGTTCAGTAATTGGGAATTGGGTGCAAATGTGGGGCGGGGGTCCTCAGCTTGGACAGCTGGGCGAATCGAGAGGCTGTTTACTCTGATGGAAAGCTTCCAGGACTGTTTCTGCAAAATGGAGAAGCCAAGGACACCTGGCTGCCCAGTCTACTGCCTCACACAGAAGTCACGAGGCCCAAAGGAAAAAGGGTGGCCAAAGGCTTTAAGAGAAAAAGGGGGTGTGGGCTCTACAGTTGGCCCTCCATCTCCCCGGATTCCACATCCACGGATCTGACCAACAGTGGACTGAAAATACTTGAGAAAAAACTGTATCTGTAACTGAACACATACAGGCTATCTTTTCTTGCAATCACTCACTAAACAGCACAGTGCAATAAATATTTACATAGCATTTGCATGTCACTGGTATTAATTATATCTAGGAATGATTTCACATGCACAGGATGGGAGTGTGCGTTCATTATATGCAAGCACTGTTGTTGAATATAAGACACTTGAGTGTTTGTGAATTTTGGTATCCAGGGGATCCTGGAACAGATTTCCCAGGTTTCTGAGGGTCAGCCACAACTTATTTTGTGAATCTGTACCCTCACTCATACCCTGTACCTTCATCTCGATAACCAACCCACACAAAGAGAGAAAAAGAAAGGGAAGTTATGGGCCAGGCTCACTCACTAACAGGGTCCCCAAAATCCTAAGCAAGTCTTAGCAACAGAAGCCAGTGACAAACAAGGAAACAATAAATTCAATTTAACGAACACAGCATGGGGATATCTGCGTTTAAAAAAAAAAAAAAAAAAAAAGATAAGAATCCCTGCCGCGGTGGAACTTAAAGTGTAGGTTTAGGGTGTGTATGTGTGTGTAGAAAAAATTAAACAGGACCAGGTGTTTGACGGATGCAGCGCATAAGACAAGCACTCAATGAATGAATAGTCTTACGGAAACATTAAATCCACGTCCGTCTTTACTGAGGTCCCTGAAACACAGATTTACCTTCCTTCTTGGCAACGTCCATAGCTGCCTCTCGGCCGGGCTGCAGCCGCGTCCCCGCTCTCGGAGGAAGGTACTGTCGGGAGCTGCTGCAGGAGGAAAGGGGCAGGTGAGCGGTGGCTGAGCCCGGGCCCTTGGCTCGGCGGCGCAAGCCCGGGCAGCACACCCCGGACAGAGATGCCTGAAGGCCGTGGGCGGCTCAGAGCGAGGAAAGGGTGGAGAGGAGGCCACTAGAACGGACCGCGACTCACTGGGCGGGAGGCGGCGGCCTAACTGAGCCCGGCGGAGGGAGTAACGGATTCCCAGCGGGGGCCGCGGCAGCCAAGGCCTCCCGTTCCCTGACCCAGGCACGGGTTCCGGCTGGAGCCCAGGGCCGGCTCCGGGGACGCGCGTCCTCCCCGCCGGAGAACAGCACGCACTGCCCCGTGCCTCAGGGCCCACCCCGTACCCACCGGGTGAGCCGGTCCGAGTCCGAGATCTCACCCTTCACCCTACAGGCAGGAGACGCCGAACGCACCTCCGTCGTCGGGGTTTAAACACGGTGCCGGTTGGCGGCGCGGACCGCCGATTGGTCGATTTGAATAGGACTCACTGAGCGCAGTGCACCCTGGAGATTGTAGTCAGGAAATGTGGAAGGAAGTCCATGCGCACGCGCAGAGGGTTGGCTACGCACGACGCGTGCGCAATCACCTTGATTCGCCGACAAGGGAGAAGAGAGGTCCTGAAAGGCGGGGCTCAGCGCCTCTCCTTGGTAGTTCCCGCTTCTGTCCGGTGCGCAGTGCTGGCTCGCCTTGACCTTCCTCTCACCCTGAGCCTCGAACCTTGGGCTCCACCCTGAGTGTATTCCTTCCTTTGTCAGGGCCTTTTCATGTTCGGTTTTTTCCTTGGCGTTAGAGCGAACCAGGCGCTTTCATGCTGAGCTACATTTCCACTGCTTTTGTATTTTTTAAATTTTGAGGCCAGATCTTGCTAAGTGGCTTGCTCAAGATCTTAACTGGTGAAAAGCGATGGCGACAGGCAGACCCAGGCGCATATCCCAGCTAAGAGCATCAGTCGGGATGTTCCAGCTAACACAAAGCCACCTACCTTCAAGCTGGCTTCGGAAAGTTGGAGGCCTTACGGGCTCAGGGAATGGCAAAGTCCAGGTTGGTTTGGATAGAAAGAGGGATTTTAAAAATGCTACTAGGTTGGGCCGTCTACTGGCCACTTCTGGAATTGCCCACCTCCAGGCAGGCTTTGCTTGGCACACTGGCCCAGGAACTTCAAGCTCCGGGTCACCTGGCAGGGATGACGATCAGTTCATGTCACTTGCACTGAACCTGGGGTTGCAAGGGCCAGGCCTGCCTGAGTCACGTACCAGAGGGAAGGGAGGACCACTGTGGCAGCAGGGAGGATGACCCAAGACTCCAGGTCTCTTGGCTCCGTTGCTGCCTCACCTTCCAGGGGCTGGATCCCTGTAGCCCAAGGGATGTCTGCTGAGACATCTGTCCTCTCACTGTATCAGCACAGAGTGGGCGTTCACCATGGTCAACAGCGTTGCTGCTGCTCCCAGTACTCTCCTGATGACCTTTTTCCTTACCATGGGGCTGTCCCTTCTGGGTTCATTTCTCACCCTGGTAGAATTCTGCCCAGTTAGGGCGTTCAGCCACCAGCTCTCACTGACAGCTCAGTGTGGCCACGTTCTAAGGATGCTGGGTCCACGGACATCATCCCTGACCTCAGGATCACAGCAGGGGAGAAAGTTGAAATAACACGGGTTGCTACCCCAGGCTGGGGGATACAGGAGAGGGGCCCCCATCAGCCTGCAAGAGAGGGAGGGAGTGGCAGGATGGAAGGCTTTGCAGAGGAAGGGTCAGGGAGCCCTCTTCCTGGACCACATCATGTCTTGCTTGGAAACAGTTAAGAGCCCAGGCAGGCTTCTGCTTGGGGGTGTGTCCCTAGCTCCTGGTAGGGATGACACCTCTCTTGAAATCTGACTGTAATTTCTCATTTTCTTGGCTGGCTGTCACATCCACTCAAGTTCAGGGAAAAGCTATCTTCCAGGACCCAGCCAGGGCCTGGAAAAGATGCTTAGAGGTACCCACAAGAGTCGGGAACAGTGAATTTATTGAAATCCCAGGAATCTACCCAGGCTTGAGCAAAACCCAGGGACCTAACAGCTTTAGAGGCCTCCTCTCCCTCCCAGGACACCTGCCCACTCCCTGTCCCACGGCCCCCGCCTGACTTCAGTTAGAGCTAAAAGAATTTGAAAGTAACCCATTTCCCCTCACAGGAAAGCCCGGAGCAGCAGCCCTGAGTCTGCACACTTGGGAGAGGCACCCAGGTCAGGCTACAACAGAGAAGCAGGAGACAGAAGCGACATTTAAAAGTCTGGCTTGGGGCTGGGGATTAAGCTCAGCGGCATAAGCACCTGCCTTGTAAGCAGGCGGTCGTGAGTTCAATCCCTGGTACTGATAAAAAAAAAAAAAAAAAAAAAAGAAAGAAAGAAAGTTAAAAGTCTAGTTCAAATTGTTCAGATCGTGTGTTGGATCTTTGGTTTTTCCTACCACAGAGCAGCCCGGAGCGCAGCCCTGAAAGGGCTGAGAATCAGAGTTTACAAGGACGCTGGGCACCCAGAGTGCATCCATGGGTGGGTCAGGCAGAGGGAGCATCTCTGACAGATGGGCAGCACCGGAGCCCTCCTGAGCTGCTCCTGGCCAGCTGATCCATGAAGAGGGCGCTGTGGTTACAGTTGGGCTGAGGCCAGAGGTGTCAAGGTGGGGACCCCTCTCCCAACAGGACAGATTGCCCCACTAACTGTCCCCTGAGAAGTGGGCCAGCAGGACCTGCAGAACACGTCGGAAGACTAAATGAAGGGTTTAACCGCAGGGCATCCCGTTGCAGGGTGAGCCTGCCTGGCGGGTCCTGCCTTCTAGCCTTTGTACAACCAGGAAGAGGAGGTGGAACTGTGCCCGTGGGAAAGTACAGCGTACAAAGCCAGTGACACAGCAGCCTCTTGAGTTGGTTCTGCCTGATCAGGGTGACGCATACCTGTAACCCCAGCTATTCGAAAGGCGGAGGAAGGACAGCTAATTTGAACCCAGCCTCAGCAACTCAATGGGACACTATGAAAAAGGCATGGGTGGGAGGGGCTGGGGCTGGACCTAAGTTCAATCCCCTACCCCACAGGAAAAGAAAGCACGCTGACACCAGCGGTGGTGGTACATGGCTTTAATTCCAGTTACTTGGGAGGCCAGAGCAGAAAGGTTGCAAGAGACTAACTTGGGCAATCCAGATGCTACCTCAAAATAAAAGTGCTGCGGGTATTGTAGCTGAGTGAGAGTGCTTGTGTGGCATGTACAAGGCTAATCCCTGGACCCACACCCTGGACCTCAGCAAGGGTTGGAAGAAAATTCTAAATCACATTGAAAATTAACTTGCCGGGGCCTGGGGATTTAGCTCAGCGGCATAAGCGCCTGCCTTGCAAGCAGGCAGTCCTGAGTTCGATCCCCGGTACCGATAAAAAGGAAAAAGACAAAAAAAAAAAAAAAAAAAGAAAGAAAATTAACTTGCCTTCCCTCTTTCTATAAAACTGAGTGCAGGATGCATTCCGCTCGGGCCGACTCTGTCCTAGCAAGCAGGTCCAACCCCCTGACCCTACCCCAGTGTTGCCCTGATGCAGGAGCAGTCACTCTGGCTCGTGCAGCCCTGATCACTACATGAGGTGAACGGCAGCCGCCTTGCGGATGAGCCGTTCAGTCAGGGGCGAGTTGGGCTTCAGGGCGTCACGCTCCATCAGAAGGCTCCTGTGGAGATATACATGCGGTTATGGAACCTTCGAGAAGGGTCAGGCCTGAGGTCCCCTGGTCCACGGCAGGAGGACCAGGCCTGGGTTGTGGAGCAGAGGGGACAGGATGGGCGGGACAGGAGTCTTGGGCTCAGCTGGGGAGCAGAGAGCCACATCCTGGACCCACAGAGGAAGCAGGGCAGGGACATCCTGAGGCATCCCATGTCCACCTCACCGTGAAAACTGCACCCTGTGATGTGGTAAGGACGGTACTGTGGCCTGGTCTGCCTCAGGGACAGCCACGGCTTAGAATCTCGCCACTCACTCTGCAGCCACAGCTTGAAGCTGGGGACACCAGGAACGAGACATGGCAGAGGGCGGGAAGCGAGGGGTAGGCCAAAGGTGTGGGGGACCCCAAGACAGAAGAAGGCAAGCATTAGAGGGTGTGCGAGGCAAAGCCCAGCTGTGGGCTGAAGGCCGGTGTCTCCCAGATCGCGTGCTGGGACCTTGGTCCTCCACAGTGTGCGGCTGTCAGGAGCGGGACACTGGGAGGTGACGACATAGGAAGGCCCTCAGGACAGGATTCCTATGCTTCTAAGAGGCAGCGTGAGAGAATTCCCTCTGAGCACCCACAGGAGGGCGCTGTCGCCCGGCCACGCTGAGGCCCTGCCTCTATGCTGGTCCCCCAGTCTCCACCCGGTGACACAACTGTTCCCTGTGTAAGCCACCCTGATGTGGTGTTCTTTATGACGCCAAGGACGCCAAGATAGGCCCCAAAAAGGGACCAACGGGGTCCTGTGCATGAGCGGTGTAGGGCTGGGGGCTGGGGTGGGGACGCGTGGGCAGGCGTGTGAAGTGCAGGCTATGGGGTAGCCCTCGAGTGTCCCCAGAAGCCCACGAGGTCACAGGATGGTGAGCTGGGTGATGGTGATGGGAACATGGGGGCTCTGGCTCCATTAATCAATAAAACACCCAGGAGATGGGAATTTAGTGTCATTATTGGGACAGCATGGAAACATGAGGGAGGGGGCCTAGTTGAAGGGACAGGGGCCTGGAGTGTGATCTTGGGGTCTTTGGTTTGCAGGCTCCAGCACGGGAAGCTTGGGTGGGGGGCACACCCCAACCACAGCCACCTTTGAGGGCATGAGCCACACGTGGTGGCAGAGGGCACTGCATGGTCACCTCTGCCCAGGTGCCCATGTAGCCTGCTGGCCTCTGCACCATCTTACCCTGTCCCTGGGAGGGCCCAGACTGCCTGGCACACATGCCCTGGACTTGCAGGGCCCCTCCATTGTGGCTTTCAAGGGACACCTGACACCTCCCCACTCACCACCTCCACAAGGCACCCGATCTCTAGACACCTGTTCGGAGCTCCTCTCTGTCCCGTCTCCCACTCGGGACAGGTCCATGGAGCCGTGGCCGATGCCCTCCCTTGATCCCCGCCTCCCATGCCCAGCACAGGCAGGAAAACATGAGCCAAAGCCTGCAGGAGCCATGGGCATCCACCAGGTGGAAAGGGATACAGCTGTCCCAGCTTGTGCAAAGGCCCAGGGGCTCTTTGTGCAGCTAAGATGAGCTGTGGGCTAAGGCGGTGGAGGTCAGGCCTAGAGCAAGGCTAGCTGGCAGTCAGGTTAGGCCTGCTCACAAAGGAGAACCAAGTTCCCCGATGGTCTTGCCCCTGTACGACCTCAGGGAGGGTGGCCCCAGGAGTGCCCGCTGAGGGGAGCCCGCCCGCCCGTGCTGGGTGTGGAAGCTGTCACTCACCGGGCCACATTCCTGTAGGCGCTGGAGGTGCAGTTCAAGGCTGTGTGGATCAGCAGCTGGTTGAAGACATCTCTCTGCAATGCGGGGGGTGGGGGTGGTGTCAAGAGCCTGTAGCCCCGACACCCCAACATGGGGCAGCCTGTGGCTCCACCATGGATGACGCGCTCTGGGGAGGCAGCATGAGGGACAAGGACTCCCGGGAGAGGCAGGGGTGCCCACGCGGGGAGGCGGCTGGCCGCTCACCTGGGCATCGCTGCCCCCGATCTGGACGATGCGGTAACGGATGGGCAGCAGCAGCTCCAGCGCGCGGTCGGCGTTCCCGTCCTTGAACTCTACCATTGCCCGGCACAGGGGCAGCCCCACGTCTCGGGCCAGCAGGTGCTGGCAGTTCTCCCCTGGGGACCTGTCCCCGAGACACAGCTGAGGCCACCTCCACAGGGCACCGTCCCACCCACGCACCATCCAGCAGTTGAGCTGGTCACGTCACGAGGTGGACGCTCTGATACGGTGAGGCCCAGCACGGAAGGGCGTGGGGACCCCAACTCCCTGCCTCAGTCTGTCCATCTGGAAAATGAGTGTGATGGTACCTGCTTCCCAGAGAGGTTAGGATGGTGGACAACACCAGTGAAGGCTGGGCATGAATGTTAGGGTTCCCACCGTCACCCTTATCGGCCCCAGGCAGGCACCATCTCAATGTACAGATAAGGAAACTGAGGCTCAGAGCAAAGATGCGCCTTGCCCAGGATCTCAGGCCCTGACCCAGCACATGCCTCTGGTCGCAGGACCCACTGGGTCTCTCAGGATCCACCCCAACACTGGGCTTTCCTGCCCGTCCGGGGGACACAGAGGCAGCTCTGTAGGGGGAGCACCAAGGGCTCCCCCAAGGCGATGCAGGTACCCCTCTTCTACCAGCACCCCAACAGTGGGCCCACCCTGGACCCTGCATACTCGCTGGCTTCCTGCAGGCTAGTCAGCAGGTCCTGTGTGGTCTGGCGGTCCTGGGCGCCCAGCGAGGCCATCAGGAAGTGAGCATCATTGAACAGCAGGATGTGGTCCTGGCTGTGAGGCCTCGTCACAGGCAGGACGTCCTGCCACCGCTGGCCCACGGACACCCCTGGGGACACAGGAGGACACCGGGATTTGTGTGCAACTGGGAGCACATTCCGCACTCTGCTCCTCCAATCTGCAATCTTCTTGCCTCAGCCTCCCAGAGTGTGTAACTTTTTTAGCCCCGAACACATTTTTAAACTCTTCTGGTAGGTGGTTCATGCAAGGATAGCCCCTGGTACATAGCAGGACCTCAACAAAAATGTGTTTTGGGCCAGGGATTTAGCTCAGTGGCACAGCACCTGCCTGGCAAGTTCGAGGCCCTGAGTTCAATTCCTGGTACCAAAAAGAAAACAAACACACACACACACAAAGAGGGCCTGGGATTTAGCTCAGTGGTGTAAGCACTCGCCTGGCAAGGGCAAGGTTGTGAGTTCGATCCCTGGTACCAAAAAAAGGAAAAAGAAAGAAAGAAAGCAGGGGCTGGGGATTTAGCTCAGCGGCATAAGCGCCTGCCTTGCAAACAGGCAGTTGTGAGTTCGATCCCTGGTACCGATAAAAATGAAAAAGACAAAAAAAAAAAAAAAAAAGAAAGAAAGCAAACAAAGAAACAAAAGCTGGGCTGCATTAATAACATCCTCTCCCTGTGGGTCTGGATCTCTCAACTCCTCGATCGTCCGGCTCCACTCTCCGGTGCCACCTGCCAACGGGCCCCTCCCTGCCTCGAGCACCACCATCACCGGGCCCGGGACCTCCATTCCTCATTGCCCTCACTGGCCCACAGCTCTGAGTCTCTGCTTTTGCACAGCCGGGAGGTGAGTGCCCCACCTGCCCCCAGGGTCCCCTGCCCCTTCCTCACGCCCACTCTGCTCAGGTCAGCAGGGTCTCAGGGTGTGTGGGGGCGACACCCTCCTCCCCCAGGCTCTCCTGGGCCTCGAAGTCCTACAGCACCAGTGGCTGGTTCAGTCTCCTGCTTCCCTCCTCACAGCAGCCACCAAGGGTGAGGTGTGGATTTTGAGGCCACAGCCTCCTGGAGGATCCCCAGCTCCTCCCCAGCCAGGCCTCTGCTGACTCCGTCCTCCTCAGCTCCCCTCGCCCCTCACCGGGCCCTTCCTGCACACTGGTACCCCAGCTCCCACCACTCAGCTCCTCACCCAACCTCTGACACCCATCCCTTCCAGGCTGCACCTCCCTGCATCTAACACTCTTCATCCCCTCTGCCAGCCAAACCCTCCGCATCTGCCCTGGCTCACATCTCTCCTCCGCCTCAAAGCCTCCCGGACCTCCCTGAAGCAGCTCGTCCTACCCTGCCTCCAGCCCCACAGTGCCCCAGCTCCCCAACATGACCCAGCCTGGACCTGGGTGGCACAGGTTTGGCTCTCTGGAGTCCCGGGGATAGGGCAGACCCCTCTGACACTGCAGTGGCCGTGAGAAGCCAGCAAGGCCCCTGGAGCCATAGCCAGCCAGGGCTAGGTCACTACAGAGCGGGGGATGACAGGGCCCAGAAACTGCATTGTCAGGGGGTTGGGAAGCACTCGTCTCTCGGGTCCTAGAAAGAAGCCATCGTGACAGAGGCCAGGTGCCACCTGGGCTCTGGAGGCCTGGTGGACAGGGTGTGGGAACAACAGGGGACCCCGGGTGCAGTGCTGAGGCCCCCACGAGAAGGGGAGGAAGGAGCTGGAAAAACGGGCAGAGGTGGCCAGCAGTCACTGGGGGTGGACTGGAGGACAGCTGAGCAGCTGGGACCTGGAGGGGCCCGCCTGGGTTACAGCGCCCGGATCGCACTGGGGATAAGAGCACAGGCCTCGGGCAGGACGCGCTACCTTCCATCTGGAGGCGGAAGAGCATGGAGCAGCTGTCCACCATGTCCAGCATGGTACCGCTCCTCTGCAGGCTGGGCAGGATCTGCAAAGCAAAGCCCCGGGAATGGGTGATGAGGAGTCCACGGGGACAATGAAGGAGCCACTGCCGCCGTCCCTGCCACCCCAAGGATCAGCACGGTCACCTCGCCAAGGGCCCTAACAGCTGCAGGGAGTAGACCTGCAGTTGGAACCTGCCATGCTGGGGGGCCGGGGACACGTGTTAGGCCCTGTGTCCTGGCATTCGGCACCCCTAGCCCAGAGCCTCAGAGCAGGTCACTGTCCCCTCTCCCCAGAGGTCCCTCTCCCCAGAGGTCCCGCCCCTGTGGGAGGTAACACAGTGGGTTTCCTCTGACATTCCGGGTCCCAGGTTTTTGATCCTAAGCCCTCACTGAGGGATGCTTTTTCCTTTGAAAAGAACACCAGGGGCTGGGGGCAGGGAAGAGGTACAGAGGGTCAGTTTGAGAAGGAGGCAGTTCTGGGGATGTGTGACCCTGGAGCCCCACATGGCAGGTGTGCGCAGGGCTGACGTGCACTTAGCTTTCCCTCATGTGTTATCTCGGGACAGACAAAGGTCTGTGCACAGATTGGCGCCCTCACAAGGGCGACCTAAAGGCTGCCTCGGGACAGTGGCCTCCACACTCCTCTGCGGACACCCTAGGGTTAACAGAATCAGCGGAACAGGGCTCTGGGCAAGAACCGGGTCCAGGCTCTGCGGGTTTTTTCCTTGCAGGGACGACGTCACCAGAGCCGGAAGTAACCAGACTGCACACGCAGCACTTACATGATTATCATAGATGGTCAGCGCCCCCTCGTAGTCACCCTGGCAACAGAAAGAGGCGGAGTTAGCACTGCACAAAGCACAGCCCCGCTGAGAAGCTGCGTAAACACCTGGCCAGGGTTCCCCAAGCACGTGGCGGGCGCAGCCTCCTCGTGGGCTGGGCCAAGAAGGGGCAGGTGTGGCTGGGGTGGACCCAAGGCTGTGCTGAGCACAGGGCTCACGTCTCCTGCCCAGAGTTAATTCCCGGTGAGCTGCCCTAAATGGAAACATAACCGCTTCTCTTTCTTCTTGTGGTACTAAGGACTGAACCCAGGACCTTCACCCCGAACTATATACCCCTACCCTTTTTATTTTTAACTTCTAAGACAGGTTCTCAAAGTCGCTAAATTGTCCGGGCTAAGTTTGAACTTCTCACCCTCCTGCCTCAGCCTCCCAGTGCTAGGATTACAGGCCCCTGGCTGCAAATCTGAACTGCATGATGCCACAGTGGAGAAGCCCACAGCTGACCTCCTGCGTGGGTCAGTCCAAACACAGGCATCTCAATAACAGTGGAGGATGCCAGCTTCGGGCTATGTGGTAAAACTCATAGGAAACATCAATGAATTTCGTGTTTCAATTTAGATCCTGTAACGGTTTGTAGCTAGATGTCCCTCCAAAGCCTCAGGCACTCAGAGGCAGCACTTTTGGGAAGTCATTGGATCACTCGAGCACCCTACTCATCACTGGATCAGTCCACAAGTGAGTTTATAAGTAAACGTGCAGTTAGGAGGTGGGAGCTGGCCAGAGGGGTGGGTGTGGCCAGAGGGGGTGGGTGTGGCCAGAGGGGTGGGTGTGGCCAGAGGAGGTGGTGCCCGGTCAGAGGAGGCAGGGCCTGGTTGGAAGAGGCAGCCCTAGGGGTGTGGCCTACGAGGGTTCATTTCCCTGCGGGCTCCTTCCCTGCTCTCTGCTTCCTGTCAGCCAAGCTGTAAGCAGCTCTCCAGCAGGCTGCCTAGCCAAACTGTTTCTTTGGAGCTGGTCAACCCTGTTCATTAACTAAAGTACACCTGGCCTCCTTTGAGCTGCTGGTGTCCAGTATTTTGGCCTAGCAAGGACAAAATGACCAGGAAGGATCCCATTCTCAAGATACCTGATTTTGTGTAGGCAAATGTTCCCAAACCTGAAAAGCTCCTCAATCTGAAACACTTCTCCGAGGCGCTCAGGGTAGGGGACACTGCTGTGGGGGCCGCAGGGTCTCTGCCTCCTTCTACACAAGCTATCTCCGCATTCTACATCCACACAGAGTTCTCATCCGCGTGCATTCCTCCCACTGGACATCTGGGGACCCTTCTGTCTTGCTCTGTGGTCCACAGAGCTGCCAAGAAGCACCCTGATAAATAGGGTGCTCGGGGGAATCACGAGGGCTGAGGGGGCTCCCGAGCAGTGAGCCCACAGCCCTGCTCCTCCTGGAGATCCCAGGGTTCCTTCAGGCCCAGGCTGTGGGGAGGGGGCTGAGCTCTGCACCCCAGCAGCAGGGAGAAACCTACAAGGTGCAGTCAAAATACATGGATGTTCTTAAATTTTAAAAATGTGCACAGTTAGAGACACTGCCATGAATCCCGTCAGAGTCCTCTCACAGGGAGCATCCGTCTGTTCTCGGCCCCTTTCTGACCGCTCTGTAGGTCCTCCTTCCCGAGTGGCTTTAGTTGCACTGCCGTGGCCGCCTCAGTGCTCTGAGCCGATTCCAGACCTTGCGGTCATTTTGACTTTGGGAAAGCCGGAAGTGCCACGGCCCCAGGTCTCGGGATCAGGCGAAAGAGGACACAGTGCCATGTTTTGAGGAGCCCGCCTTTCTGTTGGATGGTGCTCGGCAGCAGCCTCTACTGTATTTTTTATCACGTCTCATAAAGATGCTCAGGAAAGGGCTCCAGAGCTGCTTCAGAAACTGGCAGGACTGCTGGATGAGTGTGTTCAAAGCACGGGAGAGGAATCTGGGAGAGATTCATGCTGTGTGTCTCTAACCGTCATAATTTAAACATTCACCGCAGTTTCCAGCGCCCCTGTGCACAGTCGGTGTGACAGCACACAGGCCCCCACGTTTGGACAAGGCCTGCGGACCTACAGCAGACCCCAGAAATACTCTCTCCCGTGACGTCTGTGTGGGTGACGCTGTCATCTTACCTTCTCAATCAAGTACAGGGCCCAGTGCCAGTAATTGTGGCAAGCCAGCATGTCAGAGTCCTGCGGGAAGATCAAGAGAATTAAGGAAAGACGGGACCGTGCAGACCAGCATGCGTGGGCTTGTGCTGAGGGAAGCAACGGCCCGCCAGGCCCTGTCTGTCCCGGCATCTCCACGCCACCCCATCACCCTCTGCGCTGGGGGCAGCCATGGCTGTGCCTGCGTGGACCCAGGAGGCTGAGGCAGGGGGAGTCTTCACAGCTGGACCCTCCCGGGCTCTCCAGGGCAGGGTGGAGGCCTATGGTGGAGACCAGACTCAAGCGAGCTCTGTGCTCAGCAGCCAATAAATAAGGCAGGCAGAGGAAAGGGAGCCTGGGCCATGTCATCCACACCTGGGCCACCCAGGGACAGAGGGACACGTGGGAGGACGCCAGGGTTTATGTCCAGAGGTCCCCCAGGAGCCTCTTGTGCGCAAAGGTGGAACTGTTGAAACCTGACGGGATGCAGCTCACGTGCTCTCGGAGGTAGGGATCTGATCAGAGGTGGCCGCTGGGGGTGACCCGAAAGGCCACATCTCCCTCCCAGCTCCTCCCTCCCTCTCTGCCTCCCGGCCGCCAAGCTGCAGGCAGCTTTTCTCCCCAGGCCCTGTGCCAGGCCGCTTCACCAGGCAGCCACGGGGTGAAACTGTGACCAAAGATAAGCCCCTCCTTCTCCAAGCTGGAGGTGTCAGTACTGCGTCCCAGTGATGAAAAATGACCAAGGCAGAGGACAGCGTCCTGATCTGCAATGGTCCTAGCCTTGGCTGTGTTAGAGCCAACACCAACGGGACTCGCTTGGGGTCAGAGCCTCACAGGGCACAGAAGAAGAAACTGAGGCACAGAGAGACCCAGATTGTGTCCCAGGGTAGAGGAGAACTGTGCTCTCCTGGAGGGATGTGCAATGGGAATCAGGAAGAGGGTCCCTGCCCGAGCCCCTCAGCCCACAGGACTGGGCCACGGCAGTGCCTCCCCAGCCTCAGTGTTCCCACATGCCCTCCTGGGGAGACTCAGTGCCCTCACTGCCCATCGAAGAGCCTGTCACAGTACATGGAAGAGCAGGGCAGCCAGAGCATCTGGCCAGCTAGGCATCCCATGTACCAGGTTCACAGCTGGGGACAACAGACTCACAGAAGCGAAAGGGCCACCATCAAGCAAAAGGTCCAGACAGGACTGGATGATGTTGGGCCCCAGAATGGGCACAGTGGTCAGAGTAGTTGTGTCACAGAAAAAAATGGCAGGGAGGGTCCTGGGGTCTGGACGGCCTTCTCCCCCACCCGTCAGTTCTGAAGCTACTACCATGCCACCAGCCCACAGGCCCCATGCTGGCTGTGCCCGTGCTCCAAGCCCACCTCCCCGCCCCACGCGAGCCCATAGCAGCCCTTGGCAGCTCCTGGGTCCCACTCTCACCCCACTCTCTTTTCCTGCCAGCTTTTGATCCATTCCTACTGCAGCCCAAGCCCTCAGCCACGGTCCGTCCCAGCACCTCCGGTCTCTGGCTCTGGGCCGGTCCGGCTCCCCAGCACCTCCGACCTGCTCCCCAGGCTATCACCTGCCCACGTGCCGGACCTTCCATTGATTTTCCGAGTGCTGCATGAACTCCAGCCCGGCCTTGTACTCCGCCCTCATCTCGTGCACATGCGCCACGGTGTGCACAGACCATGCGTCTGTGGGTTCGGCGGAGAGAGCCTGTGGGCCCAGGAAGAGGTGGAGATGCAGGCATAGGCCGGATTCAGAGCAACCACAACCCCAACACCAGTCCCCTCCCCCCGAGCACCAGGGGCACACCGGCCTGGCGCCAACCCACCGTGCAGACGGCACAGCCGCCTGTTCCACAGACGTGCAAACCGTGGCTTAGGGAGGCTGAGTGCTCATTCCGGGTGTTTCCAAAGCCAGGGCTCAAACCCATAGCCTCCTGCGTACAGCTGAGCCACCTGCAGTGTGCCCTCCAGCTGCCTGAAGCCTCAGTTTACCCTGGTGAAATTGTCGGGGATTCTGCAGGTGTGGCTCCACACACTGTGGCAGCACATCCCGGGAGCTTCTGGGCTCAGGAGCGGCAACCCTGCAGGTGGCAGCTGCTCACACCAACCAAGCTCCCCCAAATCTCCAAGGATGCTCAGAGGTGGGGGCTGGGCTGTGTCACACCTGAGGGTGGTTCTGTGTGCTCTGCCCCCCTTGACCACGCTGAAAGGTCCCACACCTGGAGAAGGGACCACTTACCTCTTTGGCGAGCTTTGCTGCCTGGTCGTAGAAGTGTGTTTCCATCAGTCCAAAAGAATAGAGGCCTTTCACATAGCTGGAAACAGAACAGTAGCTCAGGGGACCGCGGTGGGCTGCCCGGCACCCCCAAGGGGTGTGTCAGTCCTAACTCAGCTCCGTGCAGGACAAAGGGTCCTGGAGATGTGACCACGTTGAGATGGCTCCACTACAGTGACCACTGTCCTTATAGAAAGGCCACGTGAAGACACGGAGACCTGGAGCCACTGCGGGCGGGAGACAGCAGGCAGAAACCACAGTAATGCAGCCTCAAGACAGGTCGAGGCTGGAAGTGGCCAGGAAGCACCTTCCAGGGCCTTTAGAGAGTCCAGGCTCCGCTCACACCAGGGTCCAGACTCCTGGTCTCCAGAAACACCACGGAATGCGTTTTGTCTTTTGTTACAGAACCCTAAGAGCAGGTGGCACACTCCAGCCCCCAGGGACGCAGTGACTCCATGACTCCAGGGGTGCAGGGCAGGTGACCGCCGTCCTCTGTGCTATGGTTCCCAAACCCAGAGGAGGAGCAGGCCCCTCCTCTCCCTGGTCTCCATGGAGGGGCTGAGATCCTCTCCCACTGTTGGCCTGGCGAGGCCCACGGGCCGTCAGTGGCCCCTCCTTGCCTCCGCAGCACAGTACATGGCTCTGTGCTCTGCCTGGACTGGGGGCACTGTGACAGACGGGCCCCAGAGGCCGGACCCATCCCCTGACTCACTCTCAGCCTGGTGCACAGCCTGGCCCAGGCGGGTGGGGCTACGAGACCTGTTTCTCACCGGGAAGCACTGGTCCCGAGGCCCAGGGTGGGCACACCGACACAGGGGCTCTCCTGCTCTCCTGAGGCTCTTGGGAGCTAAGTGAAAGCCAGGCAGAGCCAGGGCATTTCTACGTGGGACTCTACTGTTAACGCTGACTACTGGGTCACGCAGGAGGCAGCTACAGAAAAGCCCGAAGAAGAAGGGAAGACCCCTCCGCCTGCTTTCGGGGTAGATTAGAAGCAAGTGGTCACCAGGGAAGTGGCTGGGAAGGAGGGAGGGCCTGCACTGGAGCCAGTTGCTGGGCTAGGCCCACTCTCTGAGTGAAACGCTAGGCCAGGACCAGAAAGCCTGGCTTACACTGCAATCCAGTCCACCCTGGGGCTTCGGGCCACGCACAGCACTGCAGGCCTCCCGCTCTCCCCACTTCCTGCTCCTGCAGGAGGGGACCAGGTCACGGGGTCAGTTCCACTATGTACTCGGTAGCAACAGCGTGTCCCTTTCATTCTGAGCCCTGAACTGCCACAGTGAGCCCCTCCGGGAGGGTCTCTTCTCCCTCCCACATAGCAGCCTGATGTCCACAGGCGGTCACCAGCTGGCACTCTGAAACAGAGTCATGGCTGCAGAGCCCTTGGCCCTCCTAAGATGAGCATCCAGTATGGTGAGAAATGAACTTTTGCTGTAATAGCACAGAAGCAGCATTGAAGAACAAGATTCAGGGGATGCTTGTTACTGCAACCAAACACTCCTATCCTGACTGACACAGAATGGTGCTACCTCATTCACAAGATGAGATGAAAATCAAATGAAGAAAAAGAAGCTTGTTAGCCAGGAGTGGTGGCATCTTCCTGTGATCCCAGCACTCGGGAGGCTGAGGAAGGAGGATCGCCGTGAGTTCAAGGCCAGCCTGGGGTACACAGTGAGTTTAAGGCCAACCTGAGACACAGCAAAAGACTCTCAAAAACAAACAAACAAACATAGAGAAAAAAGAAAAGGAAGACTTTTAAAGAGCCAGGAGAAAAAAACAGTTGTCTGTATTTCAGGAAAGCACCAAAGGAATGTCTGCTTCAAGGCAGAAACAGAGAATAAGAAAAAAAAATTGTGGTTTCCAGCCGGTCCGTACCTGCTGAGGGGGACGTCAGGTGTCCAGAAGGGGTACACTCGAGCCACAGAGTCTCTCATCTGTTCCTTGTAGCCCAGGTAGAAGTAGCCGTCGTGGGCAAACTTCAGGGCCAGCATGTCTGTCGGGTGGTCCCGCAGGATCTCCTCCCACAGATCACAGGCTTTCGACAAATTCCTGGAAGCCGAGAGAGCATTCTCAGGACACCGACACGAGGCCCACACATCCGGGGAGTCTAAGGACATCGCAGCACAGTGTGCAGCAAGTTTACAAACCACACCAGGGGCTGTGGGTGCAGCTCAGGAGTAAGGCGTTTATCTACATGGTGAGGCTCTGGGTTCAATATCCAGCCCTGGAAAAAGTGGGGTGTGTGCGTGTGTGTAGCAGGTCACTGGGGACATGCCCCTAAAGGGACAATGGGACCTGGCCCTTTCCTATTTCCTGCTTCCTGGCTGCCATGATGTGGCAGCCTCCTCTGCCCTCTGCCTCCCCCGTGAGCCCCGTCTCACCCCAGAACCAAGAACAATGTTACAGAACCCCAGGTGACTACGGACTCGACCCAGAACCTTTTCTCTCTCTAAGCTGATTTCCTCTGGTATTTTGTCACCGTAAGGGAAAGCCACGAAGCACGTCGGGAACGTTTTCTCCTCTCTCCTGGATATCTCTGGGTGTGTCCTCTCAGTTTTGCAATTAAGATAATAAACCATGTATTTAAGGCAGCACAATCAGTAGCTTTGAACACTGGCTGGGGAACGCAGCCAACTGCTTCCTTGCTGGCCTCCTCAGCTGAGGCAGGGCCTGGACAGATGTGAGCTTCAGCTAGGCCTCTGCTGGGGTGGGCCTGGGTCACCCTGAGGTGGCCTCCTCCCCCAGGGCACTGGGAAAGCCGTGGCATCACCCTGCACAGCCCCTGAGCACCCCTCACCCCTTGGCAAATGTCTCCACCGCAGACACATGCAGCTGCTCCCTGGGTGTCAGCGGCTGGGTCTTCGAAAGCTCCACCATGGTCTTCATGGCCATGTCCAGCTCTTTGTCCAGCCTCACGGAGCTTCCGGTGCCAATGAGCACGAGGCCGTTGGCGATGACGTGGCCCATGGCTGGCAGAAGGATGGGAACAGCTAGTGACTCAGGGAGTCCCAGGCAACCTGTGGCCAGGAGGCACCAGCTGGGCTGCAGGCAGGTTGGCCCCGAGTGAAGTCCACATCTCAGCCCAGTCTCCAGGGCACATGGGGACAGAGGGGCAGCCCTGTAAGCAGCCGATACAGTTTACTAACGGGCCACGCTAGTCAGTGCCCGCATCTTAAGCATCCTTGATCCCACCAGCAGCTCACAGCTGGCCCTGTTGCTACCCCCAGCACGCAGCCTCCCCAGGGTGCTCAGTGGGTGGTGCTCTGAGGAGCACCTGCCAGCATGCCCAGCCTCGCCACTGTCCTGTGCCCAGCTAGCATAGGCTGTGCCATGTGGCCTGGACACCTGGATGCTGGCACATGTGCTGGGAGAGGTAGGTGACTGGAGAAGGTGGGGTTTGGTCATGGGCCCACGCCAGAGACCGAAGACTGGAGCCTAGGGCTAGGGCCACCCATGTGGCCCTGCTACTGACCTGAGCTGAGGCTGCTCCCTGGTACCCGGCTGCCCCCAAAGGCTAGCTTTGCGTCACCCATCGTCCTGCCCCTTATCAGCTCTGGCTCTTGGGAAGGTCCCTAACCCCCAAGGGCTGCAGGGACATCTCCCCTGTAGCCCTGTGCTACAGGGGCCTGGACTTGGGATTCAGACAGATGTGGGTACATGCCTTTCCCTGCTGCACTCAACCTCCTCATCTGAGAAGCGGGAACAGTGTGCTCAGTGGAACTGATGGGAATTTGAGAAAAAATGTGAAAAGCACTTCTGTAGGACCCGGCACCCTCACAGGACGCCACGGTCACTGTCATCGTCCCTCCTCCTGGGTCAATGCCAGCCTGGTCCCCACCCCCACTCCAACTGGCCGGGGAACAAGAGGACCCACATCCCCCGGCAGAGCTGGACTCTGCTGCCCAGGGAGCCCCGCTCACCAAAGGTCGGATCTGCCGCTTTGAGCTTCGCCAGGCAGCCCTCGATGCCCCCGAGACTCTTGTCATTGGCCCATTTTACATACTGAAACCAGAAAGGAAAAAGGAGTTTTCTCCGAGGAGATCGCATTGATCTAAACCCTGATTTCATACTTTTGTGCACAGGGGTCAGGGCCAGGCCCTTGCACACCCTCATCACAAGGGTGTCAGCAGGGACACCCAGGCCCAGACTCCTCCTCTCCCCCAAACACGAGGATTTCCTGAACTTAAAGAAAGCGTCACTTGGCTGACCTGGGAAGAGACCGAGGCCACTTTCTCTGTGGCGATGCCCAAAAAGTAAAAATCCAGGGCAGGTCCTTCCCGACAGGTTACCTGTCGCGTCCGCTTCCTCACCCCTAGAGGTGCCTAGAAACCCTCTCACCCCAATTCCTGCTTCTTATTTGTTGCATTTAAAAATGACCTAAGCCAGGTGTGGTGTTGCACACCTGTGCTCCCAGCACTCTGGAAGGAAGGCTGAGGCAGGAGGACCACAAGTTTGAGCCTAGCTGGGGCAACCTACAGAGACTCTGTCTCAGAGGGGGAGCGAGAGAGAGAAAGAGAAAGAGGGAGAGGGAGAGAGAGAGAGAGAGAGAGAGAGAGAGAGAGAGAGAGAGAGAATGCATGCGGGGGATGTGGCTCAGTGCAAAGGCCCTGGGTTCCATCTCCAGTAGTGGAGGGAGAAACAGACAGACAGACAGACAGACAGACAGACAAAGGCTGAGAAATAACTTCCCGGCCATTTTTGATTATGTGGTGTATCTGCCTCCAGTCTTTTTTAAATGCTGCTATGGTGCAGATGCAGTCTGTCCTCACCGAAACTCAGCCGGGTACAGCTCGGTGGCCCAGCGCCTGGCTGCCCTCACTAAAATTCACGTTGCAGTTTAGGTGCCAGTGGAGCACTTTTGGGGTCCTCACAGGACTAGGTCAGTTTTCTCAAGGGCAGGCCACCACAAAGTGGGCAACGCTTTGGTGCCTACCCCTCTTCTGCTTCCACCACAGGGCCTGGCACCATGCTCTTGAACTGCAGAACATTAGCTAAACAAACCTCTTTGCTTTATAAATTACCCAGCCTCAGTTATTCTGCTATAACAATAGAAAATGGATTAAGACAAATGCCTTTTTTAAAATCATGAAACCTGCTCTGGCTGGTTTCCTCAAAGCCCCATCTGGTCAGGGGTAGGGTTTTTCGGAGGTAGTTGGATGTGGGGTGTGTGCTGCTGGGATCAAGGCTGTAATGCTGGGATTGAATCAAGGTGCAATGTGAGGATTAGCGCTGCCCCACCCTGGGTGTGCAGGCTGCCTGCCCTAACCGTGGGGAACCTAAGTAAGATGGCAGGGACAGAGAGAGGGTCACTGTTTGCTGCTTGCCACCTCCTGCCTGCTGTGAGCCGTTTCTCCTCTGCCAGGCCACCCTGCCCTGGAGCCAGCAAACTAAGAACTGAAACCTCTCCAAAGTGTGAGCTAAATGAACCTTTCCTTCATTAACGGGGCGCTGGCTGGCTTATCTCACCAACAAGAAAATACACTAGATTATTTTCTTTATTTTTTGTGGTGCAGGGAATGGAACCCAGGGCTTTGCAAACGCCAGACAAACCCTGGACCCCTGAGCTCCGCCTCCGCCCCTTGGGTGGTTTTCACATTTGCCCTGCGAGTTGTCTGACCTACAGCCACACAGAATCAATACCTGCTTTTCCAGAAGACACAGGGCAGCTGGCACAGAGATTCCAAAAGCCCATGCTTGAGGGCAGGACAACACAGAGATGCCAATGCCCGGGGCAGAAGGAACACAGGCGGGAGGAGGAGGGGCTGCTGAACGCAGGAAGGTGGCCTGTGCCAAATCCAGTAGCAACAGAGGCCAGCAAGGTGCAGGAGGGGCACGTGGGCTGTGAAACACCAAGCAGCTCAAGAGCACAGAGCGGGCCCTCAGCCAGGACAGGCTGGGGCAGGAGTTGTGTGCTGGCCTGGCTAACGCATTCCATCCGTTCTGTGTTCAGCCTGGGTGCCCTGGGCCTTCCTGGGTCCTCTCACGCGACCTTACCTGCAACTCCAGTCAGCTCAGCTACCTGTGCCTCTGTTTCCCTACCTGTGAAACAAACTGATTAGGGCCTTACTTCTGAAGGAGAGCAGGGGAAAGCCACAGTAGGCGGAGCACATTCACAAAACAACCCCAGGCTGGGTCCCCCCCACGCCACCCTACACCCTCGAGGACCCCAGCAAGATGCTTCCCCACATTCCTCTGTCCTCCGGCACTCAGAGCTAGATTTTACCACAGCAAAGGCACAGTGCAGTTTAAAATCCCCCAGCATCAGCCTCACCGTGGGGCCGTGGCGTCCCCGCAGGCCTACCTGGGTCAGGGTGGCATCGAACAGCTTACAGGCTTCATTGCTCGTGGTGGAGAGCGGGAGCTTGGCGTCCTTCCATGCCTACAGCAAGAAAGGCATACCAGGGCCTGGGCACATAGTGTGCCCCCACTACACAAACCCCCACCCCAGTGCACTTCCCAAGTCCCCAGTGCCTTGCTGGGGACCTCTGCAGACTGTGGCCTTGCGTGGCATGTGGGCACTCCTAGACTTCACAGATACTGGGTCCAAATCCAGTGGTCTCTAGAAGGCTTGGTGACCTTAGGAAAGACCTTCTCAGACCCTGGGTGCCACTCTGTGAAATGGGCACAGCGGGACCCCCAGGGGTAATTCAAAGTGTGCGCCGGGGTTCCTGGGTTGCCAGGAGGGGAGAGCAGGTGGGCAGAGCAGTACCCAGCACTGAAGTCCACCCTGTAGGAGGGAGGCCTCCCCTGGTCTCACGGTGTACAAGGCTGCCACTGCCTGGACCAGTCAGACCTCCGTCCATCTGCGAGTGCCCCCTCGTGCCTGCTCTGGGAAGCTCAGGGCAATGACCTCCAACAGAGGAAGCTCCCCTTCATTGTCGTCATCTGCAGAATGGGCTCAGGGTCTCTACCCGGGGAGGGCCCAAGGAGACTGCCCCTTGAGCAAGCTTTGCCCTCTGTGCTGGGGCTTCCGGTTGGGGACTCCACCACAGGGAGTGCAGAGTCTCCTTCTCGCCTAGGGTCTCACCCGCTCTGCGCTGCCAGCCAGTCCCACGGGCAGCAACCTCGCCAGATCCCGAGTGGCCCGTAGGTCACATCCCGCCCCGCCGGGCGCGGGCCACCCTTGGGGGACAAGAAGAACTCAGACACCGCGGCCTCGTGTACCTGGCAGTCGCGCAGTGCCGAGGACGCAGGCATGGTTCGTTCGGGAGATCGGGCTCGGGGCTAGGGACTCGGGCCGGAGGCCTCTCACTTCCGCAGCTTCCCGGCAGCGAGTGCGGGGAAAGTGCAAACGCAGTGGCCGGGGCTGGCCGGGGCTCCGGGCTGTACACAGCTGCCCGCGCTGCACGTCGGGGGCGGAGCCGGGGCGGGGGCGGGGCGCCAGACGCCCCGGGCTCTCCTACTGGCTAGAACTCAGGTAGGCCCCGCCCCTCCCGCCCCCTCCTCGGAGGCACAGCGGGTTGGCCGCAGCGCTGCTCCGAGGGCGACCCCGGCGTCCTGCTCGCGGGCTGCAGGAATCCAGCCTGGTCCAGGGGTAGCTTTGGTGTGAACCTGGGTGCCCCGATCTACCGCCCATAAGAGGGAACCCAGGGGATGGCTGGGCCTGGGAGTGCCCTCCCAAACTCCTCCTCGCTAGGACCTGAGCCTGCCAGGGAGTTTCCTTGATCCCCTGGGGAAGCAGGGAGCTCTGGGACCCCGGTCACTTGCAAAGTACAAGTAGCCTCCCTCGCAAAACAACACACATTCGCGAGGCCACTTGGGTGACACCTCCGGGTCTGGCTTCACTGTGTCCCCCCACCCCACCCCTACCCACTCTTGCTGCCTGGGCCCCGTCCAGACCCTGTTCAAGGACTTGCAGTGGCCACACTGCGAGCTGGGCAGGACGGCACTGGAGCTGCGCCACCAGCCACAACCCCCTCCCACCCGGCCGCTCCCCCGGGTAAATCTCTTCCTGCGGACTCCCTCAGAGACTGTCGTTATTTACAGTGCTGAGATTTTGTTGCTCGTGGAGTTTTTGCGATGGTTATGAGTTTTCAGAAATATCGTGTGAAAATGCTGTTTTATGTAAGAACTGAAAAGAGAACATGCTTAGAAGAAAAGCTAGGGGTAAATCTTCATGACCCTGGAGATGGATTCTTAGATACGATGCCAAAGAACAGTCGCCAACCACAGAGTAGCTCCACGGGGCTTGATCAGCTCAACTTCACCAGCAGACTCCAACAGGAAAGAGAAAAGACGGAACGAGAGAAAATACTTGCGAGTAATATATGAATTTTTACAACTCAACGGCAAAATAGCCCAACGAGTACTGGGGAAAGTTCGAATTTACATTTCTCCCAAGAGATACACCCTTATGGAGGGTGTATCTTTAGGTTGTTCTCTCACACTCTTGCTGGGTGAAAGGACCCAAATGTGAAAAGTCACATACTGTGCATGTGAAATACTTCCAGAAAACGTAAATCTCCAGAGACAAAGGGAGATGGTGGTAGCCAGGGCTGGGGGAGGAAGGAATGGTGACTGCCAATGGTTAGGGACTTGTCTTTCAGAGTGATGAAAATATTTTGGAATGAGAGGGAGTAATGGTTGGAAAACATTAGGAAGAGGTTTAATACCACGGAGTCTGCATTTTAAACTGCTAATTTAGTGACCATTACGACCTCCTGTTGCTATCAGGTGGTCCCTTTGGAAATGGTCACCAGTCAAAAGTGTCCAAACAAGGAATCATACAAGGGAAGCCCAAAGTGGTGCCAAAAGTTTATTTGAAAATTGCAGGGTGAGCGCCTGTGGGAGAAACCAGCTCAGCAGAGCAAAACTGGGCAGACCATGAGAAGAAGAAGATTAAAAAAAAGAGAGAAGTACTCGCTGTGTCTGGAATACGCAGCACGGGCTGTCACGGGGACTCATGAGTTCCTTGTGGATGGCGAGTTCCTTGTGGTCTTTCTGTTGCACATCTCGTGGGAGCTGGGGAACCCTGCACCCAGGTCCTGTACTGTCCTGGGATCTCGTCCTTGACTGGTCCGGGCACTTCTCCAGCCAGCTTTGCCACACCCTGTCTCCTAGATCACTTCCCTCCGGAGACATAAACCCCATCTATTTTTGTGGAGTGCTGTGGTCTGTCTTCTAGAGCCTCTGCAAGCTGCAAGGGGCCGCAGAGCCTCCCTCCTTGGGATTCTGTGCTTTCCATCTACCTCGGGGTGCTGTGACTCGTGGCTGAGATGAAGGAAGAAAAAACTGGCAGAAAATAATGAAAAAGAGTTACTGACACTCGAGCTGCCTGTTTGATGGGAGAAAGAAACTTTACTATTAGGCCAGGAGCAGGTCAGGTTTCCGTTCTTCCTGTGGAGAACAATGTATGTTACACAGGGACAGGAGACAAGTTCTCCACAGCCTGAGGGCCGTGACCCTTAGAGGATCTTGTTTACTTATCTGTAGCAGCACTGGAGCTCTGCTTTCTGAGGAGAGATTTCAAGTCTTTCAGAGCTCATAAGAGTTGCCTTTTCCTTGTGGGTGATTGTACTCTTTAGACAGTTCAGGTGGGCCTGGCTTTATTCTAGAAGGATGAATCTAGTTATGGGTCTCTGCCTCCTTTAATGCACAATCACTGAAAAGGGACCTTTCCATGTGGGCGCTAACTAGCCTGCGGTGCTCCCCCGGGCTCCAGGGTGGGCTCCTGTGCATTTGGATACCTCGCTGTACGTGGCCCAGACTGATGAGACATTGAGAGAGCCCCTGGTCTCTGTCACATCAGACAGAAATGGCACTTATATAACAAGACAAATGGACTCAAAGTTAGCCCAGTTTGGGACATGTTAGAGACCCTCCTGAGCACTGGTAGCAACCAGAGCCAGGACGCAGCTGTTTCTTGGCAACATTTGTCCAGAGCTTGCTTAAGGGTCTGGTTGGCTCGCTCTACCTTTCCAGAAGATTGGGGCCAGCAGCAGGAGTGTGGGGGTACTTTCTTCCTAAAGGCTTTGCCTTTCCCTGGGTTATCTGGGAGGTAAAAAGAAGTCCATTGTCATTCTGGAGAGACTGAGGGAGTCCAAATCTAGGGATGGTTTCTCTCAGAGGCACCTTGACTACCCCGCAGCCTTTTCTGAATGATAAGATGGGCTTCCTTCCAGCCTCTGAAAGCATCAGCTAAGACCAAATGTTTAAAACCTCCACAGCAGGCATGAGGGTAAAGTCTGCCTGCCAGTCCTCCCCGGGGTGTGCCATCTCCTCTGCACAGGCTCTAATAAAGGAGCGTTTGGGCTTGCCCAGGTTATTGTAGACAAGAGTGGGCAAGATCTGCAGACCTGTTGGGCGGTTGGAGCTGGTCCCAGGCCATAAAAACCTGAGTGGCCATTTCCAGAGCAGCATTTCTCCCCACGGGAGGAATCACCAGGGCTTTGGGTGGCCTTTCGCTGCACTCCTTAGGGAAGGACCAGTTCCTTTCCGAAATACCATGCGCCCTTTTCATTCCTCCTTGTCCTAAGGCCCATTCATCCTCCTGGGGGGCCGAGATGGCTTTTAATGGTTCCTCAGGAATCGAGAATAAGGCCACAATCTTTCTTTTCCAGGATAAGAGTCTCTCCGTGTGGTCCAGGCTGGTCTCAAACTCACAACGATCTTCCTGCCTCAGCCTCCCAAGGGCTGGGATTACAGGCGCGAGCCGCCACACCGGGCAAGGCTAGAGTCTTAGGGGGCCCTGGGGCTGCCCCTTCCTACTCTACTGTCCGCCTCTGGACTTTCCAAGGAGACTTCAAACATGTCCCTTTGGCGCCCTTTATAGTACCTGAGTGTGACCTGTTGGGAAGACGGACTGCATCCAGGAGCTGCAGAGTTTTCTGTCTGTGTTTTACAGATGATTATTTGCCAGTAAAGTGTCTTTCTTCCAGGTTGCAGCATGGGCGTGTTCCACCAGAAAGGCGTAGCTGGAGTCCGTATCGATGTTTAAGCTGCTGTCTTTTCCTAATACCAATGTCCAAATCAGAGCTGCTAGTTCTGCCTTTCGAGCAGAGGTTCCTGGGAGTGATTAGCTTCACTGATTTGTAGTGAACTCACAACTGCATCAGCTACCTTTGGATGTCCTTCCTGCCAAAGCTCTTCCATCAGTGAGCCACACCTCCTGGGGATCTCGGAGGGGCACATTACTGACGTCTATCTGCCTGCCTGCCTGCGTAGATCTGGGGGACTATATGTTCACAAGAGTGGCTAACTGGACCTGTAGGCATCAAAGAAGCTGGGTTTACAGTAAGGCGACTTTTTGTAATTACTGCAGGGTACCTAAGAGAATGGGCTGACACTTGGTAAGTCATTCCCCTGTTGGCCACGTGTAACCCTCTGTCTAGAATGGCTCTGACCTGATACGGTGCCAGAACGCTCTGTCCCAAAATTAGTTTTGCAGCTTCCTCTGCTAGTACAGCTGTAGCTGCCATTGCTCACAGGCAAGGTGGTCATCCAGAGTCACCCCATATAGTTTCTCTGAAAAGTCTGCCACTGGGTGGGTTTCTTGCTCTAGCCTTGAGTCAAGAACCACCCATCCCCAAAGAAATTCCTCCCTTTTCTGATATGTGGGGAAAGAAGGAAGGAAGGAAAAGGTTTTTAAGCCAGGGGTTCCCAGTTGGAGCCTGAGTAAGGGCCTGATTTATTTCCCTAAAGGCACTGCCAATCACTTCTGCCCACGGTAAGGGGACAGATTCCGGCCTTGTATTGCTTCATATAACACTTTGCCTTTAGTCCAAAATTCGGTGGCCGGATCTTACCTACACAAGCCTGCCATTCCCAGGAAGGAACAAAGCTGTCCTTTGGTGACAGGAGGCCCTGTTGTGACCCCTAAACAGTTGTTATTCCCCAGGTGTAAGAATATCTCCCAGATATTGACTTCTTGGAGGGCTATCTGAGCCTTTTCTTTGGAGACTTTAGATCCGTTCTTAGTTAAAGGCTATGAGCATGTAGTGTTATGGTTAGATAGTTTCTAAGTTAGGCTGTGAACCAGAGTGTCATCTGCATACTGTAGGATGGTTCCTGTCCTAGCTTTAGGCGCCTCGAGTCTTTTTCTAGTGCCTCAGCAAAAAAGTAAGGGCTGTCTCTAAACCCCTATGAGAGAACTGTCCAAGGGTACTGTTTTTCTCTTGTCACGGGACATTTCCATTCAAAGGCCAGTGGATGTGGGGGTGGTGAAGCATATCTTTTAAATATCAGACTAAGAACCATGAGTGTCCCCTGCAACGTGGGAAAGAATTGTCCAGGGATCTGCCACTCTGGGACAGCCTGGAATGACAGCCTCGTTCGTGGGGCAGAGGTCCTCTGCCATCCAGGATTCCCCCGAGGGCTTCATTAATGCCAGGGGACTGTCCTGGGTTCAGGAGGCTGTATTTGAGAACTCTGGCTTAGAGGCTGGAGGCCTTTTGGTGCCTTTTCCTGAGCTGCACACTGTTTTGATTAGGAGATTGGCTGCATCTTTCAGTCTTACAATGCAATCTTACAATCCCAATGTTGTTAATAAATCTCTTCCTGTTGAGGGCGTAGCTCACTACGCGACTGTTAGAAACTCACGGTTCAGCATCTAAGCTTCAAACGGACACATCAGAGAAGGGGTAGAGGATCTCTGACTGGGGTCCCTCTGACCTCAGTTACAGGTACAGACCTAGAGGAGAGTTTCCCAGGGAAGGAAGTCAAGTTGGATCAGCAAGTGGCTGGCTGGCTCCCCCATGATGTCTGAGTTTACCAGAGTTCCTCAGAGGAGATGGTGACGCCCATGAATCGGGGCACTGTGGGTACCCTTCGGCCTCTGCAGTTGTCAGGGCAGGAAATGAGGGCCCTGGCTGGCCCAGCCCCTCTCTGAGACTGGGGTCAATCAAACCGCCAGTGCCATGAGACAGGCGCCACAGCTAGCTCACACGTGGCACAAGGCCGGGGCGGGGTGGCCGGGTGCAATCTCATACCCAGTGTGCTGTTCCTTTGCACGGCACAGGAACAGCCCTGTCCTGCATTCCCCACAGGTTTCTCCTTAGATGACTGGGGTGTGTTTAAAGCATTACCAGTTGCAACAGCTACAATCTTAGCCTTTCTCCTCACTCTCCTCGGGGTCCTGATTAGTAAGCACAGAAATGGCTCTGTCCAGTGGTTGGGTCATAGGTGCCTGAGCCCCCTCGGAAGCTCCTGCACTTTATGCTGAGTATCTGGGACCACCGATGGGGGAAGTGTTCCCTTAGGGCCTCTCCCTCCCTGGAAGGCAGACGGATTGTATTACTACCCCTCAGGAAGCTCTCTGCTAATCGGTTACAAAACAAAGTTGGGTGTTCTTCTCACCCTGCGAGACCTTCCTCACTTTGTAAATAACTAACAGACCTTTAATGCACTTTTGCACGGTAGGAGCAGCTGGCACAGCAGATGTCATTCCGAGTCCATCCTGAGGGTGAGAATCCCAGTTTGGCTCTGTTGAGGGGAGAAGGACCTCTCCAAGATGGTTTCCTTCACTTCTCTTTTTAAACCACAGTGTTTGTCTGGATAGTTTCTAGCCTCTTGTCCTTCATCTGAGGTACAGAACTGGCCATGATGAACTGGACTCCTTGCCATGGTAAGACAAAAGCAAGGGTCAAGTCTGAAGCCCATCTGCCAACGTACTCAGGTCTTCTGAAAGTTGTCCTAGCCATTCCTTGCACTGTTGGACATCCCAAACGGAGAGGATAGCCTGCACCTGAGCATTTCCTCCCACCCCTGGGAGGACAGTCACGAGCCAGCGCAGCAGGAAGCAGCGCTTCGGGTCCCACCTGCGGAGCCTGCGCTGTCTGTGATGCCCAGTGGGACTCAGGGCTGCCTGAGGTGGCTGTCCAGGAAGCTGAGGCATGCTGGGCTCCTCGGGGGCACTGCACTGTAACGAAGGCCTCTGGTGACCTGGAGGCAATGGACCAGAGAGTTACTGGTCAGAGGATTAGAAGGGGAAGGTGGAGGAGCCGTCCTAGCAGGGTTACCTCCCTAAACACATCAGGAGGGTCCCCCTGAGACACAAGGGGGGTCTCAGGAAGGGTCCCCTGGGACATCTTGGTCTTCCTTGGGGCCCTGCTGAGTGCCACAGCTCCTGAGCGTTCCCTTTGATAGAGAGCTGTGAAGGCCTGAACCTGGGGCATCCCGCTCCACCTTACGGTTTAAGCAGGACCGCTGTAACAAGAGAACAGTGTCACAGCTTCCTTTTTGCATTTTTTATCTTTCTGAAACAGGGTCTTGCTACGTGGTTCAGGCTGGCCTTGAGCTCACTTTGTAGCCCAGGCTGGTCTCAAACTTGCAAGAGTCCTCCTGCCTCAGCCTCCTGAGTGCTGGGCTTACAGGCCTGCACCATCATCCCAGTTCTTGAGTATTTTAAAATGGACAATTTTTTCCCCTGAGTTCACACACCCCGCCTGGCACCGGGTAAAATGGGAACAGGAGGGGCGCAGGCATCCGGCTTTGCCTGGGGTCCTGCATCTGCCCCACTGTCTATACCCAGATTTGTCCAGGGCTAAAGCCTTCAGCCTCCCATAGTAGTTCTGCCTCACTGCCCCACCCCAAAGGAGTTCTGTACCAGCCAAGGCTGCCTGAGTTCTTCAAGGGATCGCAGAGTTCCTCCTTCCTATTGGAAAAAACAAAATGTTTTCTCTCTGGTTCTTACAAGCCCCTGTGCTATTTAAAGTCAGAGCTTAGCTCTTAAAAGAAGAAAGGAGATGGGGGAAGATGGTGGCTTCCAGTGATGCCTGCCCATGTAAAGGTTACATCCACACACACGTGCACACAGACACACACACACAGACAAGGTGGCGGCTGGCCACTGGCCAGGTGACATAGCAGCACTGCAGACCAAGGCAGGAACCCAGAAAAGACATGTGCAGACCAGAGGAAGAGGAGACCAGGCCAATTCAAAAGAAATCTCATGACATTTTAGAGAGAAACAAAACAGGTGCCCACGAGGCCTCCCCTCGGGCTCCCACACCTAAGCCTGACTCTCCAGGCTGGCTCGCCAAAACGTTCTCAGCTAGTTTCAAAAGTAGTCCAGGTCCTTCTTGCCTTGAACAAAGAAATGGATGAGATAAGCCCAAAATGGTGCCAAAAGCTTATTTGGAAAATGGGGGGGGGGCGTGAATGGGTGTGAGACGAACCAGCTCTGCAGAGTGAAAAGAAGATAAAAACAAAAGGAAAGGACACCTTCCATCCGGGGACCGTGGTGAGCTCCTCCTGGGCCTGATCTTCACGTTGTCCACATCTCACGGGGCTCCGGAGAAGCTCTCCATACCGGGTCCTGGTGTGGCCCTGGAGTCCTGTAACTGACAGGTCCCGGCCTCTTCTCCAGGGAGCTCCGCCACACCCCACCACCTACATCGCTCTTTCCCTGGGCCCAGTGTGAAATATTCCAAAGCACCTTGGTGAAGAATCTGGCAGCAGCGGGGTGGCTGACAGTGAAGATTTCCACGTCTCCAACATTTCCTCCTGCATGACCAGGTGGCCCTGATGGCCAAAAAGAAACTGTGGGAGCCTGGTCACTCTGTGGGCACCTTCTCAGAACACAAGGGCAGAGGCTGGAGGGGCAGCAGTGTCTCTGGAGGCCATCCTGAGGGCCAAGGTCACCTTCTCCTCACCCCTGCAGAGGGACAGGGCCTTCCTGAGCCCCTTGTCTGTGTCCCTGGAGGGAGCTGGACTGTGGTGCAGAAACAGGGTCACACTCCCAGCTGGGCACAGCATGGGTGCCTGTGTTCCCTCTACCCTCAGGGTGGCCTGGTGGGGCAGCAGGGCTTGACCCAGAGGGTCTTCTAGAAGGACAGTGAGCTTAGTGGGCTCATATGGGGTTGGCTGAAGGACATCAGGGGATGCCCTGCTGAATGGGGGGACCACATGGGAGAGACACTCAGTGAGACCCTCAGTAGGGCCAAGGTGTCCTCCTAGAAGCAGGCCATGCTATGAAGTCACCACTCTGCTCTCTCTCCTCCTCCTTCATTTCTGCTGCGGGGTGGTAGAGGTGGGGGCAGAGCTGGTAGCAGGCGGGGTAACAGAGAAAGAAGGCTGTGACTGTGACATGGACCTGCGCGTGTTAATTACTGAAGGGGAAAAACCTGATAGACAACACAGCACTCTGCATCCAGCGGGCAGGAGGGAACTGGCCATGCCGGATGAATCGGGATGAGCTGGAGTGGAGAAAGGGGATAGAAATCCTTTTTTCTTAAAATTGGAGACCTCAGTACCACAGTACAGGTCTGAAATCTCAGCACTGAGGAGGCTGAGGCAGGAGGATTGCCATGAGTCTAAGGCCAGCCTGGGCTACCTAGTGAGTTCAAGGCCAGCTTGAACTGCATAGCTAGACTAGGTTTCAGAAAAGAAAAAAGAAAAAAAAAAAAAAAAAAGCAAAAGCAAAAACAAAAACAAAAGCATTATTCAGTACCCAGGTTACTTTTTGGAGGAAACCAATCTAAAGATATTGACCCATATTCTCTGTCACAGGAGAACCTAGAAAACAACCTTGACTCTCACCTAGGACAGCAGTGCAGCCTGCTGCCTCAGAGCAAGCCAGGCCTGAGCTCCGGGGCACAGCGGGCAGGACTGCCCTGGACACAGCTGTGGGAGAAGGCACACAGCAGAGGTTGAAGGACGAGGAGATTGGTCCCTGTATGCAAAGACAATGCATCTGGCCTAGAGCAGCGGGCTTGGTCTGGACTACGGCTGCCCAGGGAGGAGGCAGCCACAGGGACACTGCTCCATTCTCTGGCTGGCATGACAGCACTTCTGGAAACTGTCTCCTTGTACACCTTGGATCTTTTTTAAGCAATGAAAATGCTCTTTGCCCTCCCGGCCCCTCAAGATGGCCTCTCTTCTCTCTGTCTCTAGACCCCTTCACACTCTTCCTCCCCATTCCCAAGAACAGTGGGCATGTCCGCCATCATTTCAGTTCCTGGGGTCTCAGGGGCATGGACACAGCTGGCCACTCCTGCCTGGAGCCCCTCTCCCTACAGCTTTGAGGACCCTCCTTGCCCCCCACCTTCCCACCCTGCCCTTTCTTCTCCAGCTTGACTTTCCTTTGACCTTGAAACCTGGGGGACGCTGAGGCCTGTGGACTTCCCCCTGCATGGCACCTGTGAATATCCAAGAGATAACTAGCGGCAGAACATATCTTGCCCTTTGTGTTGTGCCCTTTATTCCCTTAAAACCTGGCCCAGCGCCTCCTCAGCGCTGCACGTTAGTCATCGAGGCGTGCTAACCGTGTAGGGAGTGCCAGTCTAAAGGTTGGCAAAACAAAGCTGAGGCCCCGAGTTCACTTCACCCACTTCATCCGCTTCCAGGCAGGGGGGGGGGCACCAAGATAGAGTTTTATAGGGCCATTCAGCCGTACTTGGAGTCTCTGGTCAGGGCCCTAACCCTGTGGTCGCCATGGGGTCCAGCACAGTCTCCCAAGACTGAAGCTCCCCAAAGAGAAACAGTCATGAAGAATGCCCTGGCGGCTTGGGCAGAGGGGACCTGAGCCTGAGCAGCTGTGGAATCCAGATAATGGTTAACCACGTGCTGGCGTGCAGCAGCAAACCCTTAGAGCCTGCGGAGCTCTCTCTGAACCAAGCCAGCACCTCTCCAGCAGCCCTGTGTGTCCCCAGTCCGGGAGCAGCCCCTTCCTGTCTGCTCTCACTATCCCGGTAGGGATGCACCGGCTGGCCTGGGTCAGAGCCGCGCTCTCTCGGCTCTCAGCTCCTCCAACCCCAGCTCCTTACTTTGTATTGCAGTGAAAGCCTGTTTCCTGTGAATGCGTGCTGATCGCCTGGGTTTAAATTTATCTCTGAAGCCTGACCCATGCTAGCCGGAGACAGGTCCCTGGTGGGGAGCAGTGGAAGTTTTAAAAAGTGAAGCAAGGCAACCCACGTCAGAAACCCAAAGTCAGACCTTGCCGGGCCCTGGGGTGCTCACAGTCTCCCTGGACTTGCAGGCTTCTCTCCAGGGAGTGGGCTTCTGCGCAGGACTCCAGCCCCGGGCAGACTAGAGGGAGGAGACTTTATTTGCCAAGCTCTGACCTTGGGGTACACACTGGTGGGAACACAGGTGGAGGAGGGGTGCTCCACCAAGGTCTCTGAGACCCCATGGGGCCCCTGCTGATGGGACCCCAGTGTCCAACTGGTCTCCAGACTCCTCCTCTCTGAGTTCCCAAGAGCCTTCCCCACCCCCACCCCGTGACCCCTGACCCCTCGCGCCCAGCCCGTGCTCCACCGTTGGGCAGCCCCACGCCTGTCTTCTGCCTTCCGGGCGGCACCATGCGACCCGGGCCCACGCTGCTCCTCCTGGGCCTGGGCCTGTGCTGCTTCCCTGCACCCTCCATCCCTCGCGGGGTGCCGGCCTGGCCATCAGGGGTCTCCAGGGGCACAGCAGAGACTGGGTTGCACATCCGCCCTGCTCATCCTGGCCAGCGGCCGCGCGTGGCCCGTGCTGCCCGGCGCCCCGCCCCCAGCGGGTGTCCCCCGGGGGGACCCATGGCGCCCCTGGACGGCAGAGTCGCAGTGGGCCCCTGTCGCCGCCGCCGCGGCCAGCAGCTACAGGCCCCGGCGTGGCCGGCCACCCTGCAGGTCCCGGGGGCGTCTCTGGCTCCCGGGCTGAAGGCGCGTAACTCCAAAGTGGCCGTGTCCACGCGGGATCCCAAAGCTCTGCCGGTAAGAGACTCAGATTCCACCTCCACGGGAGCCGCCAGGAGCCCCCCGAGAGCGCCCCTCCTGGGAGCTGCCCCCCTGACGGTTAACTTCACCGAGGAGCTGACTCTGAACGGCACCGGGGCCTGGGGCCCGGATGCGGAACACCCGGCGGCGGGGCAGCGCGTCTCCTGGTACTGCACCGCGGACGCGGCCAACTCCGGCGGCGATCGGGCAGCGGGGACCGACCAGCAGGTCTGCCACCCGGATCAGACCGGCCCGCACTGGCCGTGGGCCTCGGGCCGGGCGCTGAGGCTTCCACCGGAGACGCTTGAAGGGGGCCGTGTGTACCATTTCCGAATGGTGACCCAGAAGGGCCACAAAGCGCTGTTTTCTGACCACAGCGTCTACGTGCTGCGCGGACCCGCACCCACGGCCCACATCGCGTGTATTGAAAACTGTGCTCGCATGCTAGCTGTGTCTCGCAGATTTTTCCTGTTTCTAAACTGCACAAACTGTGGCCGGCGAGACGTCTACAGCTGGTCTATTTCTTCTGTGTCGGGTGAGCCGCTGCCATTCAACTGGAGCCAGCAGACCATCACAGGCAGGGACAGCGCTTACCTGGCTGTGCGCGCTTTTGCCTTCCAGAGCTTTGCGGAAGCTGAGTTTTGGGTTTCCGTCTCTCTGAGGAGTTGGGGTGGCGTGACCTCAGAATTCAGACGTTCCTTCGTCGTCAACCACGGCCCCCACGTCGGGCAATGCCGAGTGAGTCCAGCCAAAGGAATCGCAATGTTTACCGAATTTGTGGTGAAATGTAATCGTTTTAAGGATAAGCACGCCCCTGTCTCATATAAAATAACAGTTTTTGATTTGGACAGGGTTGGTGACATCAATTCGGGGCAAGAGAACAGCCTGGGGACCATTGTATATTGGGGGACACAGACCACAACACCCCCTTTCTTTCTTCCTGCCGGCTCCGCTGCACATCAGTACACCTTGAAGCTATCTGCTCGGGTTTATGACTCTCTGGGAGCCTTTACTCAGGCGACCGTCTCTGTCACTGTGTGGCCACCTACAGCCATAAGCTCTGCAGAGAGTGTGTGGCGGCAGATCCTGGGTGTCACCACGGGACCAGCTTCCCTGCTGTCCACCCTGCTCCAGCAGCAGGACTGGCTCCCTGCAAGTTACTTAATGAGCGTGGTAGCTTCTGTGATGAACAGCATGAGCACCGAGCGAACTCTCAGCGATGACAGAGCCCAGCTCCGGGAACATCTGATCAATCAGTCCTTTGGGCTTCCCCTAAGAACGTCAGAGGAAGTGGGCCAGGTAGTGGTGGCTATTGCCAAACTGACACAGGAAGCCTCTGAGGTCACCCAAGTGGCTCAGAAACGTGCCATGGTGAGACTACAGCAAGCAAATCAAGCCCTACAAACGTACCAATGGGAAGACGAACACAGGAGCGCCAAACAAATAGAAACGGTGGGCGCTGGAATAGTGACGGGCTTGTCTAATATACTTAAACTGGCTGCTCCTCAGGAAGTGCTCGAAGACCTTCTCTTCGTAGTGGAATCGCTATCAGACACAATAGTGGCTCATAAAGTGCCAGGCAGTGACGCCACCGTGCTGAGGACTCCCAGCTTTAGCATGCATGTGGAAAAGGCTGTGAAGTGGGACCTTGCCCAGGCCTTTGGAAAAGACAAACATGGCCGAAACTGGTTCCACGCAACACTAAATGCCAGCCGGGTTCCCAGGCTGGCTGCAAATGCTCCAGTTTCTGTGATGGTCTGTGAGTTCACACATGACCCATTTCCTTGGTTAAGTTACCCAGAAAGCATTTCAACAGAGGTGGACGGGTTCAGAATGACAGGGGCCACGGATAACGGGGGCGTGGTAGAAATCATGCCTGACACAGTGGAAATGTACCTCACCAGAAAAAACTTGACCTCTGTGACTTTCGGTCTCACATTGGGACCCGACCCTAAGGATGTTGGGTCCTCAAAGATGACAACAGGAGGGTTTAGCTTTGAGGTGGACAGCGGAGGAGTTAGGGAGGTACTGGTCCACATCGTGACAAATGAGACCGTGCTGTTGACAGTACTGGTGTACGTGGGCCATCATGTCACCCCCAACTATCTGGCAGCCAACTTCCTGGTGCCCCATGACACACCTCCAGTTGTCACCCAAAGTGACCTATTTGACCCAGCCTGTGCAGTCAAGGTGGCTCGAGTGGTCTGCCTGCCACAGTCCCTCCTGCAGGTCATGGCTCGGCACAGCCACTCACCCAAGTACAACGTATCTGTGGTTCTGCGGGCCCCGAGCTCTGCCCTGGAGCCCACTGACAGGCTAGTGCAGATTTCCATCTTCAGCGCCCGCTGCTTGGACATGTACAGGACCCAGAGCGAGTGGAGGGAAGACGCTTGCATGCTGGGAGAAAAGACCACCTGGGACAAAGTGCACTGTACCTGCAGGGACATAGGGAGGACCAGGCGACAGCCGAGGATGCTGCCTCGTGTTCCCCTGCACATGCACTACGTGACAGCCCAGGTGGTCTCCATTCCTAACCCTGTGGGGCTACCAGGGGCTGTCACAGCAGACTGTCAGCAAAACCCTGTGACCCTCCTCACTGTGCTTTTCATCATGCTCGTCTACACAGGTCTAGCTTCCTGGGCCTTGTGCAGGAACAAGGTGGACCGAGTTCTTCGGGACTGTGTGATTGTCCTGCCTGATAACAACTCCAATGATAGCGTGTGCTACGTGGTCACTGTCTTTACAGGAAGTCGCTGCCAAGCTGGAACCAGGGCCAATGTCTTCGTCCAGCTCAGGGGCACACACAGCACCAGCGATGTGCATTGCTTAAGCCACCCACACTTTAGGACTCTCTTCCGAGGAAGTGTCAGCGCTTTTCTCATGACGGCCAAACGGGACCTAGGGGACATCCATTCCATTCAAGTGTGGCATGACAATGGAGGCCAGGCACCTTGCTGGTATCTGAGTCGAATCAAGGTGGAGAATGTGTTTAGCGGGCACATCTGGCTGTTCATGTGCCGAAAGTGGCTTTCCATTGACACCACTTTGGATAGAACATTTCATGTTTTGCGTCCTGAGGAGCCTGTGGGAAGAAAAGATTTCTTTCTCATCGATCTGCCTCACAAGCTCCGGACACATCATGCGTGGTTCTCCGTTTTTGCTGGTTTTGTTCCCAAGCCATTCAGTAGACTCCAACGATTGTCCTGTTGCTTAGCAGTGTTGCTAAGCTCTCTTTTTTGTAATAGCGTGCTCTTCAATCTGAACAGGCACGAGCAGGCTGCGTCCAGAGAGGGGCGCTACACCAGATCGATGGTGATCGGAACTGAAAGTGTCTTAATCACACTCCCGGTGCAAATGCTAATAACTTTTTTCTTCACTCACTCCCAGAGGATACCCCAAGGGGGTCGAGATGAGCAAGCCCTGGTGTTAGAAGGCAGTGGGTGCTGGGAAGAGGGACTGTGCAAGTGGTACACCCACAGGGGCACCAGGGGAGCCTCGAAGCCCACCTTGAAGGTGTCACCTGGAAAGCCAAAGCCTTCCCTCCAGGTGGCCACTGGGACAGAGCACCAGCATGAGAAAGCAGACAGCGATGCAAACGTCCATAACAGAAACACTGGAGACACTCACGATGTCCCTTCTGGAGAGCCGCCTTCCCACCAGGGTCCTAAACGCTGCCAGACACAGTGCTGGATAGCTCTGTCTTGGTGGTGTGTGTACACAGCATGGTTCTTTGTGCTCGCCACTTCTACTGTATCCTCGTTCTTTATCATATTTTATGGCCTGACTTACAGCTCTGACGAGTCAGTAGAATGGCTCTTCGCATCGATTTGCTCATTCTGTCAGTCAGTTTTTCTGGTGCAGCCACTTAAGATTATACTTGAGTCAGGCATCAGGACCAATAAGCCCACGTACTGCAAAGACCTGGCGTGGGCAACTGAGCATCCCTCTTGTGAGATCAAGCTGTGCGGGCTGCGGATGCCTCGCGATGAGGCGCGGAAGCTCCGGGAGCACGTGGCCCAGCTGCGTGCCTCAAGGAGGTACCAGCCCCTCACGGAGGACGAGGTCAGGATCTTCAGGAGGTTTCGGAGGGTCAGGAGGAGAGCCATCTTGTTCCTGAGCTACCTCATGACTCACTACATCTTCATGGCGCTTCTGCTGCTCCTCATCGTCCGGCTGCGCCACACCGACAGCTTCTACTACAACCAGTTCATTCTTGGTCGCTTCTCCAGGGACCTTGCCGCCGTGACGAAGCCAGAGGACATCTACAGGTGGCTCAGCCTCGCCCTTCTGCCGCTGTTCCACAACAGCCAGAACCCGACTTTCCTTCCCGACAGCTCCTCCAAGATCTTGGGGCTCCCGCGCATGAGACAGGTGAGGGCAAAACCTACTGAGAAGACATGTCCGCCTGCTAAAAGCTTCATGCAATACAACTTGGCAGGAGAAATTCACTGTCATCCTGCATATGGCACTGACCCACAGGACACGGGGAACTACTCCAGGTTCTGGAGTGAAGTGGACAAGCAGGCTAGAGGCATGAACACTGAGGGGTTCACCTACAAGCCTCAGGGAAAGACGTGGGTGTATTACTCCTATGGACTGCTAAATACCTATGGATCCGGAGGGTATGTTTTCTATTTTTTCCCAGAACAGCAGCAGCTTAATTCCACACTGAGGCTCCTAAGACTGCAGCAAAGCAATTGGCTTGATGAGAAGACGTGGGCCGTGATTCTGGAACTGACCACCTTCAATGCGGACAGCAGTCTGTTCTGCAGCATTTCCATCATCTTTGAGGTTTCTCAGCTAGGCGTGATCAACGCCAGCATTTCCACGCAGTCCTTCTCGCTAGCTGAGTTCCACAGAGAATCATCGGCAGAAATCTACCTGTACGCGGCCATTCTCATCTTCTTCGTAGCCTACATTGTGGACGAGGGTTATGTCATCATGCAAGAGCGAATCTCCTACGTAAAAAGCATTTACAACCTGCTCAACTTCGCTTTAAAATGTATATTTACTATGTTGGTCACGCTCTTCTTCAGGAAGTATTTCTTGGCCACTGGCATGATCCAGTTTTACCTGTCCAACCCTCATGACTTCGTTCCTTTCCACCTGGTTGCCCAAGTAGATCACACCATGAGGATCACTCTGGCTTTCCTGTTATTTCTGACCATCCTGAAGACCCTCAGGTATTCCCGATTCTTCTATGATGTGCGCCTGGCCCAGAGGGTCATCCAGGCCGCCCTCCCTGGCATCTGTCACATGGCTGTGGTGGTGTCTGTGTACTTCTTTGTATACATGGCCTTTGGTTACTTGGTATTTGGCCAACACGAGTGGAACTACAGTAACTTGATTCACGCCACTCAGACCATCTTCTCCTACTGCGTCTCAGCTTTTCAGAACACCGAATTTTCCAATAACAGGGTTCTTGGGGTCCTGTTCCTGTCCTCTTTTCTGCTGGTGATGGTCTGCCTCTTGATCAACTTGTTTCAGGCCATGATCTTGTCTGCTTACGAGGACATGAAGCAGCCTGTGTATGAAGAACTGTCGGAGGAGGTGGAAGTCATGTCCTACCTGTATCACAAGCTAAGAAAAGTCTTTAGCTTTCTGGCCCCCAACGATCAGACTAGAGATGAGCCCGAGTTCTTCATCGACATGCTGTACGGGAAGCCAGAAAAGAACAGCTGCCGGTATCTGGGGCTGAAGACCCGAAACATTAATGGGAAGAAAGTGGTTTACCTCGTTGTTTGATCGGTGGACTCAATAATCGTATGTGGGTCTCCCTGAATGCACACTGTGTGGGGCTCAGGGACGCAGGGTGGTTTATGGCTCAGTCATGCTCCCACATGGGAAGCACCCCCACTGTGCCCAGCACCTGAGAACAGGAAGCAGGCATAGAGGATCAGTGTCGGGTTCCTGGACTGACTTCCTTCTACACAGAACGGTGACTCCTGGTCCAGCGGCACGCTTGCTTCTTAGCAGCCTGCAGCAGTGTGGAGGGGTTAGAACCACTGGTTCTGAGGGAAGGAGTAACCAGGTCCCACTTGGACCTGCCCAGGCAGAGCAGCCCGCAGCCTTAGCCTCCCTGAGCGCCACTCCTGCTTTGCAGGCCAGGATGCAGATGGGGTTGGGGGAGCCTTATCTCCATGCCTGGTGGGCCAGTACCAGGGGACCCTGTGGGGAACCCCAGGACTTGCTCTTGAGCTTGGGAATGCAGGCATGGAGCATCGGAATGCAGGGGTCAGTAGTCTGAGCTTCCCACCACTCCTTTAGGCTCCCACAGTTAAGTAAACCTTGTAAAGTTTCTAAGAGACCTGCCTTTTATTAATGAAGAGGTGCTGGATAGCTTCTCACTGAAACCCTGTGCATGCTGTATGTACTGAACACAGCAGTCAGGACTTGGGCCTTGGTTGTTTATGGCATGGTGGGCTATTCAGAAATACGGAGAATGTGGCGGTTCATTGTTGGAGAGCAACAAGGGCTAAGAGCTGCCCTTTCCCCTCAAGAGCTGCCTTTATGTAGATGACACGTTTTATCAGAATTAAATTTCTTCTGCGAGACTCGGCAACGATTTTAGCATCAGAAGCAAACAGACAGGTGGTAGCTGCCCTCAAAGTCAAGGACCAGAAATGGGAGGAGGGACTGAATCAGGTGGCAGGCTGTTCTGTCCTCACATCAGTGCCCTGTCCTGATGGCACTGGAATGGCCATGGTGGCCATGCTCCTGCGGCTGTGTGCATGTGCATCCCATCCTTCCCTCCAGAGAAGGCAAGGAGAATGGGCCACTCACCCTGGTGGGGAGGTCTTGGGGTGGCCTGGTCCCTGGTGCCCACTGTCCTCCTTGGAGATCATGTTCCTGAGACCACCTGGTATCAGAACAGATGGAGAAGGTGGCAATGTGGGCCCAAACAACTGCTCTTTACTGATACAGGCCGGCTGCATTCCAGTCAGATACCCTCAGCCTCTGAGCTGTGGGGTTTAAGCTCCAGTTGTGGGTGACATTGACCTTGGAGGGGGTAAAGATCACTGGCAGGCAAGGCCAAGATACACTCTCTAGGTGGCGCACCTGGGCATCTTCCCCAAATTTAGCAATCAGCAATAAGACTTACTCAGCTTTAGACTCAGAATTGAACCATGAACTTCAATATCACATTTAAACATTGGTAAGAAGGTATATATGAACGATTACCATAATTGCAGAAAATATTACAACACATTTTTCTTTTATTGTTATCATTACGGCATTTTGTTCTTAGCACTGTTTCTTACAATAGTGTTTACTGTTTTCTTTCCATTTTTCAATACTGAGATATTTTTTAAAACCTGAAAATTGCAGTAGGTGGCGCCTCATTTTGCTTAAGTCTTTTAATGAATAGCATACCTCCGCCTCTAACATGTAGGAAACTCTAGTCTCACAGCAATTAGTTCCAGGATCATTTGCACACGAATCTTCAGATACCAGCAGATGTTTCTGATGTTGGTTCTAACATCACTTCATGTTCGGCAGCTTTCCACTACTGCAACAACACATCTGAGAGGAAAAGCCTGAAGGAAAATGTTTTTTTGTGGCTTGACGGTGGACTGAGAGTTTCAGCTCACAGCCTGGTGGCTCACTTTGCGGCAGACAGGGTGGAGGGAGCGGGTAGAAGAATGGAGTCTAGGGAAGGCACACCCTCACCTTTCAGGCCATGCCCCAAGGACTCCTCCCTTCTATAAGGCCACACCTAAACTCTATCACCTGATTGCCCATCCAATTATGAACCTACCAGTTATAGAGGACATTTTCGCATCCTCAACTTGGTCCAGGAAGGTTATATTATTGTAATCTTAAGGAGAAGTTATTGGAATTCTAGTGAGTTAATTCCAATCTATCACTTTCAGTGCAACCCATGACAAGAAAAAAAAGCATACATATATGCAGTTGTGAGGAGTCAGAGGTCCTAAGTCCAGCTGAGATGGTGTTCACTATCTCACCCAAAGCCCAACCTGGGTTTTAATTCTCCATGAGGGGAGTGGCTTGGGGATGAGTAGCAGGAAATAGGTGACTGCTGTGAGCTGGGCTAAGGAAGACACCTGAGATCACCTCTTCGATATACAGAGGGCAAGAAACACAGAACGATCTGCGTAAATAACTGAGATAGCATCTAGTAACTGGGGGTCCTGCTTCAGCTCTGAGGCACAATCCTTTTTGTTCTGCAAAGTCACAGCCTCTTTCTTGGGGCTCCATCCCAGCCGACAGCATGGATGGAACACAGCTCTCTATCCTGCCCAGCTCAGCCATGTATTTGGGGAAGTCACTGGGCAGGATGACACTGACCTGTCACTTTGCTTCAGAGATTACATACCAGCTCCTCAACCAGCCCAATTTTTGATAAACTTTTCCTAGTAAATGTGGAAGCCTGGTTTTTAAATGTAACTTTTGTTCCATCATAGGCCATGACCTGCTCTTGTAGTATTACATCATGTAGTTCTTACCTGCCTATGAGCAATTTATCTGAAGTCTGCTTTTAGCCTTCCTGGCGTTACCATCAAGTATCTGAAAGTGGTTCTAGGTCAAATTTGAAATGCCTCATCAAAATGTTTCACCTTGGGGCAGATCCAGAAAACAAAACTAAAACGTAATCAAACTGTAATAATCTTGGAACGGAAGTAAAGAATGTCACTGCTCGCTAATTTCCGCCCAGATGTAAGCAGAGGTCCTAGTTTCAGTTTTATTAAAATGTCTATCCTTCCTCCCCAGACTGCGATCCAATGCAACTGAGCAGCATTCCTTAAACACAGCTGGTCAAAGGTAATGACAGTGCACATCCTTCTGGGCCGGGCATGGGTACAGCGGGCACTACCGGAAGACTTCCCCTCTCCCGCATAACTCAACTCTTAAATCACCGGGAAAGAGGGCAGCAAGCACCATCATCCCAGGGCACAGGGGAAGAAGGGCTCCAGCCGGCTCAGAATCGAGGACCCTCGCCCAACGGGAGGCCGAGGGACGGACGCATGCCCCAGGGAATGAGCAGCATCCGAGTCCCCAGGGGCTGGAGAAACGACGGCCGGTGTCGTGGTTGGCTCCGAGGAGACGGGAGAGGCCCGGGAGGCTGAGAGCGAGGCGCAGGCCCAGAGACGCCGCCGGCCGCTCGGAGACTCGCGGGAGCACGGACGCGTCGTCAGGCCGCACAGCCACGAAGGTGGCGGGGTCGCTGGGTCACTCGGCACCCGGAGCCAGCAGCGCGCCAACATCGCATCCCGTCCCGGTCGCCTCCCCTCCACCCGCAGGCCCTGCGACGGCGTCTTAGACACTGTGGAACGCTGTGGAGCGCCAGCGAGGAAGCCACGCTCCCAGTTCCGCGGCTTACCCGCTATCTCCGCCTCGCAGCCCACGCAGCCGGAAACTGGAAGAACGCGGCATCCGGAAGTCCCTCCCTCCGCATGCGCCCTGGATGGCGGGCGGGTTGTGGGCGGAGCTGCGCACGCGCCGTGGGACGCGGAACCGCTCAGAGCTGGTGAGTGCGCACCGTTTTTCAGTTTTAGGCTCTCCCAGTTTCTGGATCAACGGCCGAGGGGCGGGCGGACGGGCTGGGGACCCCGGCCCCGGTGTGTCGTCAGCTCTGCGGAGCATCGGTGACCACGAGATCTTCCGGGTGGGGAGCGGTGCGGTGGAATAGTCCCGAGATTATCACCGCTCTGCCGTCTGCTGAGGTCCGCGCTCTCCCGGAAGATGTGAACTGCACAACTCGAATTAGAATGCTCACCTTCTAAGGGTCATTCTTGGCACCCCTGTAATCCTGTCGCTCCCGGAGGTCGTGGCTGGAGGATCGCATATTCAGGCCTAACCAAGGCAATTTACTGATTTAGCCACACCCTGTCTCGAAATAAAAAAAAAAAAATAAACAAGGGGCTGCGAATGTAACTTACTGGGAAGATCCTGCGTTCAGTTCCCAGAACCCAGGGTTGTGGGGGGAGCCACTGGGAACCCGTGCCCCAGGGGTTTGCGTGTCGGTTGCCAGATTCCAAAGCTCATGCTCTTGGACGTACTGCATTCTGCCAAGTCCGGAGCAGGGGACCCAGCTGAGGGCCAGGGGCCCATGATGACGTTGTGTAGAGTAAGAACTTTGAAAGAGTAGTAGAAATCCTGCAGGGAGAGGCAAACGCGATAATCCATAGAGCCTACCAGACAGTGCCAGTTATGGGGACCACTTAGGTGAACGTCTGAGAAGAGGCAGCGCCGCAGAGACCCAGCAGAGGGCAAGGGGCGGGGCCACGCGGGCAGATAGGCCGCACACCAAATGTGCAACACATGAACAAGGTGAGGTGGACCCCTGGGAACAGGCCACTCTCGCTGGGTGCTACAGGGAAAGAAGGAGGGAGCAAACCTTCCTTGCCTGCAGGGTTGGGGAGGGAGCCGCTGCCACCGGCTGGAGCTGCCTCAGTTCTCCCAAGGCCGAAGGGCAGCAAGTCCTATCACCCGGTGGGAAGGTGGGGATGGGTTCCCAGGGGGTTGTGGGGCAGAGGACAGTCCTGAGGCTGTGTCCTTAGAGGTCTCCTGTGGCTGGGGTGGGCGGGATTCCTGCCCATGTCTGAGCCAGAAGCTGGGTCGGGACACCAGGATACCTGGTGCAGCTGTGCCGTGTGACACCTTGGGACCCAAAGGTGAGGCTGGGGCGGATTTTGAGAAAAACTCTTTAGACCAATAAATCTCACATCTCAACACAGGTGAGGCTAGGGAAAGCTGAAGGCAGAGACACCCCGAGGATCACAATTGTGAGAAAACGCAGGCCCATTCACTTGATGGACTCAGCCCCCGCAGTTAAAGGCCTAGCAGAGGCCGAGATACTGCTTCCCCGCAGAAGCACTGCTCCACTGCCTAAGAAACAGCACCCAGCTCTCAACCAAACTGAGAGGCATCGAAAAGCAAAGGAACTAGAAGCACACACTGTCAGGAATCAAAACAACCAATAGAATCAGGATCCAGTATGACTCAGATGTTAGAACTAGTACGGAAGGAGCTGAAAAGAAGCATGATTTGTATGTTTGGAGTGTAAATACATGGGTATTTTCAGCCCAGAAGGAAACAGTCATGGAAATGCTAGTGGAACATGGCACAGGTAAAGAATGTTTTTAAGAAGTACGCAGAGCTTGACATGGTGGTACACACCTGTCATCCCGACACACAGGAGGCTGAGGCAGGGAGGGTCCCTGTGCGTTCAAGGCCTGCCTGCACTACATAGTGTTTGAAAACCCAGAATAGAGCATCCAGGAACTGTGGTCAACATCCAATGGCATGGCAATTTGCACTGGAATCTCAGCAGAAAAGTGATTAAAGTGGGGCAGAAGTATAGTTTTCTAAAAATAATGAACAATATCAAATCATACATCTAGGAATTTGCCTAAAGAAACACCATCAGAACAAATAACTTTAAAAGAAAAAGCAAAACCCCTTAGGAATATACTCAAACCCGAAGACAAAAGTCTTGACTGCACCCAGAGATAACCCTAAGGGTAGGGATGAGGGGAGGCCTTAGGGTGAAAGGGACAGACCAGACAGCAGTGCAAAGCCAGGCGGTGAGCGGTGAGCGTGCAGTGTCCACAGGACAGGAGGTGGCCCCAGAGCCATGGCCTGGGAGGAAATGGGCCACCAGGTTAGGTGGGGCTCGTGCCGAAGCAGGGGGTTCCCTGTGCAGTCCTGCGCAAAGCCACTTTGGTGACACAGGAGGGCTGGGCCCAGTTTGCATGCTTTCTCTGCATGTTCCAAATGGACTGTGGTTTTCTTCCTGTGTTTGGTCGCTGGCATGAACTTTATTCGTTGCTTGGCGATGGTAAAGCAGCTTTGTGTTCCCGGATCCAATCCGGTCTTTCACGGTCCATGAGGCCTTGTATGTAGGCTGTGACCGAATCTAGCAGGCAGCTGTGCTGTTAGGACTTTTGTACTCAAGCTCACGAGGATTTGGTCCATAGATGCCCTGGTAGCTCTGCTTAGTGCATCTCAGGTGACTCTGGGGGCTCAGGGTCTGCGGGGTCTGACTTCTATCATGGGGGAAGTGGTCCTTTCTCCCTTAGGATCCAGGTGTCTGTATAGCAGTGTTCCTGCTGAAGTGCCAATCAGAATTTGTCATAAAGCCTTCTAGGCATGTCATTTAAACAAAAATAATAAAGTCACTTATTTCATTTCTGGGAGAAGTTTTAATTATGAATTTAATTTTCTTAGTAGATATAGGGCTATTCAGGTTTCCTGTTACTTGAGTTCGTTTTGGGGTTTTGTTAGTTTTCTGAGATGAGGTCTTGCTATCTAGTCCAGGCTGGTCTTGAACTCATTGTAGAGCCCAGGTTAGCCCTAAATTCACAGTCATCCTTCTGCCTCAGCCTCCTGAGAGCTGGGATCACAGGCGTGTGCCACCACGCCCTGAATTTTCGATAACTGGTATTTTTGTCAAGAAATCGGGACCTCTGATCTAAACGGTAAAAAATTTTTGGTTGAAAGCTGCTCGTGGTGTTCCTTTATTGTCCATTTACTGTCTCTTGTCTTAGTTCTCTTCTCTTTCCGAGATTCTTATCTTTGTGTTTTTCTTGGTAAACCAACGGGAACCCTGAACTTCCGGAGTAAGTGACCTTGGCTGTATTGGCTTTTATTTTGCCTATGACTGTATCTTTTCTATTTTCATTATCTTTTCTTTCTGTATAAGTTGGATGTGATTTGCCTTTTTCTAGTTTCTTAAGAAATCATCATGTACGTGCTGTTTTTCCTTTGGTATTGGGACTGAACCCAGGGCCTTTGCACTGAGCTGTATTTCCAGCCCTTAATTTTTTTTTTTAATATTGGAGACAGGGTCTTGGTAAATTGCCCTGGTGGCTCAAACTTGGCTCCCCTTTCCACAGCCTCCCAGCTGGGGATTACAGACGGCCTGCACATCTGCTTAGTGGGTTTTAAACACTCTACAAATGCAAACATTTAATGACCTGACTCCCTCTACGCGTGGCTTAAATACATTCTGTGTATTTTTGTTTCTACTTAGTTCAATCCGTTGTCCAATTTCTCTTGTGATTTCTTCTTTGAACTCTGGTTTCTTTTTTATATATATTTTTTGTTTTTTTCCTTTTTATTGGTACCGGGGATTGAACTCACGACTGCCTGCTTGTAAGGCAGGCGCTTATGCCGCTGAGCTAAATCCCCAGCCCCTTGAACTCTGGTTTCTTTAGAAGCCGGCGTTTCAATCTCCAGATACTCCAGGTGTCATGCTGTCCCTGATTCTACTGGGGGCTTAGAGAATAAGCTGTGTGATTTGGGCGTTTCAAGCCTGAGATGCATTTCATGGCCAGCAGGAGTCCCGCACATACTCCCGGGGTCCAACGGCCACGGTGTGCAGCGCATGGCTGGGGCGCTGGGAGGTTCGGGAAGGCGCCTTTGCTCTTGCAAGTGACCGCAGCTCTGACCCTTCATGGTGTAGATGGCCTCTGAAACCGAGCATCGTTCCCTGGGAGTGTTCGAGTGCCAGCTCTGTGGCCTGACGGCACCCTACAGCTATGTAGGGCAGAAGCCCCCCAACACCCAGTCTGTCGTGTGAGTAGCCCTGGCCCTGGTGGCCAGAAGTATGACCCGGGGAGGCCAAGGGCTGGCAGGGCTCAGGGCTGTGTGACCCTCCCAGGCCCCACCCCACCCATTGCTCCCCCCTCCCAGGACCCATCTATCCAGGGCCCAACCCCCCAGACCTTATCCCTCTCAGCAGGTGTCACCCTGTTGATGGCACTTGCTGGGTAGGTTGCTGTCTAATCACTGTCTTTGCGCTGGTGGAAACAGACTTCCTGTGGTCTGCCCAGAGCAGACTGGTATGGAGGTGGCCCTGGGCTGGCTTCTGGACTGCCAGCTTGTCCTTCCTCAGGTGCCATTTGGGGAGGGCTGACCAGTCGGATCCAGGCCGCTTCCTCTGGCCCGGGTTAGCTGGTGCCCCTGCGGCAGGGCCATGAAGGGGGACAGAGCCCAGTCTCCTTGGGTGGCCTTGTGCCCCATCCAAGTCAGCTCAGGGCTGGGGTCACACGAACAGCTCCTGTGGCTGAACCCCACCCCCCAGTCTGATCTAAGTTCCTGGTGGCCCGCCTCTCGGGCTGTTGGTTACTGAACTGTGGCCCTGTCCCCACAGCCTCCTGGAGGAGAGCTACGTCATGAAGGACCCCTTCTCACCAGACAGAGACAGGTTCCTGGTCCTGGGTGCACGGTGCAGCATATGCGGCAAGCTGGCATGCGTGGGCCCGGTGGGTAAGCGGGGTTGAGCCGCCACCTTGGTGGTGTGGCCCGGCCTTCCCAGTGCTAGTGGGGAAGGGTGCAGGTTCTCGGAGGGCAGGGCCCACATAACAGAGGGCAAGGGGCCAGCAGGGCCCGGCTCGAGGGGGCTCCCTGGAGTCTCAGGGTGCCAAGCACCTTGCCATCAGCAACACACACCTGCTTGGGCGCACCCTGGGGGTAGCAGCTCTCACCATCACGGTTCTGTCCCAGCCAGTAAGGAGGGGCAAGGGAGCACGTGCCTCGGAAGGGGTTGACTGGGAGGTGGCACACCCAGCTGCACACATAGCCCTGACCAGACTGTCCCACAGCCATCCCCAGCTGCAAGGAGTGCTGGGAAATACTGCCCTGGGCTTGGTGCTGTGAGCTGGCCAGGGAGGGTGGCTCACAATTCTGGGGTGAATGGATATGAGGGGGTGGAGGGGCTGTCTCTGCTGCTCCCAGCCCCAGGGCCCCAAGTCCTGTCCTTGCTGTGTGCTGGGAAGTCCGGCTTTGGACCTGGCCTGCTGCACAGCATGGAGTCTGTCCCATTGGGCTGTTCTCACTGGGGTACTCAGGGACAAAGTGCCAGCGCTCCACCCCCTGGGGGCCCTGGGCAGCCCCTGTGGGTGCCCCCAGGGTAAGTCCCCCTTTCCCTTCCAGGAATGCAGTCTGTTCTACTCCAAGCGGTTCTGTCTCCCCTGCGTCCGGGAGCACCTCAGCGCCTTCCCACCGGAAATCCGGCAGGACCTGGAGAAGAAGAAAGCCCCCTCCTCCTCAGGGCCCTCCGGCCGGGCCTGCCCCAGGAGCTGAGCGTGGCCTGCCCAGGGCCAGCCTTGTTCCTGGGAGCCCATCTGCAGCCAGGCAGGCTGGGTGCCCCAAGACAGGCGTGGGCCGGGTACAGCGCTTTGGCCCCAGCACCTCCTGGGTGAGCACAGCAGCGGCAAAAGTCACCATGGGTGTGTGGGGGGCAGAGGCAGGGCAGGGGGTTGGCTTCAAGGAAATCTGTGCCAGCAGTGGCCTTGGCAGGGGTTCATGTAAGCCCCTGGGAAAGATTACACCAGTGGTTCCGAGGCCTTCACACCCTGGAAATCCTGACTGTGTTAATCTGGAACTCAGAGAACTCAGATGTTCTGCAAAGCAGTCCTCCCACCCAGCCAGCACGTGGAGACCCGTGTCCCGTGGGTGGTGGATGGTTGTGACCCCGTGGCAGCTGTGGATAGTCCCCTGGGCACCCCTAGCTCAGGGCCAGTTCCCTCCTGTCTCCCGTGGCCCAGTCAGGAGTGCGTGGGCCTCCTCAGCTCGTAGGACCCCTCACCATCTCGGACACGGCCCCCAGCTGGCCAGTGTTTCTGAGTCCCCGGCCCTGCGCGGTGGCATCTGTAGCGTGCAGGTGTCAGCTTCACATCGGCTGAGGATTAGCTGCTCTGTGGCACTTTACGGTCCCTGCAGGGTCACTCTCGTTTTTGATGAAAGACGGATAAAGAGCTTTTCCTCACAAGTGCGTGCAGGTTCTCTTTATAAATGTCTACTCTTTTTTTCCCCTTTTTTTCCATCATGCACATCTGACAATTCTCACAACATCACTCATACTGCACCAGGTAATTTTAAAAAATAGTTTAATTTTTAAAACCAATTAAGGCAAAACTGTACCCTGAAATTAACTCTTTACATTCACCAGTCTTACAGTAGGACATTCCAGACGTACAAGTTCTCATAAATTCAGGATAGAAATCAATACACATGGTCAGTTCAGTCTCCTAATGGAAATGAAGATGACCCAAAGTTTTTTTTTTTTTTTAAATTAAGGTTATGTTACAGCCATTTTCTGATTGCTTGGAACTGATCCATTAATGTTACCAGAGAAATTACACTTGCCCTCGGTGTGTGCGTTGGATTCCTGAGTCCTGGACAGCCCCATCCCCTGAGGCTGAGGCTGGAGGGGACACTGGAGCCTGCCTCTTGGGTCCTACCCTGGACTGCTCGCCTGCTGAGGGAAGCAGGCCCTGCAGCTCCTTGGGATGTGAGAGCATAAGGCACATAAGATCAGTGACCCTGGCACCCGCAGGGGCCCGGCACAGTCCCGCTTTGGAAATGTCCATCAGACCCTCTCCTAGGGTCCAGTGCAGGCACCGTGGTTCCCAGAAGGTGTGGCCAAGACCAAGAGGCACCTAAAGGAAATTTGGGCTAGATACCCGAAGTGGTATACGGGCCACTCGCAGGGCTCTGTGGTTTCTGCCCCGCGCTTTGGGCCGGCCATCAGGGACTGCCAAGAACCAGCAGCCACACGATTTCCACCAGAACAGCTCATGCCGCCGGGGTTCTTTGGTGACAGCCCACAGGTTGTGCTTCCCTGAAGAACAGACGTAGTGAACCAACAGCACTAGCTAGTGGTTTGATTAAAACACTGGTGTGAAGTCTGTGACGGCCAACCTGGGGTGGAAGAAGCCTCCCAGGGGCCACGCGTAAGGATGGATGGCGCTCCTCGAGTAGGAAGGCGGGTTCACACGAGGAGAGCAGGCTCAGGAGAAACGGCAGCTTTCAGGTCCGCCATCCGCGCGCAGCTCCCTGTTTCCAGCAGGCTCGGGAGCCAGGCTTTGAGCGCAGCGAACTTGGAAACACACTGATTCCCATGGAGATGTGTGACTGCAAATTGGTCAGCTACGTGTATTAGGCTGGTTTTTTAGAAAATTCAAATCACAGTATTGAGGACGCGGCTCCTTGCTGAGTTCTCTGTGACCATACAGTGCAGACAGAGAAGTAAGAACATGCATAATGCTCTAATCTCACAGGAAGGGCACGACGTGGGTCGCACCCATTGTGAGGTACATTTTGTTTAGGCCTGAGAAGGAACTGACTGTGCCTCTATTTATTTATCTGTTGGAGACACGGGCTCGCCATGCAGTTCAGGCTGGTCTTGAGCGCACTTTGTAGCCCAGGCTGATCTTAAACTTGCAACAATCCTCCTGCCTCAGCCTCCCGAGTGCTGGGATCAGAGGCATGTGCCACCATACCTGGCTGACTGTGCCTTTAGGGAATTTTCCAAAGGGGACTGATTTACCAGGAAAGAATCAGTCACACACGGATCCCCGGAGCCTGTGATCCAGCCCCTTCCAACTCAGGCAGCAACCATCGAGGGGCACCCCTCCCTTGGCTGCCAAAGCACCCATGCAGGGTGGGCACGGAGGGAGGGTGCTCCTCCAGTAAGGGAAAGGAAGGGCCAGAGAGGAATTGCCAGTGTCCTCCTTGCTCTAGAGAAAAACACGGAGGATTTTCACTTCTGACTCAAACTGGAAAGTTTTTTCTTACTTCTTTTGGCCAACAGCGGCTCTCACACCAGGGGCCTCCGAGGTTCTTGGCCGTATCCGTTGCTTCTTCAGGAGCAACACCAAATATGGCCCTGATGGGCTCGTTCTAGACAGATGGGGCCGTGAGCCTGAGACTGCTGAGCTGCCTCTCCTCCCTTACGACAGGGGTGCCCCTTGTGGGGGGACGGAAACAACCCACACTGTTTCTCATGGCTCCTGAAACCCAAGAAGTTGTGAAATCCTAAGCCACACAGGTCTGTGAGGCAGCAGCTCCCAGCTCTGCGGAAGCCACCCTCGGGTGCCCGGGGTGTGCCAGGCTGGGCACAGACTGCACCGCTCTCCCCCTCCGTCCGAGGCCGCTGGCCCGTGCCCACCTGAGCTGAGTGTCAGCAGAGCCTGCGGCCTCAGCCGAGCAGCCTGATGGAAACCACGGTCAAATTGTGGCCGGAGGAAGGGAGTGAGGGAGGCTCACCGCTTTTTTTTAAAAGCAAAACTTGCAGTGCCACGCGTTAGCAGGATCATGGGATTTAAAGACAGAGCAAGGTCCCCTACATTCTGAGTCTGCCCAAGGTGCCGCTCTGGTTATTACACTATTTTGCAGACCGGAGCTGATGACCATTTTCCCAAGTCCCATTCCATTGGAACCAAAATACACACTGAGGCCCCAGCCAAACCTCCAGGGGGGCTCGCCCTCAGATCTCCAGGCAACTCAGGAAGCCGTGGCTCACTGGTCCGATGTCCCTCGGCCGCACTAGCACTGCAGAAGCAGCTGAACCAGCGGATTCGCCCGCTTTCCCTCATCCCCTCCTGCTGTAGGCGGCTCCCACTGATGTAACTGGCAGCATCCTGCTGTGACATCTGTGTCCTCTACCCTCAGAAGGCCTCCCACGGTGCCCAGGGGCCGGGGAGGGACAGCAGCAAGGGCTCACGGTTGACAGTGGAGAGGGCGCCCTGAGCCCCCAGCGGCTGCCACAAGAAGGGGTACACCTCGTGGTGTGGTCATCCCTCCTCCTGTCCAGCGTGCGACACCAGGGCAGCTGTGGTCCAGGTCTGCCACTTTTTGGTAGCAAAAGTTGAGGAGGAAGAGCCTGGCAGAGCCAGATGGTGCAGACCTCTGTGACCTGTGGCCCATCGCGCCTGTCCTTGCTGCTGTCCGGCAACGCCTGCAGTACCGACGCCCTGAGAAATCTCCGAAGAGATGACCCAAGATATTCCAGCACTCAGTGGCCATGCGTGATCTTGATGCTTAGATTCATGAGACTTGGGGTTCCTTCCTATTAAAAATGAATCCTGTCAAAGGTCTGTCAAGCTGAGGTCACAGCGGTCTCCTTCCTGGCTTCCTTGGGGACATCAGTCTTGAGATATCTTAAGAGAATCAAATGCCCCCACACGCTGAGCACTGGGCGGACGAATGCAGGTCTCGCCGGTCGCCTCGGAAGGCGCTACTGTGTACCCATTTTATGACACCTTCAACAGGCTGAATGAGGACCCTCCTGGCAGGCTGGGTCTTCCCACGCAATGTGCATCTGAGTGGCATTTGTCAGAGTAGGAAGGAGGACACACAGACTGGGCGTGGGACCTTGCACTTGGATGACTGCAGCCCTGGGGACACCTCCGTATGGGCAGTGGGAAGGGGACTCAGACTGGCTTCATCCTGAAGGGGCTCACTGGGACCAGGGGCCGACAGAGGGGAGTCTGCTCTGCTTCGGGGTCCTACGGCTTTGCTGCTGGCCTACAGGTCCTTTGGATCTGGAAGGAAGGAAGGGAAAGAGGGAGGGAGGGAGGGAGGGAACCAAAGACCGCCTTCTGGTGGCAGAGACACCAGACCAGCCTGGTGGGTGGGAGGACACTGCTGAGGACTCTACTCAACAATTTATCCACCACGTGGACAGAAAGAACGCATCTCCAGGTCCTCTGATTCGAGACCAATCAGCACAATCAACAACTGAACCAAGGTTGGTATGCTGATCTTTAAGGCAAAAACTACTTTAGATGTTGGGAGAAAAAAAACCCCACAAAAACACTACCGTACATATACAGTGGGCAAAAGAGGCTTAACTGTTTGTTAAAAGAAAAGAAAAAACCCAACTGTGGAGGAATCTGAGCACAGGCTCAGCTGCCTGGTGGAGGCCACGGCTCCTGCCTCTTGTTTCTTGGTGACCAGTGCCTCCCAGCCTGGGTGACAGAGCCACACAGGTCCTCTCCTGGCCCGGGAGCACCGACCACCACCACCAAGAGTTAAAGCATCACATTTTAAAAGGCAACACAGAAAAGGACAAAAGAGCTGCCAAAGCGGGACCCACTTCTGCTGGCCTCACGGTCACTGGACACCTCCAGACAGCCTGACTGAGTCGCTCCTGGTTTGGGAGGAACAGAAGTAGGCAGGAGGGAAGGGAAGGCTTCGCCCCAACTCTGCTCACCCCGGTCACAGCTTATACCCCAGAAGAGGGCTCGAGACCTGGTCCCTGGGACCTTCCACATGAGCCCGGAAATGGGCTCGGCCACAAGCTACCTGGGACCACGAAAACCACGAACTGAAAAGGACTGTGGGACCAGGAAGACGGCTGCTGAGTTTGCATAGCTTATCAAACTGTCCTTGACAATTCTCAATCTGGTGATCAAAACGCAGCCTGGCCTGCTGCTTCTTCAGAGTCAGGACACAGAACTGATATCATCCAAATAAATACTCTGCTGCATTTTAAATACCTCACCTTTGGCTAGTTCTAGATTTACAGGATTACCAAAGTTGTTAAAAAGTGCTGATTAGTCTTCCGCATCAGGAGGGAACACGACAGGAGAAAGCGTGGTCAGAAGGGAACAGACCGCGTCTCTTGAGGTTACCCATTAATTAAGTAGCAAATTATGCACGCAGTAAAAAGAATGTGCAAGTTAGATTCAGACCGTGGCTCACGACGGCCCTCAATCTCCCAGGTCCTGAGCAGCAGCGCTGCGTAGCAAGTGCTGATTGCCGCAAAGGCCCCCTTGGGGCGGGCTTCCCCCTCCCAGGTTAAAGGGTGCAGATGGGAGCCACTCCCGTTTGTCCTCTGCAGGGGTGGCAGCATGTGACATCCCTGTGGGGCAGCAGCCGAACAAGCCTCAGGGCCTCAGTACATGTCCCTGTAGATCTCCTGCAGCAGCGGGTGCAGCGCGGCGTCTGACTCCGTCTTGATGACCTGCACGAGCTGGGCATGCTCCGTCACCAGCTGCCGCAGGTCCGCCAGCTTCTGGAGCAGTTTGGGGAAGAGGAAGGTGTCGTCGGGGTGGTTGCTTTGCAGGTGGAGTTTGAGCACGTGCACGATAGCCTCCTGCATTTTCTCGATGTGGTCGATATTTAGGAGGCCGGGCCGATCTGTCCTCAAAACAAGACAGAGACGTTTGCGTGTGAGCATCACTGGTAACTGCTTGTCACCTGAGGCACCTGGCCGAGTGGCTCTCGATGCTGTGAACCACATAGAGGACGGACTTCCCCCAAGTCCCGAGCCTAACAGCGACAGGCAGGACTGACACGCCTTCTAAGACTCATAGCGCCACTGTGCACCCGCCTCGGCAGCATGGTCTTCCAACCGGATCTGACCACTGTCAGGGGAAAACCCGACATCAACCAGAGCCTGGTGATGTCCTGGTCACCTATCATCAGTTTCCCAGAACACGGGAGACGAAGGTCTTCCGGGGTCACAGTTGGTAGGCGGCTGCAAGCTCTCTATCACACTGAGGTAACAGGACCGTGTGCGACTCCAAGAGCCTTCCCACACGGACTGGTGAGGGGGGTGGGCGGACACAGGCTGGCCAGGGTGCAGGGCACCCTGGAGCATGGAGCAGGGTAGCATGGAAGTGCCAGCGGGCACATCGGGTGGCCTCCCTGGGACAGGCTCAGGCCATGGGTCCCAGCCCACCACACCCAGATTTGGTGCAGCTCACCCCAAAATCCATCTCAGTTTTAGTGCTGTTGCCTATGGTGCTTCCTATTTTTTGTTTTATTTTGTTTTTTGAGACAGGGTCTCAGGCTGGCCTTGAACTTGCGCCAGTCCTCCTGCCGCCGTCCCCCAAGTGCTGGGATTATGGGCATGTGCCCCTACATGTGGCCAATCCTGAAGTTTTAAACAGAGAAATTTTTTAAAAGATGGATTTTAAAAAGATGGTCATTTCAACTCAGCAAAGCAGCTTCCTTTCTGTATCACTGGAAAGCTCTAGGCGAACAGGACTGTGCACAGTGGGAGCATCTATGGCGGAGCCGGGATCCACTGCACATAAACAGCTCTCTGGGTGCCGCCTACCCTCGCCGCGTCAGCCTCAGTTTACGGAAGGACAACAACAGATTATGCACAATGACTGCCCCTGACGGGGGCAGAAGGGCCTCTTCCATCTGACTCTGCCCAGCCAGGTGGTCACAGGACATCGAGTGGCTTCGGGCAGGTGGCAGGTGGGAGCCGCCACTCCTTGGTCTCTGCCATGGCTGGGCAAGGTCGGCTGGGTTTACAGTAGGCAGGTGACCTTCCTAGACCTGGGACAGGGCTATTTAAGGAAGGTGGTCCTGGGCCAGGAAGCTGGCACAGCAGAGCCGGCCCAGCCCCTCCTCCCTGGGGTTTGATTCCGTGATAGACCTGCCAGGGTCCTTCACAATGACACGGCATCAGTGTCACCTGTAGTGACGGCTGCTGTGCTCACATCTGTGTGCCACTCCATGGAACAGGAATTATAGAACTGCTATAACATAATTGTATAATTACAATGTTTCTATGAGCACACATTATGTATCATAATACTGATTACATCTAATATGCTAATTAAATCAGGTGTAATTATATTAAAAGCAGTATGTAATAGTTACAAATATATTTAGATAGCATTTCTTCAGTAGTCCTGGGGAGTGAACCCAGGGTCTCTGCACTGAGCTACATCCCCAGGCCTTTTCCTGAGCTTTTATTTTTGAGATGAGGTCTTGCTAAGTTGCTAAATGGCCCGGGCTGGACTTAAATTTAGATTCTCCTGCCTCAGTCTCCCAGAGCCACTGGTGGGGTGAGCGACGGTGCCTCCTGCCCGCCTATGAACGTGTGTTTGTGCAAATGTACTGTAGGTTACACGATAGTGTTGGAGTGCTCACTCCTTCCCAGGATCAGCTCCGGCTCAGGTGTCTCCCACGGGCCAGCACCCATGTCGCAGAGGCACAGCTCGAGCTGGCACCAACTGGGAGGCCCATGATCAAGCCCTTTTTTTTGGTACCAGGGAATGGAACTCATGACCTCACACTTGCCAGGCAAGCGCCTGTGCCGCTGAGCTACATCCCCGGCCCCACAACCAAGCTCGTAAGACAGGAGGCCAAGGGCCCCATGCCAGCAGGCGGACCCAGCCGCTTACCTCCGCAGCAAATGATGGCGGCCACGAACAGCGAGATGTCGCTGTCGTCCAGCTCCAGGGCGTTGAACTTCATGGCAAAATTGAACTTGGGTTCCATCATGTCGCAGAAGGGTTTGCGGAGGTTTTTGAGGAACTCGCGGGTGATGAAGCCGTGTCCGTAGGCCACCAGCATCCCGTCCTTGTTCATGGTGGAGGACAGCATGGTGAAGATGGCCTCGTACACGCCGTACTTCAGCAGGGTGACCTGGTCGTTCAGGTCCAGGCTGGCGAAACCCGGGATGGCCTTGGCGAACTCCGTGAGGTTGGTGACGGTCTCCACCGACACACACTGGCAGCAGTGGAAGATGCGGACCTCGGCCTCCTTGTCGCGGATGCCGTCGGACACCACCTTGGCCATCAGCGTCTTCTCGGCCGTGCACAGCGTCTCCATGTCGTGGATGACGAAAAGCTGCAAGGGAAGATGCCCACGTAAGCGGGAGGCCTGGGGTGAGCCGCACGGGACTCCAGTGACCGATCAGGAGCCACTGTGCCCACTGCCCAGCCTGGCACCGCGGGGACTCAAACTCCGAGGAACAGGCTTCGCCCTTGGGCACCTTCGAAATGTGTTGCAAGAAACAGGTTAGCGGAGAACTCACCAGCTACCTCAGGAAGACAGCAGTCGTGCTGGCCTGACACCAGGTAGGGGTTTTGTGGCTAAAGCCAGAGTCTCTCTGGGCATGGTGCGCCTGCCTAGAATCACAGCACTCTGGGAGGCTGAGGCAGGAACACTGCTAGTATGAGCTCACACTGGGCAACTTGGTGACTTAGCGGGACCCTGTCTTTAAAAAAAGGGAGTGGAGTGGGGAGTGGGGTGGAGCTCAGTTCGGAGGCCCTGGGTTCAATCTCTAGTAGTACAAAAAAAAAAAAAAAGTTTTAAGAGTTAAAGAAACTGGAGAACTGGTTTTGTAATAAAGTTAACAAGAAAATACTAGCAAGTACCTTTCCTGTTTTATAGTACTGCTAGACTCCTGAATCCTGGTGCAACAGTACTAAGGAATGATAGTACTTCTTAATGGTACTGTTTCATAACCATCATCAGCACTGGCTGGTGAACAGACCAATCCGGATAGGAAATTCACTCTCCGGAGAGCTGGTATTCGCTGGGCAGAGCGGGCATCTACTGAACCGGTGGGGATGGAGTGGAGATGCCCACAGCCCCACAGAGGAGAGGGTGGGCCGACACTGAGTGGGACGCACGGGAGCCAGGGCCCAGAGGCCCTGGGACGAAGGCCGGGTCCTCGCCTATGTGAGCCCCGCTGCCCCCCGGCCCTGCTGTGCCCCACATGCCCCTGGGGTACAGCAGAGTTTGAGTTACACAGTGAGGCCCCGATTCGAAAGACAACACAAAAAAATGAGGGGGGAGGGAGAGCGGAGAGCGGAGAGCTGAGCTTGAAGAGACGGGAGCGCAGCCGCAGTCCCTCTGCTGCGACCCCTGCGCATTCTGCACACACATGGAACTGTCACACTGCGGACAATGAAAAAATAAATCTGAAAAAAACCTAAGCTGGATGTGGTGGCGCATGCTGCAATCCCAGCACTCGGGAGGCTGACGCAGGAGGATCGCTGTGAGTTGGAGAGCAGCCTGGGCTACAAAGTGAGCTCAAGGCCAGCCTGAAGTGCACAGCGTGAGCCTGTCTCAAAAAGGCAACATCAGTCAATCAGTCAGTCAATCCAAAGGTGGAGGAAGAGCTGGCAGGCCACAGTGTTAGCCAGGAAGGATTCCATCTGGTGGGTGTGAGGACAGCAGACCTCAGATGCTGGACCCACACTCACACGTGCCACCCCACATGCAGCAGCTGGTGCTACTGCCACCCCCTGGGATGCCAAGCCCAGAAGGGCAGCAGCAGCCATCACACACCACCAAAATGCCCTGTGGCAGGAGCCCCGATGCGTCCCCAGGAACGGGGCCTGTGCCCAGCCCACAGCGAGGCGGCACGGAGGGGACGGCAGGCCACCCGAGAGGCACTCAGACGGGGCCAGAACTTGCTGGCCAAAAAGACCTAGGTCCACGCTGAGGAAGGGCACGGTTTAGATGGTACCCGAGTGAGTGGAAGCGGTGTGACCCCAGGGCCCCCCTGTGCCAGGCAAGCACCCCACCACCGGGAGCACAGCATTCAGAGCCAGGCCTCCCAACGTGTGAGGACAGAATAAGGAAGATCACACCAGTCTCTCTCCTCTGACCCGACACGGGCACAGCTGTCGCTGGGGAAAAGCTCGGGACGCGTGGGGGCCGGGGATGCGGCTCAGCTGCCTGGCAAGTGCGAGGTTCTGAGTTTGATCCCCGGTACCCAAACAAAAACACACCTACACTCAGGACATCCGTGGGGTGACCTGGAGTCACAGCCACTGTGTCCCTGTCCCGCCCCCAGCTGGGCATCCTCAGATTAAAATACATATGTTAAAGAACTATGTCTGTTCTAGATGTGTTAAGGCTTCCTTCTCGTGCTGCTGGGGCTCGAACCCAGGGCCTTACACATGCTGGCGAGTACCCGGCCACGAGCTCCTCCCCTGGCCAGATTTGCTTTCCTATTAATCCCTAAATCATACAGCATGACAACCACTCACCCAGCATTTCCTGCCTCAGGTGTGGTAAGCGATCTAGAGATAACTTCAAGCAGACAAAGGGCTGTGCTTAGTTTCCTGTGAGCTCTACGCTAGCTGGAAAGGGTCCTCTGTATCTGTGAATTCCGGTATCTTGGGGGCCCTGGATCGTTTTCCACAGATATGGGAGAAGGACTCTTTATGGCACTGGGACTGAGCCCAAGGTTTCTCATCAAGCAACAGCCCAGCTCTCTCTCCCCCTCTTTTTATTTTGAGACAGTGTCTTGGTCAGTGGCCCTGCCAGTGCTTGAATTTGCAGCCTCCTGCCTCAGCCTCCTAGAGTGCGGGCATTACAGGTGTGTGTCATTGCACCCGGCTGAGTGCTGTATTTCTAAAGCATAAATAGTGACATTCTGCCCCCCCATTATTTTTTTTTCCCTCCGTTAAGAGAGAAATATTTCTCTTAGAGAAATATTTAGGTCACCTTCAGTTTTTCTCTAGAGTGCATTTAACAGAAATAAGTGCTAACCAGTTCTAGGATGGGGGAAGAGAGAGAGAGGGAGAGAGAGAGAGAGAGAGAGACTGTGAGTTAAGTGAGCTGCCAGTCTTCCCCCCAGCACAGCGGTGGTGAGGACGGTCCAGAGCATGGGTGGCAGGGCGGTTTCCGGAGTGTCTGATTACAGAACCCTTGAAGTGACCATGGCGATCACAGTAAAGCACCTCATGGGCCTGGGGCTGGGGTAGGCCTGGCCACATAATTTTCAGGGTCCAAGGGAAAGTGCAAAGACAGCTCCTGTTAAAGGATAACCAAGGGTTCCGAGACGGCCACAGTGACGTGTGCCCCTATCTGGGCCCCTCTAGGCTCAGACACTGTGACCAGCTAGTGGCCGGAGCGCCGGCCCAGGACCTCCTTTCTGTGCAATGGACCCTCGTCGATGGAGACGTCTACGGCAGGGTGTGTTCTGACTCGTTCCTGTGAGCTTGCGCTTGGGTCCCTGAAAGCAGGTGAAACTCGAAGCCACCCGAGGAGTTAAAAACAAGCACTAACATGAAGACATGGCGTGTGTTACAGCTAAAGAGCGGCCGTGCACTAACGTGCACGTGCAATTTGCCAAACTCTGCTGGTAATTTTGGTGAGGCCATTTGTAAAATGCACATGGCATCTATTTAACTTGGGAACGGCTATGCCCGGTGAGAACCAGTGCTAAACACATTCTGTGCAAGAGTTAGGAAAAGTTGGACCGCTCAACCTTCGAGGAAGTCTTGACCTGTGACTCCCTGTTAGGAGTGTGCCCGATGGAACTGCTCAGCAACTTCACGTTTCCGGAAACACGCACCGCATTTCAACCTGCAGACACCTGACCCTAACACCGCAGGCAGCGCTGACGCATGTCCAGAGAACGCCCAGAAACGACGACACTCTGTTCCAGCACATGACAGCAGCCGCCTGCCCACCCCTGAGATGCCGAAAGGTGCTGGATTCTTCTTCTGAAGCTGCTGCGAGGACCTGTGCTGCTAGGTTAAAAATTCTCCTGGCTTTGCTTATTTTTATTCCAAACAAGACTTTTGCTCTGCATAATTCCGCCTGGCTTTGCACATCGATTACAAATGACACAGAGTTTTGGCTAGAGCTGCACAAGGTCAGAGGCTAAAGATTTTCCACAGCTTGGAATATTAGACTCTCAGGATAAACCCCAGCTCTTGGGAACACTACGGGGCTGAAACGGACACGAAGTCCCAGCCTTTGTAGCCCAGCGTTCCCTTTGCTATTCCTGACCTCCTCTGGTTCCTGGAGAATTTCAGGATTCTCTTCTCTGATTCTTCCTGAGGAACAGCACCGTGACAGGCACAGAAGACGTACGTGTGCTTCCAGCTCTTACAATTACAAGCGAGAAGCCGAAGGTCCCCAGAGGAGTTTTGGTTTCCCGAATTCAGGGCACTGTGAGTCATTTCCAGGAAGGCAATGCGGGCGCGGAGGCTCCCTGCACCTGCCCTGCAGTCCTGAAAGGCTCTTGCTGGCCCAGCCCTTGGGTGGGTTCCAAGGGACTTTCTGAACATCGAGGCCTCCTTAATCGCAGAATTCACTGAGGAGTTAAAAGAGTTTGGGGAACAGTTTAGGTTCATTCATGGAAGCAAGAAGCTTATGAAACCCTTTCTCTTCCCAAGACTAAAAACTCCCGCTGCTGGACCAGGAACAGCCAGACCCCAGGCTCTCCCCATGGGTCAGCGCCATTCGAGGACTGGGGGAGAGAACAAGACCACACCAGCAAGAACCAGCGCCATGCACAGGCTGCCGCCGGTCTGGGAACAGCCAGACCCCAGGCCCTTCTGGTGCTGGGGCCGGCAAACAAGTACCAGTCCCTTCCCTGGCCCTTCCGTAAGTAAGCGGCTGATCCGAAGAAAAACAGGCCATCATGACAGCTATGGAGGTAAAATGCAATCAGACGCGTGTGGTGCTGTGGTGTTTCACTGGGTCTGACCATGGGTTCAGAGGACAGCGGTACACAGTGTGGCGTCTAGGGGGATGGATCTTCTGAGGGCTGCAGCCATCGCTGATTGCCTGCGGTCTTGTTGTGAAGTCCGGTATCGTTCCCATTGTTTTCTTGGGTTGGGTTTTATTCTCTTTTGTTTAATCCCTTTTGTTTATGTTAAATCTGATGGCAGGAGAACTATTTCAAGGCTGGGAACATACATTATAGTAGCAATTTCGGATTTACTGTTGGCTTGTTTTGGAGTTATTTATTGCATTCATTGTTTTATTTTTATTGTTCCTATTCTGTTCTGTTCTGTTTGATTTTTACTATGTTTGAAGTTATCTGCAGCTATTTTGAAGACATCAAAAGGCATGATGGTAACTATTGTTGGTTTTGTCATGTTTTGAAGCCCTGTATCTCTTACACTGGTTTTGGTTTTATTGTTTTATCCTCTTTAAAATAAAATTTTAGAAAGAGACTAAAAGCCCCAGCTTATAATTCCCAAGAAGGAGCGCTCTAAGTTACTCACTAGGACAAAGTAAGCCTGCTGTACCGCGTGCGTAGAGAAAGGCAGAAGGTCCGGGGCGGCCTCTCCTTTAGGGAGGGGCGAGGCCGAGTGACTTCTGGGTGGGGACAGTGGCCAGCGGGGCAGACTTCTGTGTGCATGTGACCCTTTCTGAGCCCCGAGAGGGGAAAAAAGCAGGTGGGCGCCAGAGGCAGGGATGGGGAGACCCGGGAGGTAGCTTCAGGGGGTGCACTCCGAGTAGGAAGTTAATGAGCAGCTGGCTTTTCTGGCCTTTAAATGGAGACCTATTTAAATGCCCTCAGGAAGCGACCTTGGAGCCATGTGAGGTGTCAGCGAGATCATTTCTGGCGCATCCGCGGCAGGGCTGTCGCAGTAACCTGGCTGTGGGGAGCTGGGAGGTGCACTGCCCTCAAGCTCCATTCTGGAGGCCAGCAGGTCCCCCTGAGGGTCCACCGCCCTCCGTCTGCCTTTGGGATGAAGGTTTCCCTAGCACTGAAAGTTCCCCTGGTCATGGCCCAGGACACCAGGGCGCCTGTCCCTCCAGCCCGCCAGCCCCCGCCGGCCCGAGCCCTACCGGATGGCTGCTGGTCTTCCCGGCCAGGATGATGCGGGCCTTGACCTTGTTCATGTGGAAGTTCTTCAGGTAGGCCTCGTAGATCCGCTTGGCCAGGGACTTGAGGTCGGCGGTCTCGGCGCCCTCGCTGTCCCGGTCACAGGTGAGGACTTCGGCTTTTAGTTTTGCTTTCTCAGACCTCGGCATCCGTCCGAAGCGAATGGCTGGGGGAGAGGGGCACGGGTCAGGGGAGCGGACAGGCAGGGAGGAGGGGGCGCGAGGGTGCCAATGGCACAGGCGGCATGAGAAAGACGCTCCTGCTGCGAATGAAGCCATGAACAGAAGCCTGCAGGCAGGGAAAATCCATTCTACCGGGAGGGGGCAAAATCAACTCTGCAGTCCTGGACAGCAGGACACGGTTAACAGGGACACTAGGGCCACTCACACACCTGTCGAGAGGACACCCCCTGTCATCGGGGAGATAAAGGGGCTGAGGCTGGGTCCAGGGGTGACCGTGTTCGCCTCCCCATGTTGAGCCCTGGCAAGCTGCTCGTTGCAGGGGCACCTTTGTGAGCAGAGTATGGCTGAATTCATACACCCGCTTCACAGGGTGGTGGGACAGTTCGGCCCCCACCCCCGGATTTCCAGTTGGCTGACAATCTTTTCCCCCCGTTTCTGGGGACGGAACTCTGGATTTGGCACTGAGCTACATCCCTGGCCCTTGGTATTTTTTGAATCAAGAATCATGCTAAATCTAAGTTGCCCAGGCTGTGTTCAAACTTGGGATCCTCCTGCCTCGGCCTCCCTGAGGGCTGGGATTACGGGCTCAGCCCAAGGTGAGGTTTCTTCTGACAGTCTTGCCCCGTGCACTGCTGCTGAACCCAGCGAGTGCAGGCGTTGCTTTTTCCGAGGCCGTCTCTGGGTACAAAGTGACCCGCGCGTGAAATGGCACAGCGTGGCCGCTCCGGCTGAACAAGGCAGGTACACTGAGGCACAGCCGGCCCGCTCCCGGCAGCCGCACCTACCGTTGTGGGACATCCCGACTGACAGGCACTTGTGGAAGCGGCAGTACTGGCACTTGTTGCGGTTCTTTTTCTGGATCTTGCAGCTGCGGTCACATTTGTCGTACACCAGCTTCAGCCGGATGGTCCTTCGGAAGAAGCCCTGCGGGGGAGAGCAGCGGGCTGAAGACCAGGCCGCCTGCCCGCCACCACCCCATCACTCGGCTTTTGTTTGTTCTCTTTTTAACTTTACTATCACACGACAGCGACAGAATTCAAAGGGATTTGAAGTAATCCCAGCACTCGGGAAGCTGGGGCAGGAGGATCCTTGCGAGTTGGAGACCAGCCTGGCTACACAGTGAGCTCAAGGCCAGCCTGAGCTCCAGAGCGAGGCCCTGTCTCAAAAAGACAAAAACAAGAACAAAGCGATTTCAAAACGTCCCTGTCTGATGGGAGAGAACACAACAGCAGACTTCAGGGTCACTCAGCTCTGCCCGTGGGTGCTGAGGTCACCGCCACTGCCCCTCCCGGCCAACACAGCCACGTGTGTGACTCGGAATCCTCTAGAAATTTTTCTAAGTGAACATTAACTTTCTAAAAGGAAAAAAAATATGATAGAAGGAAGCTAGATACTTGTAACCTATGCTCTTCCTTTGTGAAGCATTTATTTGTTTTTAATTTTAAAGAGAATAAAAGAAAATCAAGCAATAAAAAACAATATAGGATTTCACAACGCAATGACAAGAAATTAGCAGGGGTCATTATACTGACTATCGTTATCTTGAAAACAGTGGCTCAGATGACCAGATACGGGCAAGAAAAATCGATCCCACAATATAAGCACTGACTGTTCCTCTCCGTCAGCTCATAGAATGAGTAGTTTCATGAGGCGTTTAAAAATGGTACCTGGGAAAGGCTGGGGATTTAGCTCAGTGGCCAAGAGCTGCCCGGCAGGGGTGAGGTTGTGGTTTGATCCCCAGTACAAAAAACAAAACAAAACAAAGCAAAGCAGTACCCAGGAGGAAACAACTCTACCAGAAGTCCATAAAAAGCCCGAGTTAAGCAACGCGACCCTGGAGAAAAGGCCAGCGCATGCGCCGCTGCTTTTAGGCACGGGCACCTGGAAAGGGGTTGACTCTGGCTTTGGGTCCTTTTCTTGTGCTTGCTTTCTGCAGGCCCCACAGGCTTGACCCCACTAAGAAAATTAATAAGAAGTCTATAAATAGGTGGGGCCTACTTAGTTACTTCAACTTGTATAATTACTGCCCAAACACAAATATTAATACTATTCATACCAATCAAAATTATTATAATGATCAACAAATTTATTCCATCAAATTAAAAGATATTCATTTATTTTTATTTTTTGATACCAAGGATCAAATTCACAACCTCGTATTTGCCAGGCAGGTGCTTGTGCTGCTGAGCTAAATCCCCAGCTAAAAGAAATTCATTTATCTTTGTGAATTTTTAAAAAACATATATGTTGAAGTGATTGATTTGTGTATCAGACACAAAACATAGTAACATGTGGCTTTAAAGCAGCCCAAGTGCTTTGTGGGCCCCATCACGCACATGTGAGGTCACATCTCTATGTGTCCATGGTGGCACGCCCCACGGGCCACAGGGACAGCTCAGCCATTTCCTGGGGGCCGGAGGGGAGCCTGCTGTGCCCCCCTGACTTTCTCACCTAGGCCCTGAGAGACGGGTGGAGGAGAGTGCCCTGAGCACCAGGGGTCCAGTCCCAGCTCTGTGCCCCCCCACACTGTGACACCCCCCAGCTCTGTGGCTCCCTCCGGCTCTGTGGCCCTGTCTCCAGGGAGCCAGCCACCTCCACGCCAGGCCTCGCAGGGGCTGGGCACCCACATTCCAGGAACACAGGGGAAGGTGACAGTGTCTGTGAACCTCATGACACTGCAGTGTGCTCAGGAAAGGCCTCTGGCCACAGCAGTCGGATTTCCAGAGCTCCCACACTTGCCTGCCCAAAGGGAGACACTGGAGGGTGTCATGTGACCACAGGAGACTTGCAGGGGTGGCAGGACTGGGTCCTCCTTCGAGGACCATGGATCCTGGCAGTGATTGCTCCAGGTGCCTCCGTCACATCCTCCTGGCCCTGCTTGTCCCTGTCCAGGGCCTGGCTGAGCAACATGTGGGGCCAGGTGGCTGTGGCTGTGGCTGTGGCTTTGGCTGTGGTGGTGGCAAGCTGGGAGGGACAGCTGGGTGTCACGAGCAGCTGCTAGGGTGTGGCCAGGCATCATGTGACCTAAGACAGATGCTAACATCAGTGGTCACCAGCTCACCCCCCGCCGAGCCGGTGAATGGTGAAAGGTCAGCAACTGAGAGGTCAGGGGTGAGAGGTCAGCGGGTCAGGATGCTGAACCTGGTGCCAGTGAGGGTCATGCTGTCACCAGGGCTGCCCTGCCTCAGTGCACTGCTGGGCCAGCCCCAGACCACAGGGCACAGCCTGTCCGGGGTCCCCAGAGCCAGCCTGCCTGGGTGGCGCCCGTGCCCGTCCTCCGCAGACCGGAGCCCCGTACCTTGCAGCCTTCACATGCGTGGACCCCGTAGTGGTAGCCTGAGGCCTTGTCCCCGCAGATCCTGCACTCGATGTTCAGGGCGCTGCTGGGCGGCTCATCCACGCCACAGGGGACCTCGGGGTAGCTGACGGAGGAGGGGCTGGAAGCCGGGGACAGGGTATCTGTGGGAGAGAGGACATCGTGGACATCCACATGGAGTGTCAGGAGGCGGGGACCAACAAGGTCCCTGAGGGCAGAGCTGGCACAGGAGGTGCTCAGATGCGGTGTAAATCGGGGTGGGCGGGTGCCGGTTCCAAGTCAGCCAGTGCCCCCACGACACCAGCCGTGCCCTTCCATCCCCCACGGTCACCTCGGTGCTGGGTCCCTCAAGGCACCTGGCTTTTGTCCCTGTCTGCCAAGCGGCACCCGTCTCAGCGCAGTGGCGAGTCAGGGGACCCCATCTGGTCCCGAGTCCCATGTTTTGTGCTCCATGCCCCACACAGAACGTCCTTCGTTCCTTCCTTCCTTCCAGATCCCCAGCTGCTAACCCCGTAAACAGCACCAAAACAGCGAGCAATCCACACAGGTGACACCCAGTGGGTGGTGTCGGTGGAGTACGTTAGAATTTACGAGTCTTATAAACTTCTGTTAAGAAAATAAAAAGACAGAGCGCAGACCGGGAGAAAATGTTTTGCAGAGCCCGTGCAGTAAGCCTCGTACCCAACACACAGAAAGACCTTCAAGCGGGAAGCAAACGGCTCAGTTAGCGCCGGCAGAAGTCGCCTGGGCAGACTCTTCCTGCAGGGGACGGGCCGCAGGCACCGGGCCTATGGCTAGACACGAGACGTCGCTTCTCTCGGGGACTTGTGCACTGAAGCCATGACGATGCACCACGACACAGCCACTGTTACTTTAAAAAAGCCTGAGAGCTGCGAATGCCAGGGAGGACCAGAGCTCTCAGATGCTCACTGCCCTGGCCACGGAACGGGACGGCCTGGAGGCATCTTACAGACGAAGCGGCCTCACGGTGTCACAGGCCTGGCACTTCTGGGCACAAACCCAAGCGATCCAGACCCTGAGGTCCACACGAAACCCCATGGACAAACCGGCCGTGGCTTTATTCTTAATCAGGTAACAAACTGCGGTGCAGCCGTTTACCGGAGCATCGACCCTGTAAACAGAAACCAGGCACCAAGCCCGGGAGAGACATGGACTGTCACGTGCAAGAGCTAGACTGATGGGGTTCACACCCCGTGAAGCCGAGATGGGGTGCCCTAGTCCCAGTTCCGTTGGTGGGCACAGCACCCAACACCCACAGGTTAATCGTGGCTCCTGCCTCAGAGCATGGTCGGTGGACTCCAGGGTGAAGTGGGGGGCTGGCAGTGGGAACCAAGCTCAGCTGGGGAGCAGCGAGCAGACAGAAGCTGGGAAGAAGCCACGCCCCTCCAGGCCTCGTCCCCAGGACCTGTTCTGCTCAGGCCCCCTCCCAGGGGCACGGTGAGCCCGAGCATCCAGGAGATGAACCCCAGGTTCCCACAGAGCCCGGGAGGACGCCGGGGTCTCAGGCGAAACTTGTGCACTAAAAACTAGAAAGGGTGGAGAGAACGGAAAAGACCTCGCTAAATGGGGAAGCAGCCGAGTTCTCAGATCAGAGACGGCACCGGGAAGCTGTCCCTGGTCACACCGGCAGCAGGTCTCCTTGGTCACACCGGCCGCAGGTGTCCCTGGTCACACCGGCCGCAGGTGCCCCTGGTCACACCGGCCGCAGGTGCCCCTGGTCACACCGGCCGCAGGTATCCCTGGTCACACCGGCCGCAGGTGCCCCTGGTCACACCGGCCGCAGGTGCCCCTGGTCACACCGGCCGCAGGTGCCCCTGGTCACACCGGCCGCAGGTATCCCTGGTCACACCGGCCGCAAGTGCCCCTGGTCACACCGGCCGCAGGTGCCCCTGGTCACACCGGCCGCAGGTATCCCTGGTCACACCGGCCGCAGGTGTCCCTGGTCACACCGGCCGCAGGTGCCCCTGGTCACACCGGCCGCAGGTGCCCCTGGTCACACCGGCCGCAGGTGCCCCTGGTCACACCGGCCGCAGGTGCCCCTGGTCACACCGGCCGCAGGTGCCCCTGGTCACACCGGCCGCAGGTGTCCCTGGTCACACCGGCCGCAGGTGCCCCTGGTCACACCGGCCGCAGGTATCCCTGGTCACACTGGCCGCAGGTGCCCCTGGTCACACCGGCCGCAGGTGTCCCTGGTCACACCGGCCGCAGGTGTCCCTGGTCACACCGGCCGCAGGTGGAAGGCACCCAGCCCAAGTCTCAGCGGGCTTCTCTTGGCAGAGATCGACAAAGCGACTTAATGTCATACACAGAATTGAGAAGGACCCAGGCCGCCCGTGAGACCTCTGGACCTGAGGGGTGAAGTCGGAGAGGCTCGCGCCCCAGCCACGGTGATTGGGGTGCCGGAGGACTGGGGGGCAAAGAAACAAAGCGATCAGTGGGGTGGAACGAAAAGCCCTCTGTGACACGGTCGGCTGATGTTCCGCAAAGACAGAGGTGGTGAGGGGGAAGCCGCTGCGTGTGTGCCTGTGTTTTCAAACAAACTACCAGAAAAATTGCAAATGAGAAAAGAAATTTTGATTCACATATAAACATCAAATCAACAGGTCTTAGTCTTAAATGTGAAACCTAAAATGATAGAAGACGTGCTCTGGGTCAGGCAAAGATTACCCTTCCCTCCCTCCGTCTCTCCCCTCCTCCCTCCCTCCTTCCCTTCCTTGGAGATTGAACCCCAGGACCTTTGTACTGAGCTTCATCTCCGGTCTTTTTTTTTTTTTTTTTGGTCCATTGAATTCCGGACTTTGCACTTGTCAGGCAGGCGCTGTGTGCCACTGAGCCGCATCCCCGGCCCTCCAGCCTGTTTTTGACACAGGGTCTCCCTAAAGTACCTGGGCTGGACTTGAACTTGGTGATCCTGCCTCAGCCTCCAGAGCACTGGGATTACAGGGCAAAGATTTCTTAGACATATCAAAAACATGCCACCCACAAAGGGAAAGACATGGATAAACAGCTTTATCAAGATGAAGGATTAATTATTTTGGTCGGGAGGACAAGTTTTCACCATGTAGCTGACGCTGGATTTGAACTCGCAACTGTCCTACTTAATTCCACACGGTGCTGGGATTACAGGCGTGCACCACCACCCCGGGTTTAAGAACTGCCTTCTGAAACACATAGTTAACAGAAAGGATGAACCACAGAGTATTTGTAAAGCAGCTGATGAAAGCACTTGTATGAGGAATACACGGATTCTTAACAGTCAATAGTAAGGAAGCAACTCAATTCAGAAGTAGCCAAGCGGGGCATGGCGGTGCATGCTTGGGATCTCAGTATTGGGAGGCTGAGGCAGGACGGTCATCTGAAATTTGAGGCCAGCCGGGGCTACACAGTGAGTTCAAGGCCAGCCTGAATTACAGAGCAAGACCATGTCTCAAAAAAAAAGGGGACAAAACATTTGAACAAAAACTTCACTGAGGAAAACCCAGAGCACACAAGGAGAGGACAGGAAGCCCAGTATCACCAGTCCTCGGAGAAACGTGAGCCAGTGTTGCCCCACGGGTGTCAGAGGCCGATGACAGCCCCTGTGGACGCAACGTGGTGGGGACAGGCCCTGGCACCGTGCTTTGGCGAGGAGTCTGGCAGCTTCTGGAGGAGGGACACACACATGTGCCCTGTGTCTCCGCCAGCCTGCTCCCGCTCTCTCCCCAGTGTCCGATGCACGGGATTCCGCGAGGACGTCCCCAGCTGGCCTGTCACACGCAGCCCCGACTGGTGACAGCCTGCGTGCTCATGAACGGAGCCCGGAAGAGCTACTGCAGTGTCCCGCAGGATACGGGCAGGGGCCACAGGCGTGCACCCCAGGGCAGGGCCAGCCACGGGAAGGCAGCCCAGGGACAGAGCGGGTCCAGGACACACAAACGCACTACGGGGACAGAAGAAGAGCCCTGGTCCGTGGAAAGGCGGGGAGGGGTGCAGGGAGAGGACCTGCGGGGGCCCACAGCACACGGGGACGGAGAGGGTCACGCCGCTTGATCGTGACCGTGGCGTCACAGGTGTGTGCCCATGTGCACACATCACATGATGCATTTTATTAAGAAATTTTTAATAAATCGCCTTATCTTATGTATTTATGTATTTATTTATGTATCTTTTGGAGACAGGGTCTCTCTATGCAGTGCAGGCTGGCCTTAGCTCACGCAGCCCAAACTGGTCTTGAACTCGCAACCCCCCCACTGCTGCCCAATGCCCACTTCCGCCGGGGGATGCCCGGGCCCAGCTGCCTTGGATGGGGCCTAGGGCGCCCGATTTTGCCCATGGTCCCTCGGGTTAACCAAGCGGACGCCACACTGCTTCTGCAGCTCGGTCTCCTCTGGTCCCTGACGTGGTTTTTGTTTCTCTTCTGCGGTGCTGGCTTGAACCCAGGGCCTTCGCACCGAGCTGCACCCCGGCTGTCCTCTACCTTTTCCTCGCTGTGCATCTGAGACAGGCCCTCGCCAGCTTTCCCAGACTGGCTTTGAACGTGTGATCTTCCCAGCGTGCGGGGGTTCTGGGCGTGCACCACCACACCTGGCTAGAGGACGTGGTTTTTAATGGATGGAGAAGTGGGGAGATGTTTAATATGAATTTCCAGGGAGTTGTTCCTGGGACACTAGGGGTCTCTGTGTTAAAGAATTACCCGATTGCGGTGCTTAAAAATCACAGCTGCCTGCCACCACTGACTTCAGGCGTCACTGCTCTGCGAGCGACATTTCTGGGAAGGGACCCACTAAGACATGAGACTGGGCTCCCGCACGCTGGCCAAGACACATTCACATCAAGGTCTCTTTGCAAAACTGTGTTTCCCTGGGGAACAGGCTTCCAGACGAGCTCCCTGAGAGCGGGCGGCACACTCACCTGTGATGACCGATCCGTCCGAGCCGGGGCCGCTGCCCAGATACTGGTACTCAGGGAAGCCGAAGCTCCCGGAGCTGTCTTCACCGAGGGACCTCGAGATGTCCTGGATGGTCCCCATTTCCTGGAGGAAGTACTCGGACAGTGGGCTCTCCAGGTCCTCGGCCTCCAAGGGGGACAGCGGACACAGGGGGCTCTCCATGTCCACCATGTCGGCGGGGAGGAGCCAGTCCTGCCACTGAGCTGTGACCTGGGGGAGCAGAAAAGCCAGGGTGAAACCAACAGACCAGGGCACCCGTCTCTGTTCCCCAACGGAAACCGGAGAACTCACCGACTGTGGAAGACACGCCTGAACCCCGAGGCTAAAGGGTAACAGTGTGGACCATCTATTCTACCCATGACTCCTGGGAAACACATCACCGACATGATTGTTTTTCCAGTACTGGGATTGAACCCAGGACCTCTGGGTCTCACTGAGTTAGTTGCCCAGGCTGGGTTCAAGCTTGGGAGCATCCTGCCTCAGCCTCCTACAGTGCAGTGCTTCCAGGTGTGCGTCATCACGCCTGGCAGAAAATGAGACTCTCTAAGCAAGAAAATGTAAGAGGCCAAACTCCATGCACCTGGAAACCATTCATTCTCCTGACCATGACACCACAGCACGTGAGGTGCTGAGTCACAGTCATGCACAAAAGCAGAGTTCCTGAGGTCACAGAGCACCACTTCTAGTGGGGACGCAGCAGGGAACAAGAAGCCAGCATGAGACAGAACCTCGGTGGTGATGACATGACACAGGCAGGAATGAGGAAGAACAGGTATTTACACAGGAGGCCCTGCTGACTGAGGACTGGAAGGGGCACCCGGGATGAGGCCTCTGAGGGCTGTGTAGGAGTCCTGTGACAGAGTGTCCCAGAGACAGGAACACTGAGCACTAGAAATTCTGGGACATCCTAGTGACGACAGGGTGGCTGGTAGCCTCAGGCTGGGGACCCGGGGACAGAGGGCCCAGGCAGCTGGCCAGCGTGCTATGCCACATTCACCTTGAAGGCCCAGTTGTGCCCATGGAAGTCGCTCAGGTGGGTTGTCCTGAAATGACAAAACCAGCTAAGAAGAGCATTTCCCACGCGGGTGCAAGGAAAAATGGAGGCCCTTCCTGTGTGGCCTGCAGCGCCCTCCTGCCCGGTCACCCCAGCACTTCCTGTGAGCCCTAGTCAAGGCCTGGGCTCCTGGGCAAGGTCCAGGCTGGCCCCACTCTACCACAGCTGCCCCGCTCGGACCCACTGGTGCCAAGTGCCACTGTGTCAGTTCCCCCGGCACCTCTGTGGGGACCGCGCTTCCCGTGCAGCCTCCCTACAGCCCTGTGCCCAGTCGCCTCCCTAAGCCCTCTGGCTCCTCGGTGCCCTGGGGAAGTGGACCCCGCGACACTGAGCTTCCGGACTGTCCTTCTGCCGGGTCCTGGGAACTCACTGCTGTCCTCAGAGCGGGTCAGGGAGGGCGCGTGTGGCCCTGGCTTCGGGCTCAACCCTCATGGCCACAGCATGCCGGGGACTCTGGCAGGGTGCAGGTCACTTTCCACGACCAACGTCCACCCTGAACACATCCGGGTGGGACCCTTACATCTTGGGTTCGCGTAACGTAAACCACAGCTTCGTGTGCAGACCGAGGGGTGCACGGCCTCCCCGCAGAATGGAGCCACTGGGATGGACTCGAGTGTTTCTGTGAAATCCACATCTCCTGCTGGGAAGTCTGGCACTTCCCACGGCTCCGTGAGACCCAGGAAAAGCCATGGACAGTCCTGAGTCCTCTGTGGGCTCCTGAAGAGCTTCCTTGCCATCATGGAGCCTCGAGTCCCTGCGCTCATGGCCCCCTGGGGTGCAGGCTAAGCTCACCCTACCCTGAGCTGCACCCCAGGCCTGCCGCTGTGCTGCCTGCACCGTGTGGGGGAAGATGACGGAGCCCGCAGTGATGAGCCACACTAAGCTGGCTAAGCACAGAAAGTTCAAAGCCATATTCGTGACAGCCACTCCCTCCTGACGCGGCCATAAAGTTCAGCACAGCACAGCACAGCACAGCACCAGCCCGGCAGTGGCCACCTCCCTTCTCCTGCTGCGGCCTCCACACCTAAGATCGTCCCTGCTCCAGCAGGGACAGCTAAGGCACCACGATGCGGGTCTCTTTCGTGTCGTGACCTCGGGGAGCTGGCATCCTACCGCTGGGCTTGTGGCTTTCCTGCCCCTTGAATGAGTAGCTGAGATTTATCTGGAGAAGCGCCGGTCTTCCCGTGAATGATAAAATGCACACCCGGAACGAGGTGACCGAGGCACGGACTCTGAGCAGATAAGCGCCTCTCCCAAGAGTTAGCAGGGTCACACGCTCCCCCCGACAGCCAGCCCCAAGGTTCCCAGTGTGCCGAAGCGTCTGGCTGCCCCACTGCCACTGCAGCCTCCAGTCAGGAGCAGGAACGTCACCGCGGTCCCCACCACCTGGGGTACCAGGCCACCGTTCTGGCTCCTGGTGCCCCTCACCTCTACAGGCACAAGGAGGGAACGGCGGGCTCCCTCCCAGCTGGCTCTGGGTCTTAGGTCTGCGTAACTTAACACTGATCGATGGAGACGGCCCTGTGGGAGCTAAGGGTTGGGGCAGGTGAAAAGCTCTGATCAGGAAATAAGAGAAACACACACAGACAGGAAAGCTGTGGCGCCCAGGCCCTGTCCCCGCTGGCAGCTCCACGTGGCACTGTTTGGAAAACGAGGCCTGGTGAGGACATAACTCTGGAGGCCGAGAGGGGCCCAGCCGCCGCCCGGGAGGCCCCCAGCTTCCGTGTCTGTGCCAGCCTGGGACGCGAGGCTGAGCTCAGGCAGGCTGCCTGGCCTGGTCCTGCACAGACTTCCGGGACGGCCCCTGCCGTGGTGGGGGACAGCACAGCACAGCACGGGGACTGGCGAGTCACCTGTGCCCCGGTAACCAGGCGATCACGGGCACGAGCAGCTGCGGCCTGCGTCACCCAAGTGGCAAAACAGCCACGCAGCATGTGCCAAGATGCCAAAGATGGGTGCGATCGGGAATGGAAGTCTAGGGGATTCTGCACAGCAAAAGTCACCAGAGTGAGAGAAATAAAATCATCACGGGGAATGGAAGAGCATGACAAGGAAAGGAAACGGAACTGAAACACTGCACAGCAGCCAGGCCCGACGGCACGGAGGTGATGTGGATGCTGGGCCCCTGGGCGCCACCCCGTCCTCTGCAGAGGCTTCTGCTGGGCTGGCGCAGCCTGGCCCCGGGGCCTGGCACTACAGGTGGATGGACACGAGGTGCCCGGATTAGGTCTGACTCCGCCCTGGCAGCCACAGATGGAGAGAGTGGGAAGGCCTCCGAGAAGCCGCTGCCAAGAACCGAGACAGTGCGGCAGTCCAGGCTGCTCAGGAGGCCGAGGCAGGAGGATGTGAGTGCGGGCCAGCCGGGCCACACAGTGAGACCCCAGCTCGAGGGGCTTCAAAAACCAAAACCCGAAACAAAGTTTTGCCGTTTATTTATGGAATAAAAGAAAACCAATGGGGAGGTGCATTGCATCTAATGCATCCTCACAGCCCTGAGTTACTGTCCAGTTTCCTGGAGCCACAGGGCACCTGGTCAGTATTTCCTCAAATTACACACAGCACAGCAGGGAGCATGAGCCCTGTGTGGGCTATGGAAAGTTTTCTGTTACAAAATCACTCCCAAAATTTATACTTGTGGTCCCGGTGGGGGGCACACATCTGTAATACCAGTACTTGGGAAGCTGAGGCAGGAAGACCACTATTAGTTTGAAGCCAGCCTGGGCTACAAAGTGAGTTCAAGGCCAGCCTGAACTACACAGTGAGACCCTGCCTCCAAACAAACAAAGCAGGAATGTGCACTTGTGCCCAGTGCATGCAGAGGCGCAGACACAGACTTCAGCCTCTGACCTTTCAGCTGTCCCCCTGCAGAGCCATCAGCTGGGCAGCGCACCCTTCCGGCCTCTCGGCTCAGCCCGGGGTGGGGGGGCGTCTGAGGATTCAGGGAGGGAGGGGGCTTCGGGAAGGAGCCCCTGACAGGGTCCGGAGGCTGTGACTTCTAGCTCACTCCCTTGGCAGGGTGGGTCAGGTTCTTCAGAGATCACAGTTAATTCTTGCAAGTCTTTGGCTCGGTGTTGGGGGCGGGGCTCTAACAACATTTCAGGGTAAACAAACAGAGCTGGGAGCCTCTGTACCTTCACCTGGTACCAGGGTTCTTGGAAGCAGATTAATCATTACCCCCTGTAGACAGGCGGCACCCCACCGGCTGAGTAAATTCAAAGCGGGGAGGCTCTGGCTGTGGTGAGGACGCCGGGACCAGGCCTGGAGCACATCAGGGTGAATGCAAGGCCCACAGTCTGCACCTCCCTGAGGTTTAGTCAGAGACGTCCGTCGGGTCTCATCCTGTAATCAAATGCACGGGCCAGCCCAGCGTCCCGGCCATCTGCTACGGCCCAACTGGACGCGGTGCTTCCGTTTCAAACCCAGCGAGCGTGTTTAAACATTTTCTGAACATGGGTAGTTCACGTTTTAAAAGTCCCCTCTGTGGACAGCACAGTCCACATCACGAAAGGAAAAACCGCCCATTGGGACGGCTCGCGTCTGTTGCAATCACGTCTGGGTTAGGGAGCACCCTGGCGTGAGATCCGAGAGCCGACCGGAAGGAAACGCAATGTGTGTTTGTGGTTCTGCACAGACAGAGGAGACCGCAGAGCAGATCAGCGCAGGGTGACCGGGGACAGTCAGGGATAGACGGCCAAGCCACAGGCAGAACACGCACGGCACGCACGCAGGACCCTGCAGGCTGGCCGAGTTCCGCTTCAGATCACAGGCTCGGGGAGCTGCACAGGTCCACACCACACTCTGCAGGGCGCCTCACACTGTCGGAGGCTGTGCTGTAGCACACACACGGGGAGACTGTGCCGAGGGGTCCCAGCCTTGAGGGCCAGTGCCCTGGGGTGGAGGGCGGAAGGGGCAAGGCAGGGACAGAGGACAGGAGGAAATGCCACTCACTGGGCTCACCCTGGGATCAGGCTCTCGGGGAGAATTCTGGTGTTTTTCTTTAACTTTCCTAATCTAATAGCACAGGGTGGGTCTTGTGTCATTTGCACAGGAGAAAAAGGCAGTGGGGTTTGGAGGGTTGAGGTGACACTCAGGGTGTCCAGGGGGCAGAAGTCCCCAAAGGAAGGGACACCCAAGACGGGGCCTCCACAGCCACTAC